GCTATCAAGTTCAAATAATGAAGAACACAATATGCTTAAACACTTGTTGATCACCAAAGCTTTCGTTAACATTTTTTTTATGCTATGGAATCATATGTATTCACTTGATTTACTAATCCATTGCATTTGTACACGTTAATTCAGATTGCTGCATATCTTCGTTACTCAAAAGAAAGCCAATCACGGTATGTGTTGAGGTCAATAAAGTTGCTGCATTATTTTGCATTTGTTCACATAATAGTAAACAAAACACCTGGTCACTCTCGCACACGGAAACGGTTACTAAATCACTTGGCATTTACTCCAATACAGTAATTAGTTTGAAGACACCAGCATAATCAAAATATGAAGGAATCATTATACAGTACTGCATATCTCAATTTTTTTTAATTTAGTTTTATTTAGATATAGATGAAATAGCTATTACCAAACTTCTAAAAACAACAGTGTATAAAACATCAAACACTTGTCTTTGTTGTAAGCCTCATTCAGAGAGGATGACAACAGGTGAAGCTGACAATAGGTAAACTACTATTATTTTTTTATGCATTTTTTTTTTAATTTTTTTCTACAAGGTTTCTTGGGCATTATTTGTTATTCTATTGCAACTATATTTACAATGTTACTATTAATATGTACAAATTTTAATGTATTAAAACATTCTGTACATTTATGATTAGTGTTAGAATACACAAATTTATATGTAAAAAATGCTGAAGCTTTTTATTGTAAATTCTGTTCTATGACACAATACCCTTTTCAAATCTGAGTTATCAACTGCATCATATGTAACAATACACAATAAATAATGCCCCAATTTCAGAATAAAAGAACAATATTAAAATGTGCAGAACACTCATATGTCTTAATGCTCCCATACACAAGTTTCCTTATTGGGATTTTTATAGCATGAGAAAATGTATTCATCACTTAAAGCACTGCTTAGATGGGAAATACATGACAAAAAAAATAAATAAAAAATACAGCGGTTTCTATGCTACAAACCCAGAAGATTTGTCAATTTCGGTGGGAACCACAGAATATTACAATTCTTTTTTGAGCATCAAAGCTTCTTGCTGAAAATTTACCTGAAACACCATTTTTTTTTTAATTATTATATTATTATATATTTTTTTTATTTTTTTAATACATTACTATTTTTTACATTAATACTACACCAGCATTTCTTTAAGACAAGGTATAGGGAACTCACAGATTTGTAAAACGAATTGCAGTACCCAAGTCTACCCAGCAATCTTTACAAAACACAGTATTACAGTTTTCATTGGTTCAGGCAAAACAAAGGACCATATATTTCATCAATGGTAACAACAATGCTGCAACAGCCCCATGCCATTACAGTATAGACCCCCAATTACATAACTAAAATAGAACCTTAAATATCCATACTAAAGACATTACTGGTTACTGATTAACAAAAATGCTATGGTCCTGATGGCACTAGATAGTGCCAAATTGACCTTTAAATTTGCTCATTAACAGTCTGTTGCAAGTGTCATTGAAATTTTGTGACAAGACATAAAATTCATCAACATATTACCATCAAATTTTTGAGAAGTTCTCTTGCAATTTTTGTTTAGTATAAATGCTCTTACATATGAATATACAAAAGTAATCTCATTTGACTTAGAATTCATGAATATATGATGCCAGAACATTAATCAAATATTAGTGGTGTCACAGAGTGCATAAGTGATGTCACAATATACATGAGTGATGTCACAGTGAACATGAGTGATGTCACAGTGAACGTGAGTGATGCCGCATTATACATCAGTGATGTCACACTGTGACTTAAAAATATTTTACACTCATCCCCCATTTACATACAGTACTTTCCACCAGACTGAATGGTTAGCTTTGATATAATACCAGCCAGTCATACCACAACGCAATGCTCCCCACCAAACCTGCCAGGTGGTCAGGTCCTGGGAATAAACAAGATCAATGTGAATAAATAAGGTCACCGTGAATGTGTTGGGTCCTGGGAACAAATAAGGTCACAGTGAACTTGTTGGGTCCTGGGAACAAAAAGGTCACAGTGAACTTGTTGGGTCCTGGGAACAAATAAGATCACTAAATGTGTCAGTTCCTGGGAATAAACCAAGTCATTGCGAACTAGTCGGGTCCTGGGAATAAATAGTGCCACTAAACGTGTCGTGTCCTGGGAATAGTGTCACTAAACCTGTCGGCTCCTGGGAATAAATAGTGCCACTAAACGTGTCGTGTCCTGGGAATAAATAGTGTCACTAAACCTGTCGTGTCCTGGGAATAAATAGTGCCATTAAACGTGTCGGGTCCTGGGAATAAATAGTGCCACTAAACGTGTCGGGTCCTGGGAATAAATAGTGCCACTAAACGTGTCGGGTCCTGGGAATAAATAGTGCCACTAAACGTGTCGGGTCCTGGGAATAAACAAAGTCACTGTGAACTTGTCACATGTCCTGTGAATAAAGGCGATCACTGTGAATGTGTTCATTCTTGGAATCAATTAAGGATTTCAAGGATTTCACATTTACAATATTACCTATGCAATCAGATAATTCATCAGAAAGACAAATATTCACTACACCCAAAGAAAAACAAATAATTTATAAAATATACTGGCTATACACAGACATTGGTTTTATTTGTATTTCTATTTTTCCTTACAGAAATAAATATATAAATATTTGGACACTTGAGACAATTACACAAATATGAGAGGAGTTGTTTTAAAGCATACTGCATGAAGAGCTACAAGATCTATATTAATAAAGATGTTTCACTATTATTGTAGAAAGCAAGACCAAGACAACTGCATGGAGAGGAAATAAAGAATAGACTGTAAAATATTCAAATAAATTTGGACTTTTATATTTCAGAATTCTTTAAGAAAGCCAAGTCTTGAATAAAAGAAAAGGTGTGTTAAATAAATATAAAAGCTTTCAAAATTTGCATTCTTATATTAAAAGTATCATAGTGAACTAAAGATAACATGTAAAATGGTTATTATTAGATTACAAAAAATTACACAATTAAAATCTGTTATGTTACAATTAAGTTAAATTCTGAGTTAAAAGCGTTTCATAGACTGGAACCAGTTACCTAAATTAATGATACGTAATAGCAATATTTTACTAATAGAATTAAACTAATTCTTGTATACATTTTCATACATTCTTACATACATTGTCATATATTCTTGCATACATTGTCATACACAGCAACACACCACATCACCAGTCACACACACAATGACATGCTACTAAGTGGCTCCCAGAACTGAAGGGTAAGAGCTACGAGGAGAGGTTAGAAGCATTAAACATACCAAAACTAGAAGACAGAAGAAAAAGAGGTGATATGATCACTACATACAAAATAGTAACAGGAATTGATAAAATCGACAGGGAAGATTTCCTGAGACCTGGCACTTCAAGAACAAGAGGTCATAGATTTAAACTAGCTAAACACAGATGCCGAAGAAATATAAGAAAATTCACCTTCGCAAATAGAGTGGTAGACGGTTGGAACAAGTTAAGTGAGAAGGTGGTGGAGGCCAAGACCGTCAGTAGTTTCAAAACGTTATATGACAAAGAGTGCTGGGAAGACGGGACACCACGAGTGTAGCTCTCATCCTATAACTACACTTAGGTAATTACTTAGGTAATTACACACCAACACACCACATCACCAGTCACACACACACAGCAACACGCCACATCACCAGTCACACATACACACCAACACACCACATCACCAGTCACACATACACACCAACACACCACATCACCAGTCACACACACACAGCAACACACCACATCACCAGTCACACATACACAGCAACACACCACATCACCAGTCACACATACACACCAACACACCACATCACCAGTCACACATACACAGCAACACACCACATCACCAGTCACACATACACAGCAACACACCACATCACCAGTCACACATACACAGCAACACACCACATCACCAGTCACACACACACAGCAACACACCACATCACCAGTCACACACACACCAACACACCACATCACCAGTCACACATACACAGCAACACACCACATCACCAGTCACACACACACAGCAACACACCACATCACCAGTCACACACACACCAACACACCACATCGCCAGTCACACACACACAGCAACACGCCACATCACCAGTCACACACACACAGCAACACGCCACATCACCAGTCACACACACACCAACACACCACATCGCCAGTCACACACACACCAACACACCACATCGCCAGTCACACACACACACCACATCGCCAGTCACACACACACACACCACATCGCCAGTCACACACACACACCAACACGCCACATCACCAGTCACACACACACCAACACACCACATCACCAGTCACACACACACAGCAACACGCCACATCACCAGTCACACACACACCAACACACCACATCACCAGTCACACACACACCAACACACCACATCACCAGTCACACACACACACCAACACGTCACATCACCAATCAATCACATGTACATCCAACTTTAAATTTAAATGGATGGATACACATCAAACAATAAATTATTATAAAACTTAGTAATTCTTCATTCATCTAACATTGTAAAATGTAGGTTTAAATTTCTAGAGTTCTCACTAGAAAAGAAATACAGAATTTTAAATAATTTCTTTAAAGACTAAAAAAAGAGGATTCCATCTTGAAACTGTTATCACTCAAATGTCTAAGACAGTGCCATACCTATTTTGCAAATAAAAAAATCCTTAATAATATTTCAAATTCAGCCATTTAATTTATAAGAACACATTTATACACTCTTCAAGTAGACATTGAAATTAATTCTATATACAACAAAGTAATAGTTTTCAAGACACTAAGTACGAAGTGGTTAAGCATTTATGTGGTTTAATATTAAGTTCCAGCAAAAGGCAACTGAAAATATGATTCTGAAATTGATAGCTGCTAAGAAATAACATTCCCTGCAGAAACAAAGCCTAAACATATAGATTAAAAATTATACTTCTCAATTTCACTGAGGAGACAAATCTAATAAATTCTTTTTAAAGATGGCAGATGTTCCTTCTTTGATGGAGGTGATGACATTCTCAATAACCAAAGGTTTCAAATTCAAATTTAAAACCTAATGCTGAATTATGGTTTAAATTAGAATTAAAAATTCTAATAATTTAAATGCAATAGTATTTTTCTAAAAGTTTAAAGGAATCCAGATACAATTTTTAAAATTTACATCGTACAGTTTGATAGAACAACCAATAATATCAAGAGCTAAGAGGTTATTGCAAAGCAGAAACATTTTACGACAAGAAATCTCAGTGGACTAAAACAAGCCGAGATATACCAATTTTAATGTAAACAAGTTTATAAACAGCTCAAGATTACAAGAAGAACCAGAAATAAAACTCTCCATTTTGTAGGACATGACTGCCATGCTTTAGACTAAGTGGAGCTGTATATAATACACCATCACTACAGCAGGAACTATCATGCACTTACATGAAACGATGCCTAAAATACATTTCCCAGATACTAAACAATATAAACTGCTAAAGGAAAAGAAAATATAATTTTAATATACTGAATAACAAGACCAAAAAGACTATTTCAAACTATTAATACAGCCAACAGCCCACAATTCAACCACAAACTATTCAAATCTGTTGACCATTCCTTTCCTGTCTGCTAGTTTATGCATTTTCTGTATGACAAACCTCCCTCGACTCCAGTTGCTGACAAACTGCACTTTCCTGAACTGCTACCCTAAGTGCTACGGCCCAAGCTTTGTTTTTGGTGTGTGTTCACTCAAAAGTTTTTCTCTACTTACAACAATTGATATTCATTGCAAATACTGAATATTATCCCACAATGTCAACTCAAAATACAGGAAATGTGAATGCATGCTTTTATTAACTGAAAATACTACAGAAAACATTTTGTGATGAATTTTGAGCAAAAATTATGGTTAAGAAAAGTTTTAGTGAAATTCTTAAAAGGATCATGAGCACTGAATACAAAATGTAAAACAATACATATTTTTTTTTTTATGGCTAAACATATTATTTTTCTTTTTATAGCTAAACATAAGATTTTTTTCCATTATGCTCAAAATGAGTTTGATAATGCAATGTTGGAATGAATTTCCAGCTTCTGAGCATTTGTCGGTTACATAGTCCATCATGCCTTTCACACACACATATATGAGCACAAGTTTGCTTTAGGGCATGTGAATGGACGATGGGTAAGGGTGTGGGAGAAGGTGTGTGTGTGTGTGCATTTTATCCTGTCAGTTCCAAGAGATGGAACTGTGGGCTGGTGTCTGTATTTGGTAAGCAGAAATAGATTAAAACTCCCACACACACATGCACTAACCTAATCTTAAAAGCATATATAGGAATCACTGTTGCTAAATCATTGCAAAAAGAGAAGGCAAAAAAATGCTTACAGCTACTGCTCCACAAAATAGATTCAAGCTGAGATTCATTGAGTATCCCACTGGCTATGGTTTTCTGGCAAGGAGTTCATACTAAAATCTTGGAAAGTTTAATACTGTACTGTCTTGGTTATTAGGCAATCACCACAGCTTTTATAGTATATCATTAAGTTGTCCATAGCATTTGACTTTATATAAAAACAAAACACAGAACCTAAAACCAAGTCACCCAGAAAATACCCTTGTCTGTCATGTTAAATAGTGGACATTGTATTTTAAACTAAAATAAGCAAGAAGCTCACATCTAGTTTGTAAAGGCTGATACATGATGGGCACTAGTGATACAGGAGTAAAGAAAATAGAAGTAAAGAAGTTATTGCTTTACATGGTGGACACATGGTGTCGAAGGCCAGCTTCTGTTCAAAGTACAATGAATAAATAAAAAATTCACAGCAGTAAATTCAATAAGAAATAAAGTCAAAGAGAAAGAAACTCAACTTAGAAGAACATTATCCTCAATAAAAAAATAAAAACATTTAACTATTTTTTTCCTAAGACAGATCAAATAATAAAGATATATAATATGACGATAAGTAATTCAAATACAAACCTAAATACTGTAAAACAATTTAGGTAACTAAGAAGTGCTCTGAAGAAGACAAAGATTATATAATCGGTAAATATTCAAACAGAATGCCTGCAAATGCCATATATGGATGATAATGATAACTTAAATTTTACAAACATCAAAACAAAGGCAGAAACATTATGCATGTATCAATGAACAGCTCTTTAAGAAACAAACTAGATCCAGCTATCATCTTTATCCCATTTCCCAGTATCATGTGGTGGTTGCCCTGAGAGAAAATGGAACAACACAGTACTGCCAGCATTCAGTGAAAGATGATTATAGATAAAGGAGTAAAAAGACAAATCTATTTACTATTCGTCAAATAATTCACAATATTGTAACTTCACAGATAAAACTGCACTACCACTCTCGACAAATTATCCACAGCATCTCCGAACCACTTCACGAGACCAAGTTTGGTGCTCCTCGTGAACCGTTATTCATTATATACATACATATCCACTCCCACCTTCCAAACTGTTGTGTCCTTTGTCCACACTCGATCCTCCCACTTCCTCGCCACAACTACCCTTCTGCCTGTCTTTTTTTTTTCCTCTCCCTACTGTCACAAACTCTCAAAATCTTTGCATCGTTCATTTGTTCATCCTGCCCAAACCATCTCATTACACTTTTCCTCAATCATACAATTTATTGAATCTTGCACTCCAGAACTATCCCATGACGTTTTCATTCCTTACTCTATTCTCCAGACACCCTACATCATTCAGATCTAAGTGGTATACAGGTACAGTATATAAAATTTGATCACTATGAGTTAAACAATACATTAAATCAATCTGAAACTTAACAACCAAAGTAAACAGCCTCAACATAAGAAAAACAAATTGACTATTATTAGCTAGGATTTTTTCTTTGTACGTCAGAATAAATTATAGTACAGTACATGAAAGGAGGTCGGAAGTTACAGTCTCAGAAAAAGAAAAATTGTAATCAGTTTTGAAAAAAAAATTAGGGAAACATTTTTGAATAATTCATACTACAAAGATATTGCTTTACAAAATATGAGCTTTTTACAAGAAGCATAATACAGTACTGTAATTACAAAACAGAAAATAAATAGGGTAGGGAAGGAATGGCAAAACCCTTCAATATATTTTTTTTTTTTATGGATGCACAGAGCATTTTTAACTAAAATATTTTAGACAACTTATCTACAGTACACTCACACACTGAATTATTTTATTTATTTTTTGGTGGATGACCTCATCTTGAAAACTGATTTAACTTGAAACCATGATACATGACCCTCTTAATATTACAAATGGATTTTTAATTTAATGATAAAATAAAACCAATATCTTGTTAATGCATGAACCAGAAATATGCTAAAATTAGGTACTGTACTGGTGAGAATGCAGAAATTATGGTCTCTTGCTGTATGTATATATATTTTCCCTTCAGAAAGTGACAAGTTTTTTAAAACACTTATAATTATGAATAAAGATCCAAACTTAAATCCTATTTTTTTTTTTTTTAGATTTTCTTACTTATACAAAAGAAATAAGAAAACTGTACAGAAAGTTCACACGATTATAAAATCAATTCTTAAACAAAATGAATTAATGAAATAAGAGATAATTTAAGAGAGTTACTCGATGCTTTCAAATCAAGTTTGCCCAAAACATAACCCCCCCCCCAACCCAAAACATTTATACCTATGCTTTCCTACTTTTTCATTTCCAAAATGAATCAAATAACTGCAGCCTCAACAATAACATTAGAGTGTCAAATACTGCAGAACATATTCAGAATGAACTAATTAGCATTGGTCCCAGAGAGAGAGAAGGTAGAAGAACCATCAGGTACATATATTCAAGACAACTCCATGCTAAATATCTCAAATTTCCTCTGGTAAATGAGCGATGACAACATCATATACTTTCCACTTTATCACCTGCACTAAAAGATTACTTATGTTACTATATTCTCAAAATGAAATTATATGAAAGATTGCACTTTTCATGGGTAACAAAAATAAAACAAAATCTCTGGTATTTGACACATTAATTTGTCCGGCAACACAAATATTGGTGTTAACTGGACATTAACAAAAAAAATTGTTCTGACAACATATTTTTTAAATTCTACACTCATAAAATCTATTTGTATTTTTCCTTTTTGTACTTTAAATCCTAACAAATACAACTCATTCACATGAATGAATTGAAGTCACTTGCAACAGAAGTCATGCATTAAAACTAGAGCTAATATGTAGTAGTACAAAATATTGATCATGCATTTTTTGTAATACCTAAATAAATACTGACAGTAGAAACATCGTAGAAGAATGATAAATTCTACAGCACTTCCATAGACCACTTGAATATTTATGGAAAATACTGGTAGAGATGATTATTTGATGCATACATTTTTTTCTCTGCCAAATCCTTAAGAGAAAAACTTGCATCATCTCTCTTATCTGAAGCTGATGGTTGTAGTGAAGAACGTAAAACACCAGCATACGTTTTATTGTCCTGGTTGTGTGCATTAAGTGCAACTGATGGAGATACCCCAAGAGAACACGATATATTTCTTAGACCAAATTCTCCATGTGAAGATACAGAAGAGTTTAAATTATCACCACTACTATGCCACACAGCTGAAGCTGAAGTATTGATGTTATTATTTGGTATAACAGTCTGTGAATTCTGAGGAGAGTTTCGTACACTACCAGATGAAGTTTCTCGGCTTCCACGTCTTAGATACAGTGGAAGGCTAGGAGTTCGATAACCAACTGGATTAACTTCTCTAAGATCTAACTGTGCCATAGGATCCACTAACCTATTTATTCCACCGAATCCAGGAGGTGGAGGAACTTCCACTCTTTCTCTAATAGGTTGTTCCTCCATTTCTCTATTGACCACTGGTTTTTCAACATCTCTAGTACAAAATGGTGGTCCTCCTGGCGCTCGTGACACCACTGAACCTGAGAAATTTGCTCCGTGGTTTTGATGTCTATTGTGCAGAGATGCTTCTAATTCTTGAACTGTTACTATTTTTCCCACACCAGCAGAGCTTATTGACCAAGGGCTACTAGCATTATGATGACGAATATTTGGATTTGGTGGTCTCATGGCACAAGGGGAATTTCCTGACCAAGACTCTAAAGTTGATCGGCACATACCTTGAATAGGATCTACCCTGTTGCCCATCTCTGATTCACCTGAACTCCACTGATTTAGAGTCTTGGTGGGAGAGTGATCCCCAATGAGGTCATCGATGATCCGTACCACATCTGGAACATCAGGAGTTGGAAGAGGAGTGTCCTCTGTCCCAACATTACCATTGGACTGTGGATGCACCTGATGTAATGGCTGATGTCGTATATGTGACAGCAACTGAGACTGGAGTTCATTGTGAGGGTGATTTGAAGAACTGGTTACAATCTGTTGCTGAAGTTGTGCCTGTGTAGAGCCATGCCCATCACTTGCACTTGAGTGAGAGCTGAAATAATATATATTAATTTGTGTTTCTTTGAAATATAAAATAAATTATCATCATTACCTCATTTTCTACTTTTATGGGATGAGGAAGCACCAATCAGGAGAAAGGGAAGCAGTATCATTAAACAATCTTAAAAGATATTAATTCCTACCACATCCTGTGCACTGCCTACACTTATTTCTCATTTCCTCACACACTACCATGTCTTCTCATCACTTTCGTGGACTTCTCCTCTGACCCTGAATTTCTTAACCTAACCTAAACTAACATAACTAAATCAATAATTTATGTTCTTAATATAATATAATAATAATACTTAAAATAAACCAATAGGAAACAATTTATTGAAAATAAAGAAAATTATTTGGCCTATTAGGCATATATATATATACACACACACACACACAAAAGGGTAGGCAACACAGGATTAACTAAAACCAGCTGTCACATCATGTTTATAGAGAAATAAATATAAATGTCTAATGTTGTTCTTCAGTCACATTCTTCTGATATAAGAGGATTATGCTTTATGTATAAATGTACTGCAAAGAGTAAACAATTAAATCTTGCTGAAATAATGAAAATGCAACTGTCTTTAAAGATATTTTCAATCAACAGATGAATGGATCACTTACCTCTCTCTAGACTGTGTTGATAATGGTGATTCAGTTCCTGTTTGAGAGCGTGTTGACCGAGACAGAATACAAGATGGATTGGAAGAAAGTTGGCGTTCTGGAAAATGTACATTGTTCAAGAACTGGTATGACTTTTCTCCTTCACTCTGCGGTGTTACCCTACCAAGATGAGCTGTAGGTAGTGCTAATGAGCGACCAAAGCGAGAACACCGCATTCCAGGAGGCTGGGTCAATAGACTGGGAGTAGCTACTTGTTTTAAATTTTGATAAGGTGCTGGAAGTGCTGGCATATATGTGCCACGATTAAAATGGTCTAGTTCAGTAGGTCTTCTCACTGCAGGCATGCGGTGAGCAATACTGCCAGGCTGATAAGAATACACTGGTAGAACTCCAGGAGGCAACTGATAATCGTACCCATGAGGATCCATATAAGGTGCAGGTGCTGCTGTAACTACAGCAGGACGTAAGGAGTGAGGTGCGATGAGAGGTTGGCCAAGCCTACCTGGTGCAGGTCTAGCTATTTGTGTTTTGGAGGCTTGATTATAATGCACAGGAGACCACTGTGGAGGCATAGGAGCTTGGTGAATATAAGGTAATGCTTGTGGCCCCATCACTGGATGAATAGGATATGTGGGGATGTACGGAGGATACATGCTGACATATGGTGGCATTGCTGGTACTACTGGCAGAGGTGGTAAAGGAGAATAATAAAGGTAACGAGGAATAAATTCTGGAGCTAATGGGTTCAACACGTAAGTCTTCTTCAGCTCAACACCGTCCAGTTGTGCTCGCAAAGCAGACCAGGATATTCCATACAAGGATCCAGCTTCTGAACACAACTGTAGAAATCTCTCCCAAAGTTTCCTGTAAGAAGATAGTTACTTTTAACATCTTTCTCCAGATAGTTACTTTAAACATCTTTCTCAGATAAATCAAAATACTGTAATATAATACTGTAAATCAACCAAATTCAATCTGGACAAATGTGTCCTAATTTGGAAAATTTTGCATAAATATTTAGAAATATTTTTACTTCAGAAAATAATTACATTGTAATTAGTAATTCAAATTAATTAGTAACTGTAATAGTAATTCCATTGATAAGTTCAAATATCTACAAATAACAATGATTCTCATATTCTATCTATACCAAAATCTAAATCAAGTCCTTAATAATGTGAAGTGGTAAATCATATTGAAATGTATGTATACCAAAAATGAAAAGGACTACTGGGGGATGGCAATGGAAAAGGCTGACACTGGGGGTTCAAGACACTGAGACACCACTAATGAAGCCAAAGCCTAACAAAAGACCTGCAAACCTTCTCCTGACCACACTGTTACAGGATTGGGGGAGGGTTAAGTGGTGAAAGGGTGAACAAAGTGACTGTCAATGGACATGTAGCAGCCTCCTAGAAACAGGCAGGACATGGTATTCCAAACCAGAAGGAGCTATAGGAAAAAACTACACATGCTTAGGGAAAAACCCTACAGGAACCTATACCTTGCACAGAAATCCAAAGCGTGCCACAATTCTCCTTCTTCTTGGAGATGGAGATGAGAACAGGCTATAGGCAAAACACACAGATCAATTGCTGAAATGATAAAGAACCTCCCACACTGAGCACCAAAACAACCGCAAAAGAAAAGGACAGAGAATGGTGTGGTGTGCAAAAGCAAAACCACCAAGAACTTGTATCCAAAGCAGACTCATGAAAGTGATTAAACACCATGCCCATAGAGGCAAGATAAGTAGTAGTAATAGTAGTTGGGAACTAAATCCCACTAGATCATTGCAAACATCTTTAGCGAAGCTGCAACAGCTGGGAAGAAAGGAACTCCTACCAGGCAAGTAATAATAATAATAATAATAATAATAATAATAATAATAATAATAATAATAATAATAATAATAATAATAATACTGTAACAGTAATGTCTTCCCACGGACATAACAGCATAGGATAAATACCCACACTCGTGAGTATGTGAAATTTAATTAAGAAATTTACATCAAGTCTTTCACACTCTCCTGAGTGCTTTATCAAGGTTTGAGTGTGTGATCAGGTTGAGACTTACATCTCAACGTCTCCAACATTGAGATGTAAGCCATGTACCAACGCGAGTTTTAAATCCTCATCGTTATTTTAATACATCCCCGATTGTTATGCACATTTTAAGAGTTTATGACAATCGCATCCTTTATTGTGACACAGTTTAAGGGTTAAAGTCAGCTATGAGTTGCTGCAACATTGAAGGAGAAACCCTTCTTCCATTCAGGTTCTAGGTCATTCCAAGCTGCATTCTCTCTAACCCCAAGACAAGGACAAGGGAAGTCCTTAACTATCCCTCTTCCTCCCACAGTAGCAAAATAGTCACAGATATTTCTGCCAAGGAAAACAGAACAGAGCATATCCCACAGATAAGTCATAGCCCCCTGACAGAAGACATAGCACCAAAGCATACCCAAAGCAATGGCACAAATGCTCACGTCCTGAAATAGAATTAAGAAGAGTCATAAAAGTAGTGAGAAATTCAACATGAGAAAACCCCCAGCTGAAGCACACACTAAACGGGTTTACAAAGTCAGGACACATGAAACATCTTGTAAATACACACACCAGTGATCCCAAGTAGCAAACATCCACTGCACTGTGAAACCAAGTTTTAAGGATGAGAACAAGTCATTAAGTTAACTCCAGGTTAACTGTGTTGGTGCTGCCACCTGGTTGCAATCTAGAGAAGCATTACATGGTGATCATTGTAATGTTAAGTAAAGCTTGGAAAAGGCTTTGAGTGATTATGACCTAGCCTTCTAAAGGTCATTCCCGGCAGAATGGAGTATTTCTCCAGTGTCTCCCTTGCACCAGAATGAGCCTGCAAAAATATCTGAAAAGTTTCCTGCTTTGTGCAGATTGTCACACTAGCTTACATCTATGATCCCTTCCAATGGTATCAGAAATGACCTTGCTTTGGGAAATAGTAATGTCTGATAAGGACTAGAAAAGTCAACAAATATGGAAAAACCATATGGTATCCCCTAATAACTAAATAATCATTCTGCGTGAAAAAAATGCAATGTCATGCATTACAAACACAAGAACACCATTAATTTTTGTTAAATATAAAACACTCTAACCTGCATTTTCCAACTGAGCAGAGTGATACCGGATCTCCAACAACAGCAACCAAACTCTGAGCTCGGGTTATGGCAGTGGTTAACAACTTGGCATTTGAGAGAAACCCAAAATCTAATCCCTCATCTCCTGCCTTACAAGTGTGACGAGTGCGAACCGTTGAAAGGATGATGACGCGGAACTGCTTTCCTAAAAAAAAAAAAAAAAAAAAAAAAATTATACTGAAATCAAATACAAAATGGCAATAGGCAACAAATTAATCATTAGAAAATCTTTAGCCTAATTTGAAGATCCTTACATTGTATTTTGAGCAAAAGTAACTGGTATCAGAGCACTTCACCAGGCCATGTAATTACAAATACAGTACAGAATATAGATCATTACATCAGAGCAAGTGAGAAGGGGTATTCAAGGTCTCCTACCCCAGTATATCTTGTGAAATTTGTGTTATGATATCTTAAAAAACAAATGCACCATTTCTCTTCTTTATTCCCCATTCCCTCGATGCCCATACACTTTCTTCACCTCTTTCTATATTACAACAGCTAAACCCCTCCACCTGCACCATATAAGTAAGATAAACCAGAGATATAGTAAAGAATATGGGCTACACATATATACTTGAATTAATGTATGCTTATCTTACACAGACCATTTTTTTACAATAAAATGAAGAACTATATCTGCCTTCCCTGTAGTCACTGAGAGATAGGCAATTATCTAGTCAAATAAGTTTTTGATTCCTAGTCAGAAAAAGTCAACCATTAGAACACAAACTACAGAACAGTATTTTGAAAATAATTTATAAACAAGTTGATCTGTTTAACCAACAGTTATTATTAGTTATAGAAAGTCACCAATTATTAACTGAACATTTATCTAGATAAACTACTTCTTATGTGGATATTTTACAACCAAAAGCTATCCAAGAATTTTCACTTGCAGAACTTGACAATGTATTGATATGCAAGAAAATGTTATGAACGTGTCCATTTTTAGCTATGACAATGCCAATCAACATTCCAATAGGTGTCAAAATGATGAAGCTTACTGTCACAGATTTTTATTCTCAAAATTAAAATAAAAAAAATCTTCAGTGCTTCAGAAGAGGAAACAATTTACCATACTGATCTTTTACTGGCTTTTAAACCTTAAACCCCCGTAGGATCTTCACAAGTCTCCAGTTTATCGTATGGGCCTTCACATTTTATTGCTACCTATACCACTAATCTTCACTTTTTATTATTACCTATGTCACTGAGTAGATAAATTACTCCTCAATTTTAATGCACATAAACTATGTGCAGCCAATTGTGCAGTTGTGCAGCCAATTAATGCACAACTATATTCTACCCACTTTAAGACTCCGTACCAATATAGAAGCATCAAGAGGAAGTATAGGCCAATAGGCCCTTTGCAGTTACTTCTATTCTTCCATCTCATTTATCCAATTTATACCCATTGCACCGTGTTCTGTCTTGTGTTGGTCAAAAGCTTGTTCACATCATCCAAAACTGTTGCAACATATCACCTCACCCAAATGCGAGTATACAAGACAAGCTGTTCAATGTTAGCATTAAGTAAAACTCTGTTTAGTGTTTTCCGGTTACAGTTGTGTGTGTGTAAACTAAAGTCTTTGAAAATGTAATAAGCTATTACGAAACGCGTTCAAGAGTCGCGTCAGACTAGAAATAAAAATGAATTTTGGAGAATTGATTTTTCAATTACCATCGATAGTAAAAAGAAACATAAGAAATATTGAGAAAATTCGTGTTAGAATTATTAATCTTACTTTTTTGGTTATATTTAACAACATATCTTTACAAGAAAAACTGCTACCAAAATATACTAAAAAATTATATATATATATATATATATATATATATATATATATATATATATATATATATATATATATATATATATATATATATATATATATATATATATATATATATATATATATATATATATATATATATATATATATATATATATATATATATATATATATATATATATATATATATATATATATATATTTATTTATTTATTCATAAACCATCAAATTGCAGCCTAATCTAACTAACCATAACCAATACAGTGTATAAATCCAAATCTTTTCACTTGTCTAACTTATGTATTATTATTTCATGCTATTGTAGTTATGAATTTGTTATACTGTAATTGATTTACTAGTGATTGTATTAACTTGTATAATATTTGGTGAGAGATAAATGCCTGAGAAAAATAAATGAAGGTTAAAGATACGATGTGTGCTGTTTTTGGTTCAATGTTGAGCTTAGTGCTTGTTAGTGAAATGTAGCACAGAACAAATGTAAATGATTGTTTTGCTACATGACTTTTCCTAGTTTGTCAGGAGTAATGAATTTATATTCTAAATTACATTTAAATTATGATGTAGGGGGTTTCAGTGATCATTCTCCTTCCAGATCCATAGATGACAGCTGTTTTAAAAAATAGTGAAGTGAATAGGCACATGATAGAGGACACTAACACTTCCTGGACATTACAGTACAGTGTACAGGGGTAATGCCCTGCGGAGATCTGAAATCAAGTAACATTGAAAGAGAACACCCAGACATTTCAGAGAGAGATAGTTGCTCTGTAAGTAAAACTCTACTATAAGTTTGCCCAGTTGGTGCTCAAGTGCACTGGAACATAACATTCTCTATTTAAAATCCCTACAGCCACAATACAATGAGTAATGCACATTCTTCAGATTCTGTTTTGTGACGTGATGTTGACCAATAACTTGTGGAGAATATTGACCGATTGCCAGAACTTCACCAGGCCAACACAAAGGAAACTTTATGATTTTGCAAACATTTTACATATTTTGAAAATTGACATACTTTTAATTTTATTTTGTTAACACTTTCGCGCTTTCCGCAAAGGTCACTCAGCCAACCGAATGTGCGCGCAGCGTTTTTATCGCTTAAGCGTAAAAACAAAAATGTGTATACTCTTTTTACTCTTCTGACCTTAGTTCTCATGCTACGTATTTCATTTTGGTACCAACGTGTTCGCAATAAAATTCTCTAGAAGAACATCAGTAAAAAAAGTCACGAAACGTATAGGGATACCAGCACCAAATAAATAACTACGAAGATGACTCGCCGTGAGCGCCCATCAGCAACAAAATGTTTTTACTCTTGGGATTGTAATCACCTCCACACTTATTCTACAGCGTTAATTTTGGTATCAATGGACTCGCAATGAAATTCCCAACACGGTGATATGAATATAAGCGTAGAATAATGATGCGGCCCGCCCGCAAGAGTGTGGGAAGTGGTGAAATTGTTACCCGGTATCGGTGACGGGACGACGCACGGCGCTTTGAAAGTTTATACTTATTTCACTCTCATGACATTAATTTTCTATGTACGTCATTCATTTTTGTGTCAATGTGTTCGCAATAGAATGTTCTATGTGCCCATAGGTAAAAAATATCAACAAAGCGTAAGTTAGAATAGCGCCAAATATAAAACAACGCTGGAACATATCAGTGAGCGTCAAACACACACGAAATGTTTTTACTTTTGTTATGTTTGTCAAGTTTATACTTGTTGCACACAGTTATTTTTGGTTGTATATTGATCGGAATAAAATTCCCTAAACAGACATATGCATATAATACATGATATGGGGGAAGCATTACCAGTATAAACGGCTAAAGTCACCCACCTGCAACCCGTTTGGGACAAAATACCATTTGATCGAAGTTATCCACACCTTTCATGAACTTATTGTACCATGCAGCCTAGTGGTGAGAAAGAGAGCCTCATAGCGCGCAGTTTGAAACAAACCCAAAGTAAATCGGATAAAAATTGAATTTTATACAAATATTTTAAAAGAGGACTCAACTTTATGTCCACTATGCGTTAGCGTTAGACGAAACGGGACGCGCCGGCGCGTCCAGATAGCGCGAAAGTGTTAATATGACAAACACCAAATTGAGGCCTAACAGCTATTGAAGAGATAAATGCCAAAATAAACTAACCTTGTACATTAAGAACCCTTTCCACATTGATCTTGTAAAGTTTGCGCTTCCTCAATTCTGCTCTAATGCGGACCATTTGGTCAGCGTAAGGCGTCACAACCCCTATGGACCCTTCGCCAACTGGACCCCACTCTCTTTTCGGCCAATGATTGATAATTTCTCCGACTTGCTCACAAACTTCATACACCTAAAACAAAATAAAGATTGTTATATGCAACAGTCTGAAACAATGCAAAACGAACATTCATTTTCTGTTCTACAGTACTGTAGCAGCAGATCATGACAAAGGCAGATGAAATAAAAAGAATCAACAAGCGTGTATTAATATACAGAAAATCGGGCTAGGTATTGTAAGTATCCATATACTAGGTACAGTATATGGATATAAAGCTATGTGCCAGAGTGAAAAAGAAAAAGAGGTATGCTTTCCAGGAGAAGGGGCTTAGTGTGACTGTTAATGCTGTCTGATGACAGTGACAGGTTTCTGAGAATGATGAACGATGTCTCATGACATACACTATATTTTATACTGATATGACTGATACTGATATGTCTGATACTATGATTTATACTGTTGAACATAATACTGAATACTTGTTTCTTCAATTACCAGTAAGTAATTATTTATCTTCACTGATTTGAAATGAAGACTCAAAAATCAAAACTAATTACCATGAATTCTGCAGGAATGTATCCAGTCCTCCTGAAGCATACTCACAGATAATATTAAGAGTTTCAAGCCCAGTGTGGTGAGTATACAAAGCATCTTGCCCTCAAATAATCCAAAACTGGCAACTAATTCAAAATACCCATGGATTTCTTTAAGTTTATCTATTTATTTATTTATTTATTTATTTACTTATTTATACACAAGAAGGTACATTGGGTTTGTGAGAATACATAGCAAATTTTCAATCTTGTAAAGCCACTAGTACGCGCAGCGTATATTACTAATCAATAAACAAAATTGGGGAGAGCATTTAACATACAGTAGGTTTATTTTGTGGATGCTGCAGAAATAGTTATGTTATGATTATTATAATAATAATAATAAAGTATTACTATTTTACTACATCATTGTTTGAAAATTTCAAGACCATAAGAAGCATTTTATGTCCTTAGAAGCTCTAACATCTAAAAAACAGAGTTAAGTATCCGTAACAGTGTATCAGCGTATCAGTCTTTTTACAATATTGAAGAATTGGTACACTTGTACATTATCATATAAAACATTTAATTATCAATTGGAGTAGATAATACCAGGAATCTGAAAGAAAGGGGAGGGAGGGGGGGAGGGGGGGAGGGGGGACAGTTGTAAGCTCAGCATTCAAAAAGAGTAAGACATAAGAAAGAACATTGTAGGTGAATGTGTAGTGAGGGAAATGCACTGAGAGAGACTAACTCCACAATGCACTGAGAGAGACTAACTCCACAGTGTACAATACATAATTTAAGTGTAAATATAACAAATCCCAAGGAGTTAAGAAGGCATCACACTGGTTAGTTAATGGTTAAGAAACACAGCTCAGAAGTGGGAGTTTGATCCTGACAAACATGTTAATAATATGAGTAGAGCTAGGCAAATACACAGATATTCCCATAGAAAATGGGCACCTCCTAAACTAATATACAAATTTATTTGTGGAATTTATTAGACCTACCACATACCTCAGAATTGTTGTGAAATGCTGTTGAATTAGGATCTTGAAAATCTTCTCCTCTCGCTGTAAAAAACGTAAGAGGATGGAACTTGGGATGGGCAGTCTGTCTTCCACTTGCTACTAATCGACCATCATAAAACAAGTCTGACGTATACTGCCAGAATGGAAAAGAAAAGATTAGAAGCTTTTAACATACTGTAAGGTATAGTCAATCAATATACAGTATATATTTTATGTTATAGTCATATAAAAATACACACAGTACTCAAAAATCTTTAATTTATTTTTCCTTTTCAACTAATACAGTATTGTGCAACTCTCTAAAACACAATAATGCCTAATACCCCAAAACCTACTCCACTAGAAAATAGGATGTAACTGAAATATTCCAATCCAGTTATGATTCATTACAACATTGTTAGTTCAGATAATTGGGATAATCCTACTAATCTGGATTTGTAGTGATGATAAACATAAACTGTTAAAAACCAGCATTGAATGTAATGAAACGCCATTTTTTGGGTAAGCCCCGGAGGCTCCCTGGAGCTATCGGACTGATATACGCTATATTAGTCTGGGGCATCAGTCAATGGAGTTCTGCCTACCGGGGACCATGAGCTAGAATTTGGCCCCTTCAGAGGCACAGGGAGCAATGACCTATAGAAACCCCCATGTGTTTGGGAGCATTCCATGTCTGCCATCAACTGGGGCTAGGCACCCAGAAAGGTAGGCATAAGAAAACAGACCATACCTGGTAAGAAATTGCAACCAAACACCAGAGAGATAGAACTTCCCCAAAAACATAAGGAAACAAGCAAATGTCATTCATCGCCGCCACGCCACTTGTCCGCGCAGCCCTCCCCTCCCCAGGAGGTGGGAGCCCCGGACCCCCCATGCCGGCTACCTTCAGTTAGGAGGCTGAGCATCAAAAGAAAAACTGTCGACCGGAGGGAGGGAGGGAGCCAGGGGGAGCCTCTGTAGCTCACCCAGAAAATGATGTTTCATTACATTCAATACTGGTTTTCTGTGGGGAGCCCCTTCTGCTCCCTGGAGCTACATACTCAAAGTTAAGTAAAAGAGGGACTTACCCAGGAGGCGGCCGCAACGCACATACATCAACTAAAATTCGAGACAACTGTTCTGAAACCTGCAACCCAAAGCCACACACAAATGACCGGGACCAGGAATATTGACCAGATAGTGGGCAGACAGGACCCTGTTCGACCTCCAAAATCCCAGTTCCCCAATTCAAAACAACTGTTCTGCAACCTGCGACCCAAAGCCACACGAACCACCGGGACCAGGAATATTGACCAGATAGTGGGCGGCCAGAACCTTGTTCGACCTCCAAAACCCCACTTCACGAATGTCAACCCAAGACATGTTGCTGAACACTGCAGCCAAAGCAGCAAACTTACGAATGTCATGGGCACAAGGAAAGACCGCAGGCTGGCTAGACATAATATCCCTGCAGACGACCTGGAAGACCAGAGAAAACAATGAGGAAAACTGGATCAACCTAAAGAGCATCCCAGACCACAGAAGCCAAGGCGTGCAGATAACGGCGAAGAGCTGCAAAAGGACACAACACATAATGCCCAGCCGGTTTGACCAACGAAACATCAATAACCCAAGGATCTTCGCCAGAAAAGGAGATGGCTGCAAACAAACAAACCGACCACAAGGACCGAAAGAGCAGAAACCCCTGCGCCGGAGGAGAGAATGAAGCTCACCGACCCAACCCCAATGCCAACAAAGCCTTAGAAAAACAATCTTGAACCAAAGGAGACACCACAAGCCAAGGAGAAAAGAGAGCACCCAGTCCAAGGATCAGGATGGCTCAGGTGATGCATGAGCAGCCCAGAGGTGAAATAAAGCATGAGAAAGCTTGTGAAACAGGGCCAATGTGACATCCACCCCAAACGCAAGCCAGAGTGACTCCGCCAGCGCTGCACAATAAGAGACGACAGCATTTGGTATGAAATGAAGGTCCTGAAAAAGCCAAGAAAGAAAGAACAAAACAACCCGATCAGAAAAAGATAGAGAAAATGGCAAAAGCAACACCAGTAATCGTCATACTGTTGCCGAGACGAAGCTCGCATGTGGGACACCATCAACGAAGTTCGCATGTGGGACACCATCAACGAAGCCACCTGATCAACATACACGTGGTGATACACCCACGACACTTTTTATTTAAATCAAGGAATACATTTCTTTATTTAAATCTTGATGTAAATCATCTAGATTTAAATCTAACAACCCTGCCCAGGTACATCTGTTTATACAACTTGTGCAGTCATGTGCCTACCTATCAGTAAGCACATGACTATGCAAGTTAATTAACACACATGGTGGTAGATAGGGGGTAGTAATCAGACAATCAATTAGAAGTTTGGTAGTTAATAGTAGCAACTACTCAGAGATCTCATTAAAGCCAAGTATTATTTGGACAAAGTTACCGAAGTGTTGGTGAATGTACGTTCTGATGGCTATTCAGGACTGAAGTGAGAATTATAGTGTCTCCCATCCCTAAATAATGGCACAGTGAAAGCATCCCTAGAGAAGAGAGGCAGTGCCGAGAGGAGCAACCCAATGCTTTAAAGTACAAAAATTCTGATTGACATGTATAAACAAAATTCAGTGTTGGACACCTCACCTTAATAATGGCTGAATGTGAGCGGTAATTTTCTACAAGCATTATTTTGCACGGGGAGTCTGCAGCATAGAGATCATATAGACGCTCTAGTAGAGATGTACCTAAACCTCGTTCTTCACAAAATTTTGAAAAAACCTGCACAAATCATATATATCTATATAAATGTTATTTCTTGGTAAACAATTTGCTATATTCACAGACATAAAATATATATTCTTCATAACCAATATGTTAAGTAAATAGATTTTTCACAAATTTATAAACAAAATTTATCAATACCAATAGACTTTTACTTGCCTCTGGACTAAGCTGCATGTAATCACCAGCTAATACGAGGCGAGTGTCAGCTTTGGCTAAAGCTAGTGGAGTGAGAGCTTCACACTCCATAGCTTGGGCTGCCTCATCAATTAGAATGTGCGAAAACACACCTAAAACAAAAATAGAAAGAGGCTTAATGGAACTCTCTCAATGATAACATGTCTTACAAAATGCAATTTCATAAATCTGTAATTACTGTACCTAACTGTATTTATAGGATGAGAGCTATGCTCGTGGTGTTCCGTCTTCCCAGTACTCTTTGTCGTATCACGCTTCGAAACTACTGACGGTATTGGCCTCCACCACCTTCTCACTTAGTTTGTTCCAACCGTCTATAACTGTTTGCAAAAGAAAATTTTCTAATATTTCTTTGGCACCTGTTTTCTAATCATGAATCTGTGTTCTCTTGTTCATGAAGTTGCTGGTTTCTGGAATTCCTCTGTCAATTTGGTCTATTCCTGTTAGTATTTTGTAAGTGGTGATAATATCACCTCTCTTTCTTCTATCTTCTAGTTCTGGCAAGTTTAACGCCTTTAGCCATTCCTCGTAACTTTTGTTTTTCAGTTCCGAAAGACATTTTATAGCATGCCATTGCACCTTGACCAGTTTCCTTATGTGCTTCTTGAGATTTGGTCACCATACAACTGATGCATATTCCAATTTTCATCCCACAAAAGTCATGAACAGTTTCTTTAGTATTTCATTCCAAATAATTACTGTAAAAGCAAGTCTGAAGTTGGCAAGTGACACATACGCTCCTCTCACAATGTTCTTTGTGTGTTCCTCAGGCGACAGCTTACTATCCAAAACCTCCCCTAGGCCTCTTTTTTTTTAAGAGTTCTGTAATTCCTTTCCACATAATTTGTAAGTTGTGTGTGGTCTATTTCTCCGATTCCACATTCCATAACATGGCATTTATTCACATTGAACTCCATTTGCCACTTGATGCTCCAAGCACTTATTTTATCTACATCAATTTGAAGGTCATTACAATCTTCTGTCTCCTATCTTTCCCAGTACACTACAACTACAACTTAACAACTACAATTTAAAACTACACTCAAAATACTACACATTGACACTCAAAACATAGATAAGAAATCACAAATGACAAGACATGACTGCCACTTACACCTGCCTAAAACAAGGTGAACTCTGATCCCAATGACTTACCACCAACCACTCGTTCCACCATGACCATATACAGTACTGTATAACCATGGGTTTTTAGGAGGCTTCCAGGAAGGGAAGGGACCTATCATGGAAAAGTGCCAAGCCATTACAACTGTATAGCACTGAGAAGGAATCAGAATAAGGATTTGGGATGGGACGGAGGGAAGGAATGGTGTCCAACCACTTGGATGGTTGGAGATTGAACGCCGACCCTTAATTATGGTTTCCAGGATAGCATTAGAGTTTATTCCAGGAGGAACCACTGTCAGATTTAATAGCCTGATCAATCTAATTATAATACAGTATTTAATAAAGCTGCATAATTGAATGTGGAAGCACAAGAATAAAAACAGCCAAGTATTTACAAGCATTTGCATCTGGCAACAACTAGTTTGAATTTGCTTAGGTATCACATTTTTTCTTCACTCGCATGTCAGTCACACACACACATCACCGTGAAATTATATATCAGGCATTTCTTCACAAGTTCTCAATTCATACAAGTATCTGAAATATCTAGGAAAGCTTCTTCAGTAAGCCACCCTCTTAAGATAAGAGTGAGTTCCCAAAGGAAACGAAGCATCAGTGATATGAAAGAAGTTAAATCCACTGAAAAAACATTAAGGCGCATACCTTTCTCCAGCTTGAGAGATGCTATGTATCGGGAAGTGTTGAGTGTTGCCACTATAACTCGATGGGAGAGAATTTCTTCTTCACTTGGCATCACAAACCTTCTAACACTCTGGTCATTTTCTATCAAACAATACTGTAAGGAAAAAATAAAAATTTAAATTTTGAATGAATGTCAAATTAATAATTAAATTGAGTTTTATAGGTTAGACCATTTGCCAAAGAAATACTGGGAAATTACCAAGTTACCAATGTAGCAAGTTACCAAGTGCACATATCGCCAAGAAGAAGAGTGCCAGACAGTTGGAACAAGGTAAGTGAGAATGTGGTGGGGGCCAAAACCATCAGTAGGTTCAAAGCATTATATGACAAAATGAACCTGGGAAGATGGGACACCACGTAGCTCACATCCTGTAACTACACTTAGGTCATTACAGCAGTTAGGCTCTGGATTGGGTACAGAATTCAATTTAATCCATCCAAGAGAGAGATGAGGTAAACAACATCTCTGGTACACGGGAACTTGTACAAATACTCTGAAGAACCTTCATGTGGAAGGGTCAGATGCAAAAGATAGAGAACTGTGAGCAAACACCAAAGAAGTTGAATATCCTGTTTTGATCTAAGTACCTTTTGCAAAAATTTCCCTCAGTTGTGGAGTGATTTCTGATCTCCACATGCTCTTTGCCCATTCAGAAGGTTACCTTGGGGTGCTTCCGGGGCTTAGTGTTCCCGCGGCCCGGTCGTCAACCAGGCCTCCTAAGGCAAAGCACGAGCGTGGCATTCGTGTGAATGATCTCGTCAGGGAGTATGGCAGGTATGGCAAGAAGGGAAAACAATTGGCAATGACACTTGTTCCTATGTGGCAAGAAAGTTAATCAGTAACCTGGCAATTACATGCATCCACTTGCACTCAGTGCTTTAAGCTAAGGGAAGCTTCTATGGGGTGGAAGCTTTGAAAGGTTCCACGTACTGTTTTTAATATTCCAAACATTTATATATCCTTCTCTACCAGGGATTGTTTAATTAAATACTTTATTTTACTTACTGGCTACATTATTATGATCTCAAGTTATCTGTTCTTTTCAGTAAGTCATGTATTCTGCTTTAATACTCTTGACATAATTTCAGATTGAAAGTACAATTGGAATTGCTTGAAATTTAAAACAGATTCTGAGAAAGATATATTATTAATTATAATTATGGAGAACTTCATTATGAGATGAATAGCCACCTTCTGAACATCTGGATGGACAGTTGTAACCCAACGATTGCGATAATAAATGCGTAAGGGTTTCGCTTCTTCATGTCCTGCCATCACATATGGGTGAAGATATTCTTTGATGTATAAATCAGCAGCACTGTAATGGATAACATATTTTGTAAAATCAACAAAACAACCACTAAACATAAGATCACCTTGGTGAATTATCTTGATAATTCATAATTAAAAAATATGAGGAGATTTACACACTTTCAGACATATTATGCTAACTACAATCATAGATGCAACATAAAGACATGAGGGTACAAGAGCAGAATGGCATCACTACAAAATTATGATACTGGTATCACACATCTAGTTAAACTCCTATAGGTTACATAATAAACATTAGCGTTAATAGGTCATATATGTAGAATTTAGCTAGCCACATCTCATTCATTCTGGTAAGAATAACTTGCATCTATTACAACTATAGTAATTAATGGTTGTACTATTCTAATGTGAAGAAGCTAAATTTATGAGTTAAATTATGCAAACTTTTGATCAGTACATTATGTTACCAATATTAGCATTAATTTCCGTGTGATTTAATTAATTATTTGTCTGGATGTATGAGATATTATGTTACTGATTGTTACTCTTATTTACTGATTGCACCTTCAACTGTACATCTTGCTCTACATAGCTTACATGGTATAAGAAACTTGACCTTCACACTGATGCATTATAACTTGTATAAATACTCCTCTCATTATGCCACTGTTTACCTTGTATTTATCTTGTGATGTGCTTACTTATCAGTACAGTACTAACATGTCAGTGATAATGTGGCAGTGACATCCAAACTCATGCCATTCTTTGCTTGAAGTTGTGTATAGAATTGGCATCAACAACACTTGCCTTATAATGCATGCCACTCACTGATTGCCCATACAGTCTGAAAGAATTTCCTAACACAAATACAACTCAAATTGCACATACAGCTTTCACCAATGTCACTGTCGTCCTTCCTCTAATTTTAGACTGCCTTTGTCCACCTTGTCTATGTGGTGATCATATTTCTTGTGATTTTTTCTCCTCTAAAGAGCCAACAGCCAGCAACTATGATAACACTTAATAAATAGTAATCTTCAAAGAGACCAAATCTTTAAAACCCATTAGCATACTTAACAAAAGTTTAAAATTAAAATTTGTCTCAATAATACAGGTAGTCACCTTATCAGATCAAATGGAGGCTGAGAATCAAAGGGAAATTTATTTGTAGCTTTTATGAATGTCCTTTCATAAATAACTGTGGTAGTGAATAAGACTCTCTAGTACCTCAGTACAGCAACTGAAAAGTGAGTTTGAAAGGATCCCTGCTACAGTGAGACATAACCATCCACTGGCTTGGCTTGATCATGCTTGTTTGAGAGTAAGATGTTGCTTAATGGGGAAACCAAGTGCCTTGCTCAGAAAGCAGCTTGTCATCTACACGCCAAGCCTTATTTTCTTATTTTTAACCAGGTCAACTGTAATTTATATACAGTACTTAATTAAAAATAACTAAACTAGATTTATTTATTTATTTATATGATCCTTAAAAGTATATATGGTAAATGAATCTTCAATTGACTTTGGATATTGTTGGAAAATTCATAGCATATATTTTATTTGCACATTAGATCCATCACCAAATTGTAGTATTTAGTTTTTATTATCTCCTTCACAGTTAAGGCTCTAACCTGTTGGAGTGTGTACAGATGAGGATGCGAGAGCCTGCCTCTTGTAGAATTTGTTTGATACCCTGTGCCAATGTGTAGGTTTTTCCTGTTCCGTAAGGCCCTGTGTGAGGATACCAAGCAATAACAGTTAACTTATACACAATATATACTTGTATACCAAAATTAACTTGTTTAATAAAATAACACAACAAAACACATAAAAACACAAAGATAGAAACTTTGTAGGTTATGCAGTGCAAACATTTAAGAAAATTTAATACGGTCCAAAATAAAATGTGTGTTTGGTAAAGAAATCATTGAAATAATGAAAAGCAAATAAGATCTAAATATGTGAAATTTCTATTACAAGCAGACACAATGAAATAAATTACTAAAGAAACAGAAAAGATAAGATGATGTAAGCAGAATGTTGTGCTTGACATAGTCAATATTCAGTCACTAAGGTTTGAGAACATAGCGGTGAAAAACCCAGCATCGAGTGTTATGCTGGGTTTTTCACTCGGAAAAATGGAGTGAAACTCCATTTTCCGGGCAAGTCCCAGAGACTCCCTGAATCTATCAAACTGACATGTGCCATATTAGTTTGGTGCCATCAATCCTTGGAGTTCAAGTGCCTACCAAGGCCCAGGAGACAGAACCTGGCCCCCTCAGAGAGGCGAAGGAAGCAGTGGCCATTTGAGCTCTCTATATCTAGAGTTTGTCATGTTGTAACACTATAACGGTGTTTTGATATTTAATATGTATATACAACATGCGTTAGCCAGACAAGATTTTGAGAGGCGCTAGTCTGTCGGCCTGTAGCCATTAAAGAAATCACACCTAGAGGAGTTAATGACCACAAGTCGACCAAGGGTCAGGTCGGGTGACTTGACCTTGCCTCTGCTAAGCCAGTAATTGCAGACAGGTAGCAGGGTGTGTATTTCAAACCAGCTGTCGGTTAAGGCGTGGCTTGGTAGATGGCCTGGGGCTATCTACTTAGTAGGCGGAGCTAGCTCCAGGTATTCCCCATAAATATTCAGGGAACTGTACATTCGTGAGCAAAGCAGAACAGAGCATAGCATAGGATCTGCAGACTAGCGCATCAGCAGACAGCAGACGAGATAGGCTGTCAGCCGGACGGGGGGAATCTACCTGTCAACTGTAGACCCCCCCCCTCCCCTCTATTCTACTTAGCCTCAGTCCTTGGTGAGTGAACATTAAGGAGACCTAGTTCGTGTTTTCCAACCATTAGGTGTTGTGGGATTATCAGGGGCAGACAGTTGTAGTGTCCTCAATGCCTTGTGTAATGACTCACATTGTATAGTAATCCTGACATAGTAAACCTTAAGTTCGATTGCTTGAATTATGATACTTATCATGTTAAATATAATTGATGAATTTATTATTTAAATTGTCTTTAATTTTGTTTCCTAGAGCTTTGTGAGTTGAGGCGAGAGAGCCTCCGAGTTTATTGATTTTATGATTTTATATGAGTTGGTTATCTTGAGGTTATCTTGAGATGATTTCGGGGCTTTAGTGTCCCCGCGGCCCGGTCCTCGACCAGGCCTCCACCCCCAGGAAGCAGCCCGTGACAGCTGACTAACTCCCAGGTACCTATTTACTGCTAGGTAACAGGGGCATTCAGGGTGAAAGAAACTTTGCCCATTTGTTTCTGCCTCGTGTGGGAATCGAACCCGCGCCACAGAATTACGAGTCCTGCGCGCTATCCACCAGGCTACGAGGCCCCCCATGAACTTCATGAGTAAATGGTACATGAACTTCTTGGGTAATTTTTTGATACAGACAAGTTCCAGTCCTTGTCGTGTATATAATGACTTAGGATGGATGGTGGCAGCCCTTTCTACCTCTACTTATCTACTTTTCTACCTCTACCTATCTGCCCTTCTACCATTTCTACTTCCTACTCTCTCTCCTCCTCCTCCTCCTCCTCGCTTCAAAACTTTCCCTTTCAACTGACCATTCCTCGCTATTCCCAGTACTTCTTACCCCTCCCACCTCTCTACCTCCCTCACCCCAAACCCTCACTCATTACTTCATTATTTTATTTAATTCTTTTTCTCTATTTTTCAATACGTTATCAACTGCCATCAACTGGGGATACCACCAGAAATGCAGGTGAACCATTACAAACCTCTAACTGGTTAAAATTACATCCTATGTCCATCCAGAGCCAAAGAACTCCCCCAATAGAAAACAATGAAACAAGCAACTCGTCATCCAAATAGTGCGCCTGCTCATTAGTGCCTTCCCCTCCGCTAGCCAGACTAAAGGTGCGGAAGAGTAAGCCAAACCAGCGAGGTATCTCGCCAGCCCAACCTGTTGAAAAAGGCGAAGCCGCAGAAAAATCTTCGGGTTCAGACACTTTGCAAGCAGCGTTTGAAACTAAGGCTGGGCTGGCCACCATGGGACCAGGAGAACCACTTTCCCCAAAAGGATTCGAGCAGTGCCAGAACCCGAAGCAACAGCTGGACTGGGGGATGAAGGTACAAAAAACCCCACCTTGACCAGTCCTGCCGGAAAGCATCTACCGCAAAGGCCTTGCAGTTAGGGAACAGTGCCATGTATACTAGGAGGTGCTGGGACCAAGCCAACACGAAGAGGTCCACCTCTGGGCCTCCAAATATCCGACAAAGCCAAAGGAAGGAATCGGCGTCAACAGTCAGTCCGTTGAAAGAGGAGTGAAGTGAGACAGGCCGTCAGACACCCCCTGTATGTGAACGGCGTGGAGAGCTAAACCCCGAGAACTCAGCAAAAGAGCTACCCGAAGCGACCAGCCACAAAGAGCCACCAACCGCAGAGACCCTCCCCTGTTGAAACAATGAACCACAGGAGACCCTCCCCTGTTGAAACAATGAACCACAGGAGAGCAGTCCCAATGGAGTTGAATCACCGAGACCCTGAGGCAACAGAATACGCCACAAACTCCCACACTGTGCTAAGCCCAACGGAAGGACACAAGTGCCTTTATGCCCCTAGTCGGCCTGGTGAGAGTTAGTCACAAAACCCCAGCCGAGAGACGAGGTGTCCGTGAACACATCAAACAAGGGAAGGGGAAGGCACCAAGGCACCAAACCCCGAAAAACACGAGGAGGAAGCCGGAAATGCAGCAACTGACACAAGGACCCCAGAGGTCAAACCCAGCTATCCCTAGATTGGCGAAAGGAGGCTGCCCCAAAGATACCAGAATAGCTGCCCAGCAGGAAAACCAGCAAGGAAAAGTTCAGTCTCCCGCACAACTGCTCGAGCAACCGCCAAGTGACCCGGGTCCCACTCAGAAACAACAGACAATGGAGCAAAGCCACAGGAGGAAGAGAAATGGACGTAGCCCGAGAATCCCACATGAGGCCCTAGCCAAGTCCGAGCCCGAGATGGAACCAGATGGGACTTCCACCAATTCACCAGGAACCTGAACCTTGCAAGCTGGGAAAGAACCACTTCCCTGGCCAGCAGAAGAGCAGACTGGTTGGGAGCCCATACCAACCATTCGTCGAGGTAGGCCAGATCCCAAATCCCTAGCAGAGGAAGACGGGCCTCCACAACCCGAGTGAAACATGTGAACACATGAGGTGCCAGATTCAAGCTGAATGGAAGACAATGAAAGCGGTAAGCCTGACGCTCGACCATGAAACCTAGCCAATCCCTGGACCCCGGATGAATAGGAAAGTGCAAATACACATCCTTGAGGTCCAGGATTATCATACAAGTTCCCAGCTCGAGAAGAAGCCGGACATAGAACAAAGTAGTCATCTAAAAGGAAGTTCAAAGAATCCAACTGTTCGGACAGGACAAGTCCAGAATGAACCGCAGATCCACACAGTCCCGTTTTAGAACTGAAAAAAAGCGGGAAACCCACTTGAGGGACGAAGTCATTTCGACCACGCCCAAGTGAACCCACTCCAATATGACCCGATAGACAGACATGGAAGAAGCCTGCCCCACCACCCCCAAACACCCACAGGAGGAGGAGCGGCCCAATGGATCTGTAAGTAGATGGTTCATCTTCACCTCATCCCCAGGTATAAATCATGCAGCAAGAAACTTTGTAATCATTCAAACTCTGCCTTTGACAGTGTTAACAAGAGTCAACGAAATGCAACTCTTAGCATAAGACCAGATAAAACTGTAAAAATTAACTTTGGATAGCTAATTTTTCAACTCCTTTCTCAAGTGAAGAAAAATGTAAGGAAAATAGAGAAGATTCGTGGTAGAATCATTGATCTCCCCTCCAATGCAGTTTCCATGTTCCCTTTCCTTTTATGTTTTGTTTTGCTTTATAAAATAATGTACATAGATTTTTATTATAATTTATATATATATATAAATATTTGTTAAGTATAAAATATAGTACACACACACACATTTAAAACATCAAAGTAAAATATTTATACTAACCAATTATTAGTATAGGAGGCAGAACAAGTCCAATAGGTGCAGTAATTGCTACAAGAGCCTCCTTCTGCTTGGGGTTCAATTTGGCATCCAGACTCTCTCCCCATTGCCTGTGGGAACAACACATATCACTATAAATTCAACAATAAGCCATAACTGTAATAAATAAATAAACATGAAACCATACTGTTTGGTCTACTTACTTGATAGGACTCCATGGAATTGCAGGTTCTAGGGTGACATCTGGAAATATCATATCCAAAGATGGGAGACGATCTAGAGCTGCGTGCATTTCACACAATGGCAGACGATTCAATTGGAATTGAACTTCCACTGTCACCTCCTCGTCGTCACTAAGACGAAGGGCAGCAACAGCAGATTCAGAAAATCTAAGGTATATTTCCTTTTTTGTTTTATCTTCAATGAGGACTTCATAAATTCGACGTTTTGCTTTCATAATCTCTCTACCCCCACCTTCAGCTGTACAGAAAAGGAAAATATACAATAAAATAAAATATTTATCATATTTATTTAATAAATCCACTGTCAATGTTATAATTTATTGTGCAAAACATCACACCAGTCAATATGGTTAGATACTGTACTATAAATTCAATACACATTCCTGTTCAAAGCCTTATTCCCTTACCTTTCTGCTTGCATGCTGTATTTGTAATTTCTCTAATTATCCCTCCTCCATGTCATTAATATTCCCCATTAATATTGCTAATAACATTTCCTTTACTTCACTTTAAATAACAAAGATACTATATAAAAAAAACATTGAAGAAAAAAAAAGAAAAGAGAGTCGCCACCCCCAACAAATGTTTCGTCCTTCATATTAAAATGTAATGAATAATATACATCACATGAGTAATAACTTCTATCTCAACAGGTGTGACTTCAGTATAAAATAACATCACACTAGCAATAAATTTAAACATCTCATTTTGTTTTTCTTTTTAAGTTTCTCTATATAATAAATAATATGCTAAACAGTAGAAATAAATTAACATTATACCAACCAGTCTATTTATTTAAAGTAGAAAATCTTGCAAATTGATAGGTTTAAATAAGATGGATGAGAGTAATAATAAACAAGATAGATCTGTGAGGTGAATGTTAAAGAATGTGATGGAACATTTTGGAATCAACTGAAAGTTTATGGGAGTTACATAATGGTAGGAAAGCTATTATGCTGATGGATATATATGCTTGGGGTGCATATGAGAATAGATTTATTGAGGGATGTGTGTTCAGAGAGAGGTTTGCTTTAATCAAATACAGTACTTTCTTTGAGTAGAGGTTGCATATAAATACACGTTGATTTGAAAACAAAGGAATTAAAGACAAACTAATGTATCGGTATCAGCCTGGCTTATTTCTGCAGAATTGGGATCAGTAACTTTTTACTTACACAGGTAGACATAGGAGTCAGAACTCATTGTCCCCTGTACCCACCTGTGTAATAAAAACAAAGTATAGGGTGAAATTTGTCCAATAACAATGCTGCACAAACAGGCTGATACCAACACATAAGTACATTTCTAGTATGAAAAGTTAAATGAGAGTAATTAGTGGGTGAAGTGGTAAATGAGGTGATTAGTATAATATTAAAGGAAGGAATGTTAGAAAATAAGAATGAAAAACAGGATACCTGACATAGAAAATTAAACTTGGGAATGGAAAGGGGCAGCATGCACAAGAGGACAAGCAGTGGAAATGAGCATTAAGAAAAAATAAGTATATGGGATGGGTATAACAATGAGAAAGTATTTGAAATATGGTATGAAGAGAGGAGAGAATGAATGAAAGAGGAGTTGGGGGAGCAAGTGAAGTTTATTATACTTAGATGGTATAAACATGGCAGCAAAAAGCCTGTCAAGGGTGTACAAGGGAGAAATAAGAGGATTATATGGTAGAGGCAGACAACACGTCTCTTAGAAGAGAAAGAAATGTTTTTTGTTCAAAACTTGTTAAATTCAGGACATTGGTAATATTGTCATTCAATTAAATTACTCTCAATTTTACATTTGCTAGTTCCAGTTATACTGAAAACAATTATGATACTATGAAGCATACCTAAGTATTCCCCCTATTGGAGACAAAATTTTGATAATCCTGGTTAGTTAATGCATCATGACACTGGCAATGCTATAAATAATTATACTAACCTTTCTCAGATTCTGATGACATTGATGAGCTATTTAAAATTTCTTTACCACCAGGTTTTGGGTTATCCATAACAGGAGCCACAAGAATAGTACTACAATTTGAGAGAACAAGCCGTCCATGATGAGAATCTTCAGAGATCTCTGAAGACACTTCTAATTTTCCAAACAATTCTCCTGGTCGAGAGTACTTTGCAGTAGCTGCAGTTGATGGCAAAAGCAAATAACTACTAGTAATCTGGAGTGTTGTTTTAATGTTAAACCTCGCAACTAAGTCAAACTGAGCTAATTCTTCGATATTTAGTAGATCGTGTAACCTGCTCTGGTAGTTACTTTTTGTTGGGAATTTTTCCATTGAAGTCTGGGTCAAAACAAAATTTTCATTTGTAGGAGCTGGATATGCAGCCAAAATACTCTTATCATGATCACTTAATTCATGAGGTTTGGGATCAAATGGAATAATTTCAACGTTCTCTTCACACCATCTTTCACTTCTGGTAAGGATTGTGCGTTTGGTTTCCTCCAGGGCACTGAGATCTTCAACAGGAATGACATCCACACACAACCTTTGCATAAGCACTGGTTCACTGCCAAAATCAAAGATAACTGCTTGCCTAAATGTTCCATATATCATAGTTTTAAAGCTAATAGTGACTTTATATTCGTGAACTGACTGCTCTTGATAAATCGAAGCTTCTGCATCGGTGTTTATCCACTCCTGGTTATTCTCCGGTTCATAAGATTTGTGAATGTGACGATGATTAACTATGTGAGTTACTTCAGAAATTATGAAGTGTGTTCGGTGAGCATCATGAAGTAAAGACACAACACGCATGGGTGTTAGAGGGTGCAGGCTGATGACCCACTCATGGCTGCTCGGCTTCTGTGACACACGCAGATTGGGCTCCATACTCATGTTTGTTATGATGCCTTCACTCTTTAAAGAAAAAATATATGCAAAATTATTAAACATTAATGCACGCTGTGTCATATCTTCTGAGCCAATCGGAAGCACTCACTAATTATGTCTCATACCCAAACCTGGAAATAACATTGCACATGATATAAACTCTTACCCATTATTTTATGTAAGATAATACAGTGAATATTGCTTGTTATAAGAATGTCAAATGTCCCAAACCCAGAGCACTTGGAGAAAATTATAGGCAAAAAATACTGAGTAAATAATTAAAATATTCATGGCAACAAAAATATAAGTTTCACAGTTCTTAATATATGATGATAAAGTTTTACATGTCTTCTTTTTTTAAGGAGCAAATATTAAAAAAAACAAAAAAAAAACAGCATTGAATGTAATGAAACACTAGTTTCTGGGTGAGCCCAGGAGGTTCCCTGAAGCTATCATACACTGATCAGTGCCATACAACTTGGTGCCATAAGTCGCGGAGATCTATTTGCCAACCGGAGTCCATGAGCCAGAACCTGGTCTCCTCAGAGAAGAGCAGGAAGTGACGGTCTATGATCACTTTACATTTAAAGGTTATCATCGTTGCCAACACCTAGGGAAGGCACCTAGAAAGATAGGTAAATCAAACCAGACCACTGCATAGTTAAAAATGAGACCACAGCCCCAAAAATTGCGAAAAGCATTCCCCAACAATGAAAACAACCAATATTTTGTGAAATTAGCCCCTCTGCTAGTTTGCTCCACCCTTCCTTCTCGCTAGGGGGGGAGGAGGAACTGCCCTGGGTCAGCCGGGCACCACATCGGTCAGTTATAAAATGATACAACACGCAGATGACCTGGGGAAAAGAGGGTGTCAGGAAGCCTCTGAGGCTCACCCAGAAACTGACATTTCATTACATTTAACACCCAGACTTTCTGGGTGCCTTCCCTAGAATTGTGGCAGACATGAATAATTTTAAATGTAAAGTGTTCATAGGCTGCTGTTCCCCGTGCCTCTCTGAGGGGGTCAGGTTCGGGCTCGTGGTCCCCGGTAGGCCAATAAAAATTCAGTGACTGATGGCACTTAGTAGTATTACACTGAATCAGTGTAATAGCATAAGGAAGCCTCAAGGGGCTCCCCCTAGAAAGGACCTTGTAAGCAACATACAAAGATGAATCAATATACGTTTTATCATGCAATCCATTAAGTACAACATTTTCTTCAATGAGACAGGAGAACAACCTTTTAGTAATGTTCTCATTAACCCTTAAAGTGTGTCTGATCAAAGTAACTAGTACCTCTCTGCTTGAGTGTCAAAAAATCAGTGTTGAATGTAATTAAAAGCCATTTTCTGGGCGAGCCCCAGAGGCTTCCTGAGCTGATAAGTATGTATTAAACCGTGGCATCAGTTGATTCGAGGTCTTGCCTACCGAGGACCAAGAGCCAGAACCTGGCCCCCCTCAGAGAGGCTCGAAGAGCAATGGTCTATGGAAACCCCCATGTGTTTGGAAGCATTTCATGTCTGCCATTGACCAGGGTCTGGCACCCAGAAAGGTAGACGTAACAAAACAAACTCCACATGGTAAAAATCGCTACCAAAACCCTGACAGATACACAAAACTCCCAAACTAAAACAAGCAAACATCACTAACGCTGTCACGCCGATCGTCCGCGCAGTCTCCCCCCCTGCATGCTGCATACACCCCAAGGGGAGGGGGCTGCGTAAACAATCAGTGCGGCGGCGTTAGTGACATTTGCTTGTTTTAGTTTGGGAGCTCTGCCTCCCTGTTTGGATTAGGTAGCAATCTTTATTATGTGAGGTTTGTTTTGTTACACCTACCTTTCTGGGTGCCAGACTCCAGTCGATGGCAGACATGGAATGCTTCCAAAGATATGGCGGGTTTCCAAAGGCCATTGCTCCTTGTGCCTCTCTGAGGGAAGGGGGGGCAGGTTCTGGCTTGTGGTCCCCAGTAAGCAAGAACTCCAATCAACTGACGCCGCAGTCTAATACATATATATCAACCCAGTAAGCTCTGGGGAGCCGTAGGGGGTTCCCAACAGAAAAATAATTAAGAGATACAATAAGAAATAAATATTTTGTCCTTATGAAAAGATATTTTGCAAGCAAAAGGTAAGTAATAAAATACAAATATCCAAGTCATTTGTGTTTCATGAATATCAGGAGATTGTCTTGTGAGAAGTCATTTGATCTGTGGACTGTAGAGTGAGCTGTGATTACTGTGTTAGAGGATTTGTGTGTTTGCTGTTTCACTTTAATTTACACAATGTGTGGAATATCTAAGATTAATTTACCTAACTAACAAAAATCAGTGAACACCAAGAAACAAGAAGTGACAGCATTCAGCATGAGATGCTGGTCAAGAAACAACCAGGAAAGAAAAGAAAACCCAACCTGAACAGAAACTAAAGTGATAAAAGACAAGGAAGAGGTGAAATGAACACCCAAGCCACCTCAAACTGCCACCTCAACAACACATGCAGGTGGAACACCATTAACCCAGACACCTGCTCACCACAAAGATGGCAATAAAGATGAATCAGAAAGTCCAGATACAAAGAGCTGAGGAGGACTTCAAACCAGCACCAGACTGATCTCCTGAAAGAGGTGTAGCCAAGGAAAAATGCCTCAATTTGGACACTGGGCACTAAGAGCCAGAAATCAAGGCTGAACCAGCCACCAAAGAGCCAGAAGGATCACCCTCCCTTTGTAAGACTCCAATCCAGCAAATGCCTGGAGCAACAGCTGAACCAGGGGTAAGAGGTAAATGAACCCCACCCTCAACCAATCCAGCCAAAATCCAACCAATAAATGGCTTTCTGATCAGAGAATAGAACCACATAGGAGGGAAGGCACCAGTTACAAACTGACATACAGAGGTACACCTTGGGGTTATCTTGAGGTTATCTTGAAATGATTTTGGGGCTTAGCGTCCCCCCCCGCAGCCCGGTCCTCAACCATGCCTCCTTTTTTGTTACACATCCCCAGGAAGCAGCCCGTAGCAGCTGTCTAATTCCCAGGTACCTATTTACTGCTAGGTGAACAAGGTCATCAGGGTGAAAGAAACTCTGCCCATTTGTTTCCACCTCCGCCGGGGATCGAACCCGGAACCTTAGGACTACGAATCCCCAACACTATCCACTCAGCCGTTAGACCCGAGGAGAGTTTTGTGGTGATCAAACCTCTCACAGAGCCAATGGAAGGATGTGTCGTATATGGTCCAGTTCGTGAAAATGGGGCAAAAAGCTTCAGAGAGGCAGTAGACTCATCCAGAAAGAATCGCTTCATTACATTCAATGCTGGGTTTTGTAATACCAGATAACCTCATTTATAAAAAGAAAATTACGTCATTTGCATAAAAACTAGGTGATGATATTGTACCTAAAACCAACATATGATAATAGCTTTATTACCCAAAGAATATAAATATAAATATTTAGCAATATATAAATATTTATATTTAGATGTCTTGCACTGTATCTAGAAGGGCTTAATAGAGTACAAGACCCTAGAAAGAATGTTTTCCTGCCATAAGATAAAAATATTTTAATGTTACAAGATTTTGCATCATAATACTGTACCTTACCTTCTCACAAAGTAATGTGTCATGATGCTGGGTCTGTGACAGCCTCTCCAGAAGCTGATCAGCATAGGAAGCACCATGTAACTGTTTTTCCCTCGCTCGTTCAAGTTTCATAGCCCGATACTCAAAGCGCTCCTGCCACTCAACAAGCTCGGCATCACTATGAGCTTCAATACACTGATCCCCTAAACGGCAAGTGTGTGTATCCTTATAAGTAGTACACAGCGTGTATTCTTCTGCACTCAATCCTCGTGGTGGTGGTCGGTGAGTCCAGTCTCGACCTTCATCTGACATGATGGTGGTCTGATGATCCTGACTTCGGCAATGTGTTTGAAGCTCCACCTTGGTGTTGAAGTAAACATTGCAATAAGAACAGTGAAGACGGGTTGGAGGAGACTTGTCTGTCCTTATATGACCCTTCATATTTGGTGATATTGGCTTGTCACACTTTACTAATGTTTCTAATGCCATTTCTCTTTCCACATCGGATTTTGGACTTCTGGATTTTTGCCGAATTCCTTGCATGTCTCTATGAGTTTCCTTTTTCTTTTTTTTCCACTTTTGTTTTGATGTATTTGCTATATTAGAAGCTTGCTCACTTGGAGAATCTAAATGGCAATTCTTTAATTTTTCCATTTTAAGTTTAACTTTTCTCATTTAAACCAGCAAAAGAAATAATTTAATTCACTAAGTTATAAATCTACAGTTGTAATCTTCATAAAAGAAAGAAACAACAATGAATTTTTAAGATATACCATATAATTCTCTCGGAATGGTGTAATTCTTAAATAATTTTCTGGATAAGCACAAACAGTTTACAACACAGATAAAATATTCCAGAAGTGAAGGACCAATGCGTAGCAGATTAAACAATACAGCGGCAGCAAAGGAAGGGGTAAACAGTATGGAATTGCAGAACAATATGTAGTAAACGAAGAGCACCACTCATTTTTCTTCTTTTTTCGCATTAATATGTTTCGTCCATATCCAGTCTGCCAACATCTGCAATAAAAAACTAAACATAAATACTTTTGTTTATGTGGTATATTAATATATGGATAATAAATTATATTTAGTATGTTAATTTAGTCATAAAAACAAATACCATACTTTAGGTTTACATCTTGGAGAAAAGCCACCAGATTAAACTAGATATATTTCAGAATTTATTGCATGAATAACATTTCTATATTCTCATAAATAATTAACAGGTTCTCATAATTATTCTCATAATTAACAGGTTATCATTCTTTAACAGGTTCCCTCAACCTAACCTGTAGAATAATTTCCTACTTATCAAAATGTCTTAATTAAGTGTACAGTACATCTATCACAGAACCAATGAACATGTCCAGACCTGCTCAACACCTTGTCCATTAATTTTGATTAAAAACTTTTCAAAACAAAAGCAAAGTCACTTCATTCCATTCCAGTTTAATAATATCATAAATGTTTCTCAATGTTATTTAACACGTACAAATAGCATCCTAAATACTGTACATGCAACAAAATTACATAAATATGACTCTGTAGTGTGCAACTAAACATGCTTCAATCATATTGATTAAGAAGTATCCCAGCTCCCTACAACAAGCAGATCTAAATACTGTACAAACAATACTATAGAGATTCTTAAAACACAACTAGATATGTTTCAATTGTAGGTTATCAAGACAGATATCCCTAGGTCAACATACCTCAGCATACAGAGTTGCATAGTGAGTACAGTAGAGGGTGTATAATGATTACTGAATGATGCAATAAGGCAAACCGGTCATTTTCCTCTTCCAAATGATCCCCCTTTATTTCACTTTTGTAAGCTCATCTCATTAACCCTTAAACTACTCCAATCAATTTCAATGCTACAGTTGCCTGGAGATGGTTTAAGATGGCCATTTTAAAAAAGCCCCACACAATCTAGGGAAGTGTCATTTAGCACTAGAGACCACTGCCAATCAGTTGCCATATTTTAATAAAAACAAAAAAATATCTATATTTTTTATAAAAAAAATATTTTCTAAGTTATACTGAATGAACATCACTATTGATGCTTCAATACAATATGTTAGCATAGAAAAAGTAAATAAACAAAATAAGAAACAATGAAAATAAATTGACAACATTATTCCTGTGAGGCACTTCATTTGGAGCCAATTTAGCGTGCAGTCTACCTGGTCATTTACACTCCTAGTGTGCGGTCTACCTCAACCTAACCTAACCTAAACTACAACATCTGCTGAGTTCTTGGTAAACAAGTCAGGTCATTATACAGCATAGACCACAGATACTGCGGTAGACCACACTCTAAAGCAGCACCCATCATTTTTACTGAAAAATGCAAATTCTCTGGGCCACTACAGCTAAACTATAATAGGTAAAGACTTTTTACTTTAATTTTCATGCTTCCTAGATGCTAATTAGCAATGTCAAAAAAAAAAAAGATAATGCACTGAAATAGGCTGCTACAGTAGTTAGGGGGCTATCTTGAGATTCTTGAGGTTATCTCGAGATGATTTCGAGGCTTAGTGTCCCCGCGGCCCGGTCCTCGACCAGGCCTCCACCCCCAGAAAGCAGCCCGTGACAGCTGACTAATTCCCAGGTACCTATTTACTGCTAGGTAACAAGGGCATCAGGGTGAAAGAAACTCTGCCCATTGTTTCTCGGTTAAACAAATCTCTGGCATTCTACTTACTCCACCTTACAACATTTCACTCCCTCACCCCCTCTCACTCATACCATATCTCTCCTATAACTCCTCATACTTATATCAACTGCTTTTCTTAAAAAAAAAAAAAAAAAATCCTCTGTTTGAATTCTTGAGCACTTCTTTGCCTTTCCGTACAGAGGTTTGATTTCCATGTGTCAGAGCTACAGTATCTCTTAATCCTTCCTTTAATCTCACACTAATATTATTTCCTTTCATTATAGCACAGTCACTGATATCAGGACATTGATAATTAAAAACCAATAGTGTCTATACCAATGCATGGGACAAAACCACAGAAACTCCAGGAATGCTTTGTACATACAGTAATTTATGCCAAAATCATACTAAATTATGAAAGATATCTAACAGAAACCTGCTGAAGAAATATTAAGTTAATTTTTCCATAATTCAGAGCATGGTTCTATTCAAAATTGGTTATTTTTAAATTATTAAGTTAATGGAGTTACATTTCATTTTATTTGTTCACTTTGATTTTTGGGCATGTGTGTATGGTTTTTTTAATTGTAGGATGACAATGGAGCAAATACTAAGAAATGTGTATATAGGTAATAAAGCATCAAATGTAATGAAATACCTCTTTTCTGGGAGGGCCCTCTACAGTTTCCTAAGCACTGGAACAGCCATGACTTAAGAATATGTACCAAGCCTCTGAGACCCACCCTTTCCTACTGGAAGTCAGGACCAGAATTTAGCTCTCTCTACGAGATCTACCCAAAACTTGGAAAAAAAAAATTCCTCACCAGAAAAGTATAAATGAAACAAAACAAAAGTCTACTTGAAAGAATTAGGGACGCAAAGATAACAAGCTAAACTATCGTTGCCCCATGCAAATACACCAGCAATATTGTATTTAACAGTTATTAAAATGAGGCTCAGGTCACTCGAGGCTTCAGCTAGCCATCACCCTGATTCACACGCAGCCTAAAACTAATCCTGTCATTTCCTGGGGAAAAAGATAACAGGACAGGGATATGAAATTACTGAGGTCCTCCACATCCCAGTGGATTCATTACCTTTTGAGGAGGTTTATCAAGTTCTCTCTTGAATACCAAAAAAAGTTGGCTATTTATTTATGCTCCTTATATTTAGCAGGAGGGTGATGCAAAGCTTTGGACTCATAATGTTTATAGTATTCTTATCTTAGGAGTACTGAATGCACCCATACTTTTCGATGGTATAATTTTTAACAATCTGCCATGCCGCCTGGTTTCTACAATATACAGTAGGAAGAAAACAAAATTTGATTTTCCTTTTTAAGTGCACTAAGGTTATACTGTAGTAGCAAAATATTTACAAGCAATTTAAGGGTCAAGAAGCAAAAGTTTAACACATTTAGAAGCTTTTCTTATTTACTCAAAGGCCTTAGTTTTAATCACTCTAATACTCATACATGTGCACCTAAAATATACATACAAGCAGCAGCCCAGGCAACTCAACTGTATAAGCAACTGATTACATAAATATGTATTGTACTTAGCACAGTAACACTGAGGAAAATATTATGTTTAAAACATGCACAACTATATTATCTTGACAAATATGCAGGTTCAGGTGACTCTACTGATAACTTAGAGATATTAATTTGTACACAAGATTGTGATGAATTGCAATGGTTAAATTGCCCCAATGATACATGGTGGAGACAACAACAAACTTTAGCAGACTCACGGTGGTGTCATGCTGGTGGTCAAAAGGGATGATCCTTGGCCAGCAACAAGCAGCACGAGACTCATCCTTCTGACCGCCACGGCTACAGATCAAGATCGACCATTCTCCACCTTTTCCAAGCTTAATCCTTACAACACAGGACTCTTATCTTCAGTGTGATCTGAAAAAAAAAATACTTAACTAGATATATGATCAAGTGTTGGAAACACTGTTGTCATTTCGTATACTGTACTGTCTCAACATACCTGAACAAACCTGGGCAATGGGTTGCAAAATACCCTATCCAAAATCTATTGAAATTTTTTGTTTGGCATGGATCATAATATCCTTTGTTTTAAGAACATATTTAATTGTATTCGGACTATTATTCAATTATCATGGAAAGAACATTGTTTTCTTATAATTAATTAATAACTCATTGTGTCAGGAAGCAGGCAGCCAGTGTGTGTTCATACACATATAGCTTTTATCGAGGTATCCCTCCCAGGCCAAATTATTGACCCCACCCAGGATACAATCCCACAACAAGCTGACACACTCCTGAGTACCTATTCATTGCTAAATGAAAGGAAATGTGCTCAACCATTTCTGACCTGCCCGGGAATCAAACCTATAATTCTAGATTGTGTCACGAACGAACCCGAATATACAACCGGGACACACTTACAAGAATCATAAGGAAAAATATTTTTCAATTATTGAGCTAAGGTTGTTTAAATTTAATAATTCTTAGCTTTTTCCTTTCAGACAGATATAGCATACTCCAAGTCTAAGCTTATAGACTGGTAGACACCTAAGAAGAGAAATAAGAGATGAAATGTGATGTTTCCCAATTCTGGGACAAGAACTGACTAGAAGTTTTGTGGTGTAGGTTTTGAGGTGTTGGGAAGAGTAGGTTTTACAAGCTACCTTAGGGAGTAATAGGCAGTGTTGGGTAGGGAAGGTTTAACAGGCTACCTTTGGTAGTAGTAGGCAGTGTTGGGTAAGCTAGGTTTAACAGGCTACCTTAGGTAGTACAGTAGTAGGCAGTGTAGGTTTTTTAGGTAGGTTTAACAAGCTACCACTTCGTACCCGTGGCAAGGTACACCAGAGGGAAAGCACGGAACACTTCACTAATGAATGCTACAGAACACTCCCTAAAACACTTAGCCTACACCAGAGGAAAACCCTTTTCCTTTCTCTCAAGACAGACTCACGCTGTTCCTTGCACCTATCTTATCATCTTATTTACATTTTGCTACACCTTTCGTTAATATTCTGCTCCTCGTAATATTACACAGGAAAAACTAGTGTAATATCCTTTCTCTAATTTGATCAAGGCTGATTACATGGGAAACAGATACCTCATTGATATTTGGTAGTGAAATAAAACTTATAGTGATGGACTAATTAATCTAGGCGAGATAATGGAGTAACTTACAGAAGGGAAGCAAACACAGCATAAACAACGTGTCGAGGCGGTCACGGTAAACCTCCAACACTCTCAACATAAACAATCATGGCTGCTAAATGAATCGAGTAGGCAAGTATGGAAAACCTAAATCTCTTGAACTTTTACTAAGTAACATACAATACATTTTCTAGCCACCTTTTTCTAAATCAATATATATTAACTGTGTCTGATAATTATGGAAATACGAGTGGCTGATCAGGTTGCAAGTGGTGAAGTATGTGGTCTCCGTGTTTAGGGTGGCATGTTTTACCAAGGTAACCAACAACAGTGCTATGGAAGATCCATTCATATATATGTACCATAGCATTGTTGCTCCTTAACCCTTGCATTAATTCATCATCTTTAACATCACATGTAATAACCTCTGTTCCGCAATATATATATCTATATTTTATATTCTTCAATTTGTATTATATTCATTTTTTAGACTAATAAATGTTAAAAAAAAATTATATGATATAATACAATGATATAATACAATAATATATCACAGGGATATATACAGAACGAGGTTTACCTTGATATTTTTGAACTATGTTTGTAACTCAATTATATACAGTACTTGCTGGTTGGTCAGTAATATATGTATAGGTGTGGTGGCATTAACCCTAGGGCGATTATTAGGCCTAAAACCTAATACGAATCAAATCAAATTAAAATAATTAGTTTTGAACTTTTATGCACCAAATATATATATAAATATATATATATATATATATATATATATATATATATATATATATATATATATATATATATATATATATAATTCAAATTAATTTCTACCATTAGGGGGGCCTGGCGGCTAAGTGGACAGCGCTCAGGATTCGTAGTCCTAAGGTTACGAGTTCGATCCCCGGCGGAGGGGGAAACAAATGGGCACAGTTTCTTTCACCCTGATGCCCTTGTTCACCTAGCGGTAAATAAATACCTAGGAGTTAGGCAGCTGCTACGGGCTGCTTCCTGGGGATGTGTAACGAAAAGGAGGCCTGGTTGAGGACCGGGCCGTGGGGACGCCAAGCCCCGAAATCATTTCAAGATAACCACCAGGTTATCGTTCTTGACGCACAATCGAGAATCTCGGGCGGGACAGAAATGATCAGGCGCATTTCCTTTCACCTAATGGTTCTGTTCACTTAGCGGTGAGTAGGTACTCAGGTCATCCTGTGAGCGGTAGCGCAAAAAGCATTACAGAGGGCACAAAAGGTCTTTATCAGACCTCATCTTAGATTATTACATAAACAATTTCATCTATCCTTCACAGCGTATAGTTATAATGAAGGATAGATGAAATTGCTTATTTAGTCAGGATTTAGTCTTTTAATAACATTATCTTGGTAGCGGATAATAGATGCACAGTGTTCACTAGTGTGTCCCATTCTTCAACTGCTTTTCTAACCATTGTAGTCGCTGTGAATTTTGCATCTAATGCAGCTGCTGACGTTGGATTAATGTTGAGTTTGATGTACAAGGCTTCAGTTGCTTCACATTCCAATAAGTAATGCAATAGTGGTGCCTCTGAATCTGTTCCACAGATATGACACTTTAACTATTGGGTTTATTTCTTCCCAGCACTTGTAACCAAGTCTGAGTCTGTCCAACCGACCAACCAAGGCTACTGCAATGTCTCTGGATATCTTTTTGCCAGGCTTGAAAGAGGAGAACTCAGTGGCTTGTTCGTACCACATCACAGTGTTATTCTTCATTATTGTTTTAGAATCACCTACTCGATCGGAACAAAAAGTTCCATGTAGCACGGGCTATGGTGAGCGAGTAGTGGACTTACCTGTCATAGGAGCGGGGATGATTGTTGAAGATTAAGCCACCCTAAAGCTGGCACGGGCATGAATAGCCCGTAAGTGGTGGCCCTTTTGAGCCATTACCAGTATCAAGAGCTGATACTGGAGATCTGTGGAGGTGCGACTACACCCTGCGTGACGGGAGATGTCTCCCGTGGGAGCGGGGCTGTAACTTATGTTATTATTGATTGATTGATTAATTGAGTGAAAGTTAAGTCACCTAAGAGGTGGCACGGGCACGAATAGCCTGTAATGTTAGTCTGTTGTTGTTGTTATAGATTTAGTTACTCGGAACAAGTAGTATTGCAGTAGCCATACACAGACTCAGACTTGGTTACAAGTGCTGCTGGGAGGTAATGAACCCAATAGTTAAAAAGTGTCACATCTGTGAAACTGAAGCAGAGGCGCCACTATTGCACTACTTATTGGAATGTGAAGCTACTGAAGCCCTGCGCATCAAACTCAACATTAATCCAACGACAGCAGCTGCATTAGATGTACATTCCACCGCGACTACAATGATTAGAAAAGCTGTTGAGGAATGGGACTCATTAGTGAGCATTCTGCATCTACATCCGCCACCAAGATAATGTTAATAAAACAAGATTAAAACTTATTATTTATCGCACTAAAACAGAAGCGATAAATAAGCAGGGAAAAAGGAGAAGTCCTCTCCTCCATTTTAAACTTAGACCCAAATATCACAGGAAAAAGGTTATCATGTATAACCAAACTCAATTACGGGCTCACCATAGCCCGTGCTACATGGACACTTCGACCTGAGTAGCTAAATCTTTAACAACAACAACGGAACAAGTTCCAAGTAGCACGGGCTATGGTGAGCCCGTAACTTACCTGGCACAGGAGCGAGGCAAGTAGCACGGGCTATGGTGAGCCCGTAGTGGACTTACCTGGCAGAGGAGCGGTGCTGTGTGAATGTTAGTCTTCGATGTAACGTTATATTATATCATTAATCTAACCTCACCCCACATTACCTGACGAGACCAGACCTAACCCAACGATGCCTATCGGATATATGATTCTCGATCGTTATTTTGGAGCAGAATTCAGGGTGATTGCCCGTATTTGGAGTTTTTAAACAATGACTTTTTATACCGAAAATATGCCATTTATTGATTCTTCTTCAATTTCTTTCTTTATTATACCCCCCATACTCATCCCGTTTGCGGTGGCGTAAAGGATTACAGAGGCACATAATCGGTTCAGGAACTGAGCCATTTATTGAAACTGACGATTGGTTCGATTCTACCCAAATTAACCTGGTTTTCAAAATATCGGAAATGTCCGAAATATAACCTTTGAGCGTTATTTTTTAGCCAAATTGTAGATCATTGCACATATTTAGAGTTTTAAATTACGACTTTTTATACCGAAAATATGCTAAATAGTAAAAACGATGATTAGACAGATTTGCAAAAATTGGCTTGAAATTTTCAAAATATCGGAAATATGACTCTTGAGCGTTAATTTTTAGCCGAATTCTAGCTCATTGCACACATCTGAAGTTTTAAATTACGACTTTTTATACAGAAAAATATGCCAATTAGTGAAAATGACGAAGGGTCAGATATTGCCCATATTTCTTTGCAGTTTTCAAAATATCGGAAATCTGACTCTTGAGCGTTAGTTTTGAACCGAATTCTGGCTCATTGTACATATTTGGAGTTTGAAATTACTATTTTTTTATATTGAAAATATGCCTATTAGTGAAAACGGCGCTAGGTCAAATTTTACCCAAATTGACCTGCTGTTTTCAAAATATCGGAAATCTGACTCGATGTTATTTTTAGCTGAATTCTGGCTTATTGCACATACTTGGAGTTTGAAATTACGACACTTTATACCAAAAATATGCCAATTAGTAAAAACGGCCATGGGTCACATTTTGCCTGTATATTTCAAGTAACCTTCTTACTTAGCTTGTTCCAATTCTTTACCACTCTAAAACGTGTGCTCGTGCACACACACACACTAGTAGAATGACTATTTGAGGTTAGAGGCCAGATACTTGGGGAATCTTGCAATACAGGTATCTTACTAACTGGAGTTTAAATTATATCGGTTTTTCTAATAATATAAAACATTATGTATTAAATGTTCACAAACTTTTCAGAAATTCTATCATAATTTGCCACTATGTATTCATGATGTCATACTCTCCCGATCACCCATACTCGCCTGCCTGTTACCTACCAAGTGTCAGTCCTCCACACACACCTTCTGCACTGCATCATAAATGTGTCTTATGTGGCCTACAGACTAAACAGAGAAGATTGATTGATAAAGATTAAGCCACCCAAAAGGTGGCACGGGCATGAATAAGAACAAAGGTGACTGCAGAAGGCCTATTGGCCCATACGAGGCAGCTCCTATCTATAACCACCCAATCCCACTCATAATAGCCCATAAGTGGTGGCCCTTTTGAGCTATTACCAGTATCAATAGATGATACTGGAGATCTGTGGAGGTGCGACTGCACCCTGCGTGACGGGAGATGTCTCCTGTGTAAACAGAGAAAGGAATACTGATAGACATATTTTAGACAGACTTAGATGTAGAGATAAGATGAGAGAATGGGAGAGAGGGTGTAGAGAGAACTCAGGATAGAGGTACCTACCTGTTTGAAGATTCTGGATATCAATGTTCCTTGCAGGCCTGGACCCTGACCAGATCTCCCGAGTGCTGGTCTGATTCACCAGGGACTGACAGTTTTGGCATCCATCACCATCTCACTTGTTCTAATGTCTATCACTCTGTTTGCAAAAGACAACTAATGTTTTTTCAGTAGCTTTATTTTCTTAGCTTAAGTCTATGACACCTTGAAGTTGCAGGTTTCAGGAATCCTTCTTTGTCAACTTTGTCGATTCTTATTACTATTTTGTATTTGTCTGTAATTACCTAAGTACAGGTATAATTATCTACAACCCAACATTAAACTTTGACTACTAATTACTAAACATAAATCAACAATCAGAGCTTTAACAAACTCCAGTCCCAGATAGTACTTGGCTCTCTTACTGAAATCTTTTAATACAGTATGTTAAGTATCAAGTTGCTGCACATCCTCGCAAGTGCGTTTATTACTATAAAACTTGGCACTGCAATCCTAATCCCAACCTTAAGCACTTATTTGAAGGCTGTAACAGAACTCATGGGCATCACACAAGAAACGTATATTTTTGTTATATCCCAAGAGTGCGAGTTAACAAAAGCAAAAACACTTTGCAAATCAAAGATTCTAAGCTGTGGAATGACCTCCCTAGCGAGATTAAAAATTGTACTTCTCTCGTCCAATTTAGGAGAGAAACTAAGAACTACATTATTAATTTTACGTAACCAATTTTCCTCATCTCTTCGTATCTTTCATGTCAACATGCTCTACCTGCCTGCAGGCAGCACACAAGAGCCCTCTCACTACATCAAGGACAGCCTACCAAGTCAGTAGCCAAAAGATAATAATAATAATAATAATAATAATAATAATAATAATAATAAAAAAAAAAAAAAAAAAAAAGTATCTTTACACAAAGTTGAACGAAGTAGTAGGGTGCTGGTGCATTGCGTGTCGAGTGCTGGCTAGTTACTTAATTATTTTAAGTTCCTTACCAATTACACTTAGATTTGTTCCCTACTACTTCTGCATTTATACTTCAGCTCTACTTGTACATTATACAACGTTAATAATTTATGCCTCTTCTGCAGAACAAATTTTTCATCTTTATCAGCAATAACAATAAAGTAACTCACTTTTTGAATTGCCATAATCTCAAACAACTTACAATTGCAAATGTGCACAAAGTTTCTCATGTTTTGTATTGTATTCCTTAAATGTTTCTTAACTTATGTAAAAATATTACCAAATAAGGAAATCTTGATTATCTTTGTATTTATTTTGTTATATGGAAACAAATTGTTGGCGAGGTTCTTTTATGTAAAAAGTAAACCAAATAAAATACAATTTATACATTAATATTTCCAAAGTATAAATGTGTAAATACAGTATGTGCAATTATCAAATTGCTTGGGAAGGACATGGCATTTACTGTTCTTTAAATTTTGGCAAATCTATTTACATTTTACAAATTACAAAAATGCTTAACACATCTGAAGTGCAGTACAATACTGTATATTTAAAATCTGTTAAAATGTATTTCAAAATGTCCAACTACAACACAAACTATTTTTTGCTTTAACAATGTCATTTTGAAACACCGATGAGCAGAATAAACATGAGCCATATTTTCAGAGATAACTTTCAGGTAGGATGACTTTGAAAAATGTGTGTAACCAAGATCGCCGGTCGGCCGAGTGAACAGCACACTGGACTTGTGATCCTGTGGTCCTGGGTTCGGTACCAGGCGCCGACGAGAAACAATGGACAGTTTCTTTCACCCTATGCTCCTGTTACCTAGCAGTAAAATAGGTACCTGGGTGTTAGTCAGCTGTCACGGGCTGCTTCCTGGGGGTGGAGGCCTGGTCGAGGACTGGGCCGCGGGGACACTAAAAAGCCCCGAAATCATCTCAAGATAACCTCAAGAAGAAGATTCATCTGCCCTCTCATCAAAGTGCATAAACCCTAAAACCACAGTTTTAGCACAAAGATTCTGGGTTTAATCCCTGGGCAGGATAAGATGCCTGAGCATGTTTCCTTATACACAATGCCTCTGTTAACCTGGCAGCAAATAGGTTGTCAGGAGTTACCCAACAGTTGCGGGTGTATGCTTTGGATGGTCAGATGTGAATTAAAATGGGTATCTCGCTAAGCCTACCAGGCTTCCTGTCACCAATAATGGGTAAGTATACACTAGAAATATAGCCAGCATATTTCATATACTGTACTGAATTTTTCTTTATTTTAATAAAAAAGCTCCTTTAGTTTACAAAATATTGCAATTTTTAAGTGTAAAACTCAAAATAAAAGCTATAATCATGAATACAATGCTACAGAAATCTTATATTCCTTACAGCAGACAAACTTGAGATAAAAACATTACATATTTGCATTTCATCTTATTGTTTCTTGTGTAAATAAATATAACATGAAAGATATTGAATATTTAAATAAAGGGCGTTACAATTTCGCTGCAGAAGTGTCCTTGTCCTTATGTACTCAACGCCAGGAAGAGAAGCTACTCCCACTGCAAAAAGAAGGAAATCAGAGGTAATTTCTAAACCTGTAGTTACAACTGCACAAAAAAAAAAAAAAAATTAAAAGCTTCTTTAAAATTACACTGAAAAAGCTGTATATATATGTATATAAATATTTATAAAATATAGTTCATCCCTAGCAAAAAAATTAAAAAGGGTAACAAAATTATTAATAATTTTGTTAAGCAAAATACTATGCCAAATGAACATGTTCTCTCCTTACATCCTTTGATACAATTAATGTAACATGTTGCATTTGCTGCCTCTACTCATTTTGTCACATACAGTTACTCATACTGTTTCATCTCGGTATCTGGAATACATACAATAAGGTATATGAGATGCTGGGCAGGAAGGGAAAATGTCTGATTTTCCCATATATTTACAGTTGATTAGATTGATTGGTTTTCCTTGCAGAATACTTTACTGATACTCTCACACAGCTTAACACATTAAAATATTGTGATTACTAGTGTAGTTAAGTGACTGGTGTAACTACTGTATACCATACAGGTTCTTTCAAAATTAGATAATTTGAGACAATTACACATAACTGACCCAGTGACAATATAATGCTGGAGAGTTAGCACATCAGTATGAAATGGATTAAAGCATACCTAATAATACCTCATCATCAATTAGAATTATTTAGCAAATGTTTTTAGCTTATTCAGAAGTCTTTTCAACTCGTAAAGTAAGTTTAAATACCCGACAACCATTTTACATCTGTGAAATAGGATATACTGAAAATACTTAAAAGCAATACAGCTCAAAACTGATATATACAGCTTGAATTAAATCACCACTTGCTTTAGTTTGCCCACCAGCTCTTCAAAAGATTTAAACTATATTGGTATATTTTATGAAACTAAACTAAAAAATAACTGATTTTATAATTGAACAATCAAGGTTCTGTAGGCCGTTTGTGACAAAGTGATTAACTCTAAACCAACTAGGAAAGAAAAAACATTAGATCTTATTTTTACAAAACAATGATGAACTGATTAGGGACATAATGATTACAAATACGTGTGACTCATATTACAGCCTAATTAAAGTCTTAATTCACGTCCTAATTCAACCAACGAAGTCCAGACATGCATGGGCAATAGACCAGTGCAGCCAGTCTCAAATCCAAGAGGAGAATTCAACAAATTCAAATTCAATAACAAATGGATTAATTGGGAAGAAATAAACCAAGTCCTTGCAGAAATGTGCTGGGAAAGACAGCTAGATAAAGTAAACTTAAACCAGTGCCTTGATAAAATAGGCACAATAGCAACAGAAATATATGCAAGTCACATACCACTAAGGAGAAAGAGGGAAAAGAGGCAAACTGGAACAAGAATGACATTCCCTCTATAGGCAACGAAAACAAATTGCTGAACATCTTAAACATTTAAATCTATCCCAAGAATGACTGAGAAGACTATGTGGTGAAATAGAAACGATTGAGGTCAAGTTATAAGAATCATATAAAATCTAGGAGAGGCAGACAGAGAGCAAAACGAAATAAGCAAACTAGAGGGGCATCTAAAATACTTTTTCTCCTTTGCAAAATCTAGAACAAAAACTATTTCCTGCATTGTGCCCTTGCACAGAGGATGATGGAACTTTCACAGATGACGGTAGAGAAATGAGTGAAATACTGAGGTTACAGTATGGTAATGTTTTCAGTGAACCCATGAACACATTGCAGATCATTGATCCAAATGAATTTCTGTATGAATGTGGCACCACCATCAAACCACATATCAGATGTTACCCTAACCCCACTCAACTTTGAAGTAGCCATGGACAGCATGCCTATGCACTGTGTACCAGGTCCAGATTTCTGGAATTTTATATTTATCATGAATTACAAAAAAACATTATCAGAGGCCCTAAACATTTTTTGGAGACAGAGCCTAGACACTGTTGTTATCCTTGACTTACTTAAAACGGTGGAGATTGCACCACGTCATAAAAGGAGGTAGTAAAGCTGATGCAAATAATTATAGACCAATAGCTCTAACATCGCACATCATACAAATCTTTGAAAGTGAGTCAAAAAGCAAGAACACAAAACACATGGAATCACAGGGGTCTACATAATCCTGGGCAACATGGGTTCAGAACAGGGCATGCCTGCATCTCACAATTGTTTGACTATGACATAACCTTAGATGCTATGGAAAACAAACAAAAGGCTGATGTAATTTACACATATTTCACAGAAGTTTTCAACATGAGTGACCATGGTGTTATTGCACACAAAATGTGCCCATAAGGCATTACAGTACTGGCAAAGTAGGGAGATGGATCTTTAACTTCCTGACAAACAGAACCTATAGTGTAACAGCCAACAAAAAAAAATCTGAATCATCCATCGGAAAAATGTTTCATCCTCCAAGTTCAAGTACATTTACTGAGAAAATAGGATACACCTCAGAAGGATAGAGTAGGTTAGGCTACATCTACCCTTCTGTTTCCCCCAAGGTACTGTGCTTTCTCCAGTACAGTACTTTTCCTTATCCTTATATGTGGCATAGATAACGATATACGCTATAGTACTGTACTATACTTTGCAGATAACACTAGAATTTTCATCAGAATTTTTCATCATTTTCATAGAGAACACAGCAAACCTCCAATCCAATGTTAATCAAATCTTTCAATGAGGTCACAGAAAATAATAATGTTTAACGAGGACAAGTTCCAATTACTTCGCTATGGAAAAAACAAAAACATCAAAGCAGAAACCACAAACCACACTATTGAAAGAAAAAGCAATGTAAAAGATTTAGGAGTAATCATGTCAGAAGACCTTACTTGAAAAAAAAAATAAGTTGCTGTCACAACTGCATGAAAAATAACAGGTTGAATAACAAGAACCTTCCAAACAAGAGATGCCACACTAATGATGATACTTTCTAAGACATTAGTACTCTCTAGAGTGGAATACTGTTGCACACAAACAGCCCCATTCAAAGCTGAAGAAATTGCTGACCTGGAGAGTGTGCAAAGATCTTTAATGGCTAGAATCCATTATAAAATATGTAAATTATTGGGACTGCCTAAAAATTTTAAATGTGCATTCCCTTGAGTGCAGGCAGGAGAAGGTGGGAATTATCAGGGGAAAGTGCCAAGCCATTATGACTATATAGCACTTGGAAGGGAGTCAGGAAGAGGATTTGGGATGGGACAGGGGAAAGGAATGGTGCCCAACCACTTGCAGTCGAGGATTGAACACCGACTGGCATGAAGCGAGACTGTCGCTCTACCGTCCAGCCCAAGATGATGGCCGAGATAAGAAATACGTGTACTCATCAATGAACACTTGACTTACCTGTGTAGTAGTATCCTGTTGCAACTGAGCAGTGCTCAGCAAGCAACTAGTTTGTATGTCTATACACACCATTCATTTGGCTATCCTATCCATCAGTTATGCTCTATTGGCTGACCTACTGGTAGATATTTGTGTGATTATTGTGCATGATTATTTAAACATTCTCCTGTCTAGATTGTACTTTTTGTAACTATGTGGATTATCGTTGCTGATCAGCCCTGAGTGACTCATTGGTTGGTCAAGCAGTTGTGCAGGAGCCTGAAATTTGCCTGCATGGGTTTCCTGCTGGGCAGGGTTCGGCTCCAGGCATTGTACTACAGTGGCACCTCGACTTACGATGTAAATTTCATTGAAAAATGCGACTCGACATACGATGGTGTCGTCGACTAACGATATTTGTTGGTACACGTTCGGGTCGACTGAGCTCGTGGTTCCCGGTCACGAGGTCTGACCTGCCTCAGTTTACTACAGCTGCCCGCTTAGTGACGATCGCGCCTATAAGAAATTCCGTGTTTGTGGTGATTTTTTGCATTTTGAACATTAAAGTAATTATTATATATCATGCCATGAGTCCCAGGAAAGTCGGTGGTAAGGCTCAACATATAAAAACCCATGTAAGGATGACCATAGAGCAGAAACAAGAGTACAGAATGTCTCTTCCTCAACAATTAAGAAAATGTGTGCAGCATGGGAAGAATTGCAAACCTTTGCTGAAACGACTCACCCAAATCAAGCTGCAGTAGGCTGTTGCCTTAACCTATTCAATGACACTGTGATGCATCATTACAGACAAATGTTAAAATGAAGGGAAAAACAAATGTCTCTTGACAAATTTGTAGTGAGACAAACGAGCAGTGAACCACAACCAGGTCCTAGTGGTATTCAGGCAAAACGTAGGAGAGAGAGTAACCCAGAGAAAATATCACTGCCTGATGTGATAATGGAAGGGGACTCCCCTTCCAAACAGTAACACCTCTCCTCCTTTCCCCTCATCACCATCTTCCATACACCCTCAAGAGCCCTCCATAAAGGTAAGATAAACTTAGGTACTGTATTGTAGTTAGAAAAAAACATTGTATTCAGTATAAAATGTATTTGTATGTTAATATTTTGATGGGTGGGGAACGGATTAACTCAATTCCCATTATTTCTTATGGAAAAATCGCTTCGACTTACGATCCATCTCTGGGAACGGATTAGCATCGTAAGTCGAGGCCCCACTGTAGTTTCTCCAGTTCTACCTGTTTCGCCACTTCCCAGATTGGTGGATCTGGGCCCCCACTCACCCTTCGTCTGCCTTTGCTCGGCTGGTTTCCTCTTCAGGCTTTATGGGGTTGCATTCCATGGCTCCATTCTCCCCTTCATTCCATGTTTATGGACCCCCTTAGCTCTGGGTTGGAGCTTTGTAACTAGTAACTAGGCTACCCAGTCAGTGGTCAGGGCCATTTCAATGAGCACACAGTATGGGACTGTGATTAGAGCTGCTTTCTGACCGCTTCCCGGTCATTCACTGCCTGAACTGTGGGGGTTGCTGCTGTCTTTTTACCCTTTGGAACAGGATGCTTAAGTAGCTCAGCTTCTAGATTCTAAGGGATTGGTTCTCTGCAAAATTCACATGCAGGGTGTGTCCAATATTCTCACACATGCGGTTATGTAGCTTTGATCCCATTTTCACGATATGGCCTATTGATAACGTGTCTTTCCATTTGCTTTGTGAGACCTGGCTCAACCTTGGTTTCCAACATTTCCAGCCCAGTGTTCAGACCTTGACATTGTTCTGTGGCTCCATCTCTATCAGCAGCAGATCAGCTTGGCAACATACCTCTCCAGATTGACCTCCCCTGCTCTACACATATAGTTTTGATATGGGTCTACTGCCATTTGTATGGCAAGCAGGTGGCTCAGTTATTGGTGTTCCATCTACATTTTTCTTCGTGGCAGCAGTATGAAGTTGCTTGCCACTCATTTTACTTCAGTTTCTTTAGTGGCTTTCTTTGGTTTCAGTGTGTGGTACTGTCATTTTTATTGTGATTGTTTCTTCACCGGTATCTCATGCCTAATATTGTTGCCTCTTATTATCAGGCATTAGCAGAGTTACTGTTGCTTGTGTTCGACATCGATTCATTGTTGGCACAGTTTCATAAGTTGTCTCTTATGGTTTTTTCAACTCCAGTCTGCTCATGTTACTCCTGAGCCATCCTGGTCTCTTGATAGGGTTTTGACATTACTCTTCTCTCCTCTGTTTATGGTTGCCCCTATAGCTAGAGATGTCTTTCTCAAGGCAGTGTTTTTCATACCTGTTGCCTCTGGTTGCTGGGTGGGGGTTTCACGCTCTTCTCCGGAGGCAGGGGTTCTACTACTTTGGCCCTGCAGGGTATTTTATTTGTCTGCAACCTTCTCCAAATTTTCTGGCAAAGAATGGATCAGCTAGCTTCTGGAGGGGTCCTTTGGTAATTGATGCTTGGGGGTTGGTCCAGCCAGGGGTTTATCATTTGTTGTGTCCAGTGGCAGCTCTTTGTCGCTAACTGACAGCCACCAGTTCTGCTTCAGTTAACGCACTAGTTGGTTAACTCTGTTTCCTTCTTTCCCTGTTCCAAGGTTCACATGTTTGTTTAGGTCATCTGCAGTGTCATTAAATCAAGCGAGACTGCAGTCTACACCCAGGTCAATGATGTTTGCAAATATGCTGCATTGGTGGTAGCTTTCTCCAACATGTCCTAAGCTGATATTTGGGCTCAGGGGTTTTGGCAGCCCAGTATTTGGTTAACGTCCCTGGCCCGGTTTGTGTTGCTCCGAGACTGGAATCCCAGCACGAGGCCTCTTCATCTTAGCATCTTCTGCCTCTCCTCCTCCCTGGTAAGGCCCCAATTTCTCTCTCCATGGTTATTTAGCTTCAGGGACCCACCAAGGGGCTCCCCACAAAACCCAGTATCTGGTAGAGTCATGGTGACTTCCAGATTTCTATTTCTATTCCCCCCTCCCCTTCAGGTTTGTCGGTGGGTTGTTTCTCAACTTCACAATTGATCCAGGGGAGCCGGCTGCGGTTTAGGGCTAAGGCCACCTGGTGGCAGCTATCAATACTAATGGGTTTAAACTAGTTTTGAGCCAACTGTTTCATATTAATCATTTGCAGAGTTGTTTGGTTGTTTCGAGTTTTAATTTTCCATGAACCTTTCCAGTTGTCGGTAAAGCTTCATTGTCTTTCTTGATGTTTTTCCAGTGGTGTGGTGGATTTTGACTTGCTCCCTCCATCTTTGTGAGGGAGGCTAGATTCTGGCTCTCCTCTCTGGTAGCCCAAACAAAACTCTTGCGACTGATGTGACCCTGTAGTTTGGAACAATCAGAGTGAGATAACTTCAGGGAGCCACCAGGGCTCTATCAGAATGAGGGTTGCTTTACATTCAATGTTGGGTTTTCCTTGGTAAGAATTGGATCCACAATAGAAATATAAAATAAACGAGGCAGAGTACAAGTTTCTCTCAATTACAGTACCTTCCAAAAGCATTTCCAGTAGAACCAAATGCACTTCCTTGTTGTTGTTGGTTTGCAGACTGAGCTAGCCCTCCAAAAGATGCTGTATTGGTTTGAGCGGTGAAGCTGAAAAGTCAAAGTAAACATTAGTGACAGAGCATTGTATTATGAAAAAAATATAAATTAACAGTTCTCAGAATGGGCAAGTAGAAACACTGCAGCACCAAAGTCATATAAGTGGTATTTTTCATTATACTGTATAATTGTCTTTCACTCTACTGTTCCCTGTTTTTTCTTAGATGATGTTTCCCCACCTCATAAAAGTGGGAAACAGGGCAATGATGATTTATGCATCAATGTAAAACATTTTCTTTAATATGCATAATTTATTATTATACTTCACATGCTCCCATACACATAGGGCCCTTGCGCAAGGCTGATGAAACTTTCATAGACGACAACAAAGAAATGAGTGAAATCCTGAGGCTTCAGTACAATTCTGTTTTCAGTGAACCCCTGACCACACTGAAGAGTGATGATCCAAATGAAGTCTTTTTGAATGTGACACCAATATCAAACCATATATCAGATGACACTAACCCCACAGGACTTTGAAGTAGCCATAGACAGCATGCCTATGCACTCTGCACCAGGCCCAAACTCATGGAATTCTATATTCATCAAGAAGTGCAAAACACCAATATCACAGGCCCATCTAAACATCTTTTGGAGATGAAGTCTAGATACTGGCATCATCCTTGACATACTTAAAACAGAGATCGTGCCACTTCACACAGGAGATAGAAAAGCAAATGAAAAAAATTACAGACCAATAGCTCTAACATCACAATATAACATTTGATTAAAATTATTAAAAATGATTAAAGTATGATTTCTAAAATAATGTTTTATTCAAGTTAGTTTAAAAAATTTCATGCACTATGCAATTGTTTACAATTAGATTAGGTTGGCTGCTAATACAGCTATGTCCTGATATCAGCTTGGGCAAAAATTTCCGCTAAAACAAACATTTGTTTGATCTACAGAACAATCTGCATCGAACATTGAACAGTTCGGACCATGCAGGAATTTGATACAGAGACGACCCACTGTATTTACCCTACAGCAACAAATGATCATATTCCTCGTTTACTTTGGCATATCCAATTTTCTTAGTGCAGTCATTTGTTTTATTAAACCTATGCTTTCTGGTAGGTTTTCTTCAGTTTTGTGGTTTATCTCTGATTCCTTGTTTTCCCTCACCTTGTAGAGGGAGCAAGATACTGTCCTGGTTCCCGGTAGGCAACAGATGGATCTCTCAGACCTGGTCATACCACAGCTAAACTCTGGGAAACTAGTGAGGGTGTACGTCCAAAAAGGATAAAGTTTCAAAAATATGCATTTCATGCAAATCCGTATCAAGTAGGGTTTGAGTATTAACTAACTTACCTTGCAAAACCTGTACTGGTTGCTGGCGATGAACTAGCCACTGATCCAAATGTTGAAGCCCCTGTTGAGGCAAAGCTGCTAAAACCCCCACCTAAATAAGAAAATGGAATAAAAGGGAATAAGAGAAACTATCAAGATTTCAAATAAGGCTTCAAATTAATGTGAAAAGTATGTCTCAGGAGAATAATTTGACTTCTTGCTGAGGCAAGATTCCCATGTGCTATTGGATATAATCATACATAGTCACACAGAATAATACACTGGAACCAGCCTTAGGATGTGATCTCCATGCAGAACATGGCAGAGAATAAGGCTATATTTTGAACTTCCTCGAATTATGTACACTTGGGTATGCCTGTAATTACACTGAAGATAAGCAACCAAGCAGTGGAAGTTATGCACCTTATGGAAGTTCATGTGAAAAGGCTTTAATAAATTCTGATAAAGAAAGAGAACTACAGGTGGTTCTAAATAGAAAACTGTCACCTGAGGACCACAAAGAACATTGTGCGAGGAGCCAATGCTATGCTTCCTAAATTCAGAACTGCTTTTAAATACATGGATGATGAAATACTGAAGAAACTGTTCATGTCCTTTGTGAGACCAAAGTTGGAATATGCAATAGTTGTATGGTGCCCAAATCTCAAGAAGCACATCAACAAACTGGAAAAGGTGCAAAGACATGCAACTAAATGGCTTCCAGAACTGAAAGACAAGAGCTATGAGAAAAAGTTAGAGGCATTCAATATGTCAAAACTAGAAGGTAAAAGAAAGAGAGACAAGAGAGACGATATGATCACAACGTACAAAATAGTAACGGGAATCGACAAAATTGATAAGGAAGAATTCCTGAGACCTGGAACTTCAAGAACAAGGTCACAAATTTAAGTCAACTAAACAAAGCAGCCGAAGAAATATAAGAAAATTCACTTTTGCAAACAGAGTGGTAGACGGTAAGAACAAGTTAAGTGAGGTGGTAGTGGCCAAAACCGACAGTACCAGTAGTTTCAAAGCGTTATATAATAAAAAGTGTGCTGGGAAGATGGAACACCACGAGCGTAGTGATGGTAATTAATCACTTTGGTAATTAATTACCTTAAAGTGTAAAAAAAGTTAAGCCTGAATAATAACATTTGACCTACAAAATGAAGTCTAACATTAGTCTCATTCCTTTTACGAAAATTAGAGATAGTATAGAAAAACACAAAAGTTTCAAGGAACAAAAATAATGAGACTCGTGCAAAACTAAGTGTGAAGCTCAATTATCTTACTGCTCATGGCAAAACCTAGAAGAAAGAGAATCTTCAGTGTCAAGTCTGAGAACAAGAAACCCTGAAATCTCTAACAAAAATCAGAAAACCTATCATGAGACAGATCAGGCTCCAACTGTGCATAGGAAAAGCAATGTGAAATCAAATCAAATAATCAAATCAAATGTTTATTTAGGTAAGGTACATACATACAAGAGACTTTACAAAGAGTGATGGATTTATAGATAGGGCTAGTACATACAATGCCTAAAGCCACTATTACGCAAAGCGTTTCGGGCATTCTTCGGGCAGAATTCCTCGGGCAGAAATAATTCTTCACAAAGCTTAAGAGAAGACTCAAAAGGTTGTTGCCAAAGCTTGACAGGAAAGGCTCCTGACAATGCCAACATTATGTACATGAAGCAATAGTAATAACCGTAGAGCCTACTCTACTTGATTAGGGTTACCAGAGATAGAGAAGACACCTTAGGAAGTGCAGGGAGTACCACACCCAAATTTTGAAAAATGTGATTTTGTACATTATTTCATTTATAATTGTTATTTGTTAGGGATATGGTGGGCAAAAGCCCCTTTTCAACCCCTCCTGACACCCACATTGCAATATAATTGTCTGTAAAAATATTGTAATTTACAGTACAGTATTTGTTTTAAACATTTATTTTTCGAGGCACTCCGAGTGTAACTACATTCCTCGGGCAACCAAGGCTACATTATAACATCTAGAATTTATTAATCACTTTCCTACATCCTTTTCTCTATAATTTCAATAAGTTATTTTTTAATTTTATAAAAATCCTGTACATGGGAGGCAGCTCTAGAAATTATGATGCAATGGAAGAGTGAATGTAATATTTATCTTGTTAACTATTATTAGTGTGCTATTCAGCCTACTTCAATTCAAAATAACATTTCGTTTTAAACTTGCCCAATTACATTAAATTCACTCTTTCTGTTCTACTATTTTTGTAAACCAGACACAATACTGTATAATTACCAGCATTTCCCGATAGAGGAGATCCAAAAGTAGCTGTACCACCAAACGTTGGAGGGCTTCCAAACTTTGGAGGCGAACCAAATGCTGGTGCACCCCCAAACGTTGCAGGACTGCCAAAACCTGAACTACTTCCAAAACCTAAAAGTAAACAAGTATTAAGTAAAAACATATATTAATACATTTGAATGTGTGTTATCCTTATCCTAGAACAGCACAAATAAAGCATGCCTTTTTTTCTGGGAAACTATGGAGTGTTAAGCAAATGTTTTTCTATGTGGAATGGGAGAAAGATGTGGGACAGTAGACTGGTTGGGTGATAATGTGGGAGAGTGGAGTGTCAGGTAGACAATGTGGGAGAGTGGAGTACTCCCCTAGTTGTGCTTGCAGGGGTTGAGCTTTGGCTCTTTGGTCCCGTGTCTCAACTGTCAATCAACTGGTGTACAGATTCTTGAGCTTCTCAAGCTCTTATCATATCTACATTTGAAACTGTGTATGGAGTCTGCCTCCACCACATCACTTCCTAGTGCAATTCCATTTACTAACTACTCTGACTCTGAAAATGACCTTTCTAATGTTTTTGTGGCTTATTTGTGTGAACAATGTGGCAGTGTGGGAGAGAGTGCTGGTCAGACGATATGGGAGAATGGAGTGTCAGGCAGAAACAGTTTATAGAACATTATTCATCATGGTTTATTGTTGGCAGACACCTTTATATATTGGTTAATTTCAGGATATACTGTACAGCACGGGAGGAAATAATAGGAGTAAACAGAAATCTGTGATACTTTAAATGCAATATGATATATATTATACAATATTATAGTAGGCCAAAAAATGAAGGTCAAAGTTGCGCCTGCTAAGAGAAACTGGCAAATAAAATCTTACTGGTTCCAGCCCAGACACAGAGCATCTACTAGAATGGTCTCAGTATCCAGAAATTGAACAAAAACATGAAGTTTCTGAACATCTTGCATATCCAAGTAAAGGAGGCCTATGTCTACCTTCCACTGTCACAATCTGACAGAAGCAAGAGACCATCTGTGAGCACATTTTATACTTGCTGAATATAGACCACATTGAGGAGTAGGCATGGCATTAACAAGAAAGCCAAAGCAAGCCAGTATTCAAGGCACTACATCCCTAGCTAGTAAACAGGTCAGGCAACTGCCCAAAGGAACCAATCACTAAGAAAGGCATTATGCCTGAAAATGTTCATCAAGGTTCTCTACTCAAAACCCCAGTCAATCCCTGAACCAAAGGGGAAATGGGACTTGCATAAAGCATCCTGAGTGTCAAGGCTAATGAGCCAAGCGAAGCTTGACACGACCTGATGAACCTGGAACATGGTTATATGGAAAGTTGGATAAGGAGTATACTGTAATGTTACTACATGCCAAAAGAGAAAATACACATCACTTGGCACTGAAAATACTATAATCCTTAAAACATTGTTTAGGAAACAATTATAATATTGTTAGACATGAAATTTTAAATATCTTTACAAATTACCTGATGAGCTCTGAGGTGATGTTGCACTAAATCCACTTTGGCCAACTTGGCCTGCAGCAGAAGTGAAACTGCTGCCGCCTCCACTGCTAGCATCGCCTCCAAAAACACTGCCTCCAAACAGACTACTGGATGTACCTGAACCTCCAAACAAACCTGTGTGTCATAATATTATATGCTTATCTTAGTTTATCATATCAAATATATCCTTCTTTTGCTATCTCTCATACCCATTTTCTAAAACTGACCATAACCCTTAATATCATTGTATCTACCATTTATAATTGGAAATCTAGAAAGGAATGCCAATTATCGAACATTTTTTACAGATGAAGCCTAAAATAATTTTTACAACCCTGTAAAATATCTAGATAATTACAAGATGACATATGTGCAAAATTTATGAAATTTTTACCTGATAATTGCCAAAATTTGTCAACTTTCATTCACTTCTATCAATGGTTCTTCACTCCACTCTAAAGTTTGGGTATTATTCTTGGATATCTCACTATGTTCATGTTAGTGATTTTGAATTACCCAAGTGTTATTTTCCAGTAATATCTACCCCATCTACAAACACTGATTTAATTTTACTCAAAATTAAGATCATGTATCTTTAAAAATTGAGTTTTATTATTTACGAACTAAATTTCATGAATTTTATATACAGTATTACTGTATGTTATTTATATATAGCTCTACAATTTGGAAAGAGCAACTATTACTTTTTTAATTACATTATGAGTTATAGATTTTCAAAAGTGCAGTTTCAAACAAAATGATAAGGCTCATTCAACAACTAATTTTTTAGAAACTAAAATTTTTTATGTAAATCTGAATATGCTGAAACAGGTTTTGTATCATTTACTCTAAGACAACACTCCATATTTTTTTTAGAAATAACTGAAATAAAAAAGGAAATTGTCTGGATAGCCAGATTGGGTCTGGAACAACACGATCCAGATATGGAAGGTGGCTCTGCAGATCAAGAGATTTCCCAAAAATTCAGGATTCTAAGAAATACAGAGCATGGCAGCCTTTCAAAATGGTTTTCCAAAATGTTCTTGGTAACCAGAATGCTGAAAACTTTCTTGAGCTGGTAGTGACTTCAAAATGTTTTCCTCAGCACCATTAAATATAAAAAAATCCAAGAATTGGCATATACGGCAATTTAAAATTTCTTTATACTGTATCTAAGAAATTGGTTAAAATGATAAACTTAAAAAGATAAAAGTGAAACTAGCAGATTTAGAAGTTAAAAGTTTAATTGTGTGTACAGTTACATTAAATACTAGATACAGTATGTGAAGTACTCACTAGATTGGGGTTTAATGGCAGAAAAAGATGTAGAACCAAACACATTTTTGTTGGCACTATCTTCACTTGGTTTACTGCCAAGTCCACTAAAGAAGCCTCCTCCACTGTCAGTACCTGTACATCAGTAATACAATGTTAATATTGGAGTTTAAAGCTAATGTGTAATGAAACAATACTTAAGGGACTGAAAATATGAAGGATAAGTTAGTAAAGAGAAGAAAATTGGTAAAGTAATCTGGGTAAAGTACAGTACTGTATATGGAAATAACAGCGGAGAAAAAATGAAGTTTTGAATATTATGAAACGTCCATTTCTGGTGGGTCCTCAGTGGCTACATGAGTTAAGTATTCACCTAGTTGTGCTGTGGGGGTTGAGGTCTGCTCATTCGGCCCACCTCTCAACTGTCAATCAACTGTTACTAACTACTAGCTAACCAATTCCCCCCCCCCCACCCCAGGAAGCAGCTTCATAACAGCTATCTAACTCCCAGGTACCTATTTACTGTTAGGTAACAGGACATCAGGGTGAAAGAAACTTTGCCCATTTGTTTCTGCCTGGTCCGGGAATCGAACCCGGGCTATAGAATTACGAGTCCTGTGCGCTGTCCACTCGGCTACCAGACCCCTGTTCTGTTCCTCTGCAGCCATGCCTTAAGGAGATGCATGAAGCCTCCGAGATCATCCTTTGCCTACCAGGACCATAATCTGGTCCTATGAGGTGAGGGGAGCTTGGGGGTTCAGAGATCAACTCAAAATAGAAAAAAGTCCACCAGACAGCATTTAAGCACAACAAAACAAGCAACTGCTTGAAGAACAGTAAAAGTACACAGAGCTAATGAGGCAAACAATTATTGCAGCAAAGTAAAAATTAACTGTGCAGCATCTGTCTGCCACCAGATGGCAGCCCATGTAACCCAGGGTTTCAGCCAACCGAAATAAATCCAACAACCCCACAGGAAAGAAGGGATCAGGGTGGGAACAGGAACCTGTTGAGAGTTCACCAAAATAGGGAGTTTTATTTTAACTTTCAATGCTTTATTTCTAGTAGGGCCCTCTCACTTATTACCCAAGCTAGCTCACAATGTTGTCTCTGAAGGATAAGAAAATAGTAAACAGAAAAATGTGCCAGCCAGGGCATAGGGTAGAAGAACATCAATTGTGCCAAGTACCCAATCACAGTACTGCAAGGCAAACACCCCCTATAGGATTACCAAAAGCCTCGAGCCTCAATATTTGCCATACCGTATTGGCAAAGAAAGCTATCAGAGCAGCAAACATTCAGACATTGTGAGAGTTAAGATCACTTTAAACAGCCAGCTGTTTAACGTGAATCATTTTACAGAAGACCTGGGAAAGCCAGGCCTTGGAACAAAGGCCTGGCTCTTTGTTATTACTGTACATCCTGTTAGTTTTTAAGAAGGCATAGCTTTACGAGTATTGTAATAATCGCGTTAAGAACAATCCAGTGTTAGACCACCAAGTGTTGACCGAGACCTAAGGCTCCAGCTATAAGTAATCAAATACCAAATTATAGTGTATACAAATATCAAAAAAAGTTGTATACAAATAAGAGTATACAGCTTAAAAATATCTTTCTTAAATTTCTGTGGCCAATCATGATCTCCAGTGTATTAAACATAATTATAGTGATGAAGTGCCTTAAATGTAAGTTACCGTATATAAATGGTCAAGAAATAGCACTTTTTTTTTTTTTTTTGCAGGGATATTCCTGTGCGGGCCATAAGCCTCTGGCTGGCCCACTGAGTGTTGCTTGTTTCTGTTTTACTTGGGCGGAGTATGAGTATTTATGACTCGTATGGTCGCTTCAGTAAGATTTTGTCATGTGTGTTTAACAACTTCTTCTGCTCTGTTGAATCTAAGGTGAAATCTTAATGGGTTTGTAACTGTGCACTGCGTTAGATAACGTTCCAGTGGTCTGTTGGGCATTTCTCCAAAACAGCACTGATGGACAACTACCTGGTGTGCACCATAACATATACCACAGAATAAATTTTGGCTCAAAATTCAAGTGTTGCATCCACATGCTATATTTTGGTGACATTTTCTAGACTGACATCTTCCCTTTCAATACATGCCACATGCTTTTTCAAAAGTTAATACTGGCATTTTATATTCCAAATGGAAAATTACTAACAAATGAGACAACCAGGAATATTACCCTAACCCAGCATGAATATTAAAAAACAGCAGCATATCTCAACTTTATACACCTACCTGTCCCAAATCCTGTTGAGGATCCAAATGGTGTAGACTCAGGCTTTGGTGTGCTATAATAAACATTAATGGTTTTAGAAGTTTGCCAAGTACTGTACTGTACTGTTAAGTCTGATAAAAATTATTAAAAGTAATAGTACAATCATCAACATTTGAATAAATACAAAAATTTGTTTTCCTACAAAGTACATCTGTACAAAAAAAATAACCAATCCATCTCTTAAAACATTTTATGAGGTATGAAACTTCATAATGCAAGGTTACTATTATAGAAACCTCACAGTACTTTTGAACTCATAAAAACTGCCATATTTGAGGAAACTACAGGTTTTGTAACCTGCTATGACTCCTGGCCCCTGATATTCACCTTTCCTTCAGTTTTTCTAAACCTAAGTAATACAATTCATTTACATCTACTGTATTTGTTTTGAACTAATATTCAGATTTTGGCTATCTTGAGGTTATCTTGAGATGATTTCGGGGCTTTTAGTGTCCCCGCGGCCCGGTCCTCGACCAGGCCTCCACCCCCAGGAAGCAGCCCGTGACAACTGACTAATACCCAGGTACCTATTTTACTGCTAGGTAACAGGGGCATAGGGTGAAAGAAACTCTGCCCTCTGCCCATTGTTTCTCGCCGGCGCCTGGGATCGAACCCAGGACCACAGGATCACAAGTCCAGTGTGCTGTCAGCTCGGCCGACCGGCTAGGCACCAGTTTAGGATAAGCTGCAAATTTACAAAATATTAAGGATGAGAGTTACTTAGGCATGATAATGCTAAGTCAGAAAATACAAAGGCCTCGGTGACATTTCTTACTCGTGTCCTCTGTTTTGTTCCATTTCAACTGTTTAATTCATCTGAGTCAAGTTTTTTTTTGTCTTCCTATATTATTAAAAACTATGCCCTAAGTACTTCTCAAGGTAGTGGATGTTTACTCGTGGCCTCAAATATTGATTGGAAACACCATGTACCCGAGAAAAGTTTCAAATGTTGAAAAGTACCTAAAAAATCTGATGAAGTATCCACACCATGTGACATACATCTGAGAACTTTATGTGCATTTCAAAAGTTAAAATAGATGGTTTTTGGAAGGAAAAGTTAAGATTTTGCAAGGACATAAATTCATTATTTTGTTTATTCTTGTTAAGGTATCATTCAATCACAAAACTTAACAAGGTAATAATTTGTTTAGTTTTAAAAATATCCTTTATTTTTTTCTGAAGTAAATTTAGTGTGTACATATTGAATGTTTTACACTTGAGTTCGGAGTTTTTGAAATACACCATAGGAAAACTAAACTGGAGCAACTTAATTTAAATCTAAAATTAAATATTGCCTCTCTTATTAATCTTAATCACTGATATTAAAAAGATAATACAATACACTACTAAAAAACATTTAATTAGTGTGATTAATTAATTCCAGCAATGAATACGTTGCAATCTGATTACCTGGTTGTGGAAAAAGGAGAAGCATTTGCTGCCGAGCTCTGGCCAAATACTGATCCGCCACTTCCACTACTGCTTCCCGAATTTATGGTGGACTGCCCAAATAATGATGATCCAGAAGACACTGCAGGTGTCCCACCAAATATTCCTCCTCCTTGGGATGTGGAGCTACCAAAGACAGAACCACTTTGGCCTGTGCCCCCAAACACTGATCCTGTTGCAGATGGCATTGCAAATAATGATCCTGAAGAGCTCTGAGTATTTTGACCAAATGCAGAGGATGAACCCTGTGAAGACGTCTGTCCAAAAGGTGAATTCCCTGTTGGTGTTGTAGCAACATTCCCACTAAAACCACTGCTAGCAGAATTCAAAGAACTAAATGCCGAGCCTGAACTGGATGTCGTTATGGCCCCAAAAACAGATGGCTGTCCAAATGTTCCACCAGATCCAGTAGAAACTGGTGCAGCAAAGAGACTGCCTGTGGACGATGCAGTTGTCAACGAGCTGGCAAACATGCTACCAGTGGTTGTTGTAGAACTTGTGCTTGGACCACTACCTAGTGTCAATGGTGAACCAAATAGGCTTCCACTTGATGTTGCTAAGGCAGATGTACTACTACTGGATGTAGCTGTACATGTACTAGCAGCAGTAGTTGAAGTTATACCCCCAAAAATGCTTCCTTTAGAGGTTCCTAGTGCATTACCAAAGATACTGTTAGATGATGTAGTTATACCTCCAAAAATACTGCCAGCTGATGACATTGTTGTATTAGTGGAATTACTAATAGTTGCTGCTACTGTAGTAGTAATAGTTGTAGCAGCAGCAGTTGAAGTTCCAAAAATATTTCTAGAGGCTGCAGATATTTCTCCAAACAAACTCCCTGATGTACTTGATCCTCCGAATAGGCTACCAGTAGATGATGTGGGCAGTGAGAAGTGTTTTGAAGTCATGGGTGTGCCATTTCCAAACAAACTAGATGAATCTGATTCTTGGTTCTTTTCAGGTATATCATTGCCAGTTGCAGATGTCGATACCATGGGAATGGGTGTAAATATACTAGGTGCTAGCTGCTTTTCAAGTTTACTTTGAGGTGATGTTTCCTGTCCAGAAGAATTAGACCCTCCTGAAAATGCAGCATTATCTGCTACAACTGTATTTGAGACCGTGTCCGATTCAGTAGTAGGTGAAGTTACAGAGCTAATAGAAAACAAGCCAGTGGTGGTGGTTGGCAATGAACCGTGGGTAGTAAATGGTATGGTGGTGACAACTGGGGAAGAATTAGAATCACCATCAACTGTTCCAGAAATCACACCGCCAAAAAGATTGCTCGGCCTTGACAACATTGCTGAAATAGAAGAATTCCTTGGTAGTGATCCTTCAGAGTTTGTGGTTGTTACAGAAGTATTGCTGGGAAGTGTGGATGATTTGAAAGTAAATGATGTGTTATTAGTTGAAGTGCTAAGACTTTTAGATTTGAAAGAAAAGAGAGAGCTTGAAGTCACACTTGCACGAGATGCTTCAGGATCTACCGATACTGTTGATGTACTATTAGATTCAACTGTCGTTGAAGGCAGTTTGAAGAGAAAACTTGCAGAGGAAGACACACCTTGTACTTTATCAGAAGAGTTTGTTTCTGGAGTAGTAGAGAAGGCAGTGCTTGGCGGAGAAAAAGGTACAAAAGAAAATGGAACTGAAGGCGTTAGAGAAGGTTTTAATAAAGTAACAGACAAAGGTTTATGAGAGAAGGCCGTCGCAGAGACTGTGACATCTGTCTGGCTTTTAGCTACATCAGAAGTTTGGTTTACACTAAATGTACCACCAAACATGGGCTTTGCATCAGAGAGTGATGCAGAACTCGGAGGGGTTGCATCTACAGCTGTAGTGGTGGGCACTTTTGATACCAAAGATGACAATGCCAATAATGGGCTTGCAGCTTTCATTCCAGTTTCAACTTTATTATCTGGGGTTTGTGGTGGAGTTATATCTTCATACTGAGGCTTGACAACACATTCTGTTCCAATTAATTTCGTGCTAGAGGCAGTTGGAATATTAAGAGCAAAACCGGTTGTTCTGTTTCCTGAAGATACTGATACTGCAGAAAATGAATTATTTTTTGAAGCTGTAATGGAAGTAGAAGATCGATTATCACCAAGTTGGGATAATGGTAGAAGCTGATTTGATATCTGACTTATTGAAGATGCATTTATATTAGTTCTTCCAGGAACTGCCAGTTTACGTGTTTCAAATCCATCATTTGTACGAGACAAGTTGCTAATTCGATTTGGAGTAGAGAATGTCCGTGGTCCAAAGGATGTAGACATGGAATTTTCTAAATTAGAAGCGCGTGATGACGGTTTTTGATGTACTGCAGATGTATCCGGTGATCCATTTTGACTAAAAGAAGAGGAGAGACTTTCATGTGAAGCAAGATCCAACTTCGGGATATCCGAGCATTTCCTGTAGAGGCAAAATATTTTTAAGTAAATCGTTAAACAAAAAATTTAATGAAAGTATGTACTGTCCAGTATCCAAGACAAGTTCTATTTCTTCAGAAATATGTTAGAATAACAAATCTTTCATATACATGGAAAATTATCTAAATATAATTTTAAATGAATCCAAACTATCATATGCATAATAAATTATGTTATTATACTTAAAAATATAGCTTATGAAGCCATACATAGTCTATTAACACTATCGCCCGCGCCACGTGAGCACCGTAGACTTTGACATCATGGGGCTAATGGTACAGGCGAGCGTGCGGCGACGCATAAATGTGTATACTCGTTTCAGTTTTCTCACCTTAATTCTCGTACGTCGTTCGTTTTGGTATTATTGTGTTCGCAATTAAATTCCCTGCAGATGTATATGCATATAATGTCCAAAAACCTGGCAAGACTCCCCGCAGCAAAGCCTAAAATTACCTATGAACGAGCACCAATTTGCACACCACAACCTAATGTGTATACTCGTTCAGTTTGATAACATCAATTTTCATGTTACATCGCTCATTTTGGTATCAAATTGTTCGCAATATAAAGGCGCGCATTTTAAAACTAGTCTCATAATAATAGAGCAATAACTGGAATTTTAACAAATATTTTAATTTTGGACGCTCATCATCAAAATTATTTATATCTTTCCAGTGTTCTGACATCAATTTTCATGTTACATCGCTCATTTTGGTATCAAATTGTTCGCAATATAAAGGCGCACATTTTAAAACCAGTCCCATAATAATAGCACAACAAATAAAATTTTAACAAGTATTTTAAAATTTAAAATTTAGACCCAAAAACGTATTTATAATCTTTCAAGTGTTCTGACATCAAGTTTCGTGTTACATCTTTCGTTTTGGTATCAAATTGTGCGCATTCTAAAGGCTCTTATTTTGAAACTATCCCAAGGTCGATCGGATAAAAAATGAATTTTATACAAATATTTTTGTATTGGACACAAGTCCTGTCCACAGCTAGGACTCAAGAGGAAAAAAATGGACGTGATCGGTGTCCAAAGCGAGCGATACTGTTAAGATTTATTGTTGTCATATTTCTTTGCTAAATCCTGGTATTTGATCTTTGTATATACTGGTACTGTACAACAAAAACTCTTATTTCACAACTTGAACTAATAAATTCACATCATGGATTTATTTCTAATGTAGTATGATTGATAATCATATTCCAAGATAAGGATGTTGTCAACTAAAGGCAACTCATAAGTTACCTGGTGAGGTGTAATATACTATATTACTAAGGTACAGTACTTTTTGACACAATGCAGTTTAATAGCTATTATGCAAATTTCATAGTAAGACATTACACCACCTATTCCATTCTTAGCAATTCAAAGTTAAATTGGTGTTCTTTATCCTATAAACTGTTTTTTTTATCAATTACTTTACTCTTCATGTTTTCACCTCCCCAGTCTAATAACCTTTGAAATGTTGCTCTAGGCAAAATATTACTATTTGGGAATCTATCTTCATAAGAACTATGTTACAATGACCCCTTATAGTGATCCCAGTTTCAGGAAAGTATCCTCAGTATTAAACATGGCACGTATCTACTCTCAACTACTGTCTACATTTGCTAATCTGGATCATATGGGACCCATCCCTCTACGACTTAGCTGAACATCTGGATTAGCAGGAATTCTTACCAGGAAGATCCAAATATTAACATTCACATTGCTTTATATTACAACCAACATACAGTAATCAATATTTTCACACACAATAAATATAAAATTACATGTATAGGGGAGGACCTTCATATATGGTACTTATGAGAACTCAAATAATTTAGTGACAATAACAAATTCAACTTACCTTGTTGGAGTTCATCTGCTTGAAGAGCTTCAATAATGTTAATTTTTCTAAACTAACCTAAAACAACACTATAATCACTGTACATGAGCTTGGCAAGGTCAGTTTTGACAGAGCTACTGAAGCTGCACTGGTTGAAGGTCCTTGACTTTCTGGTGAGCATAAGTCACCCAACATCATTCAGCAACCCAAACAAACTCTTAGCAACCCATATTTCTGTTCGAGTTTGGGGAAGTTTGATAAGACAAAACTCGGACTCGATTTTGAACGGATTACCCAAAGCCTGGGTTAATGGGGTTAGATTAGCAAGCTCCTTTTCTTAAAGTGCATACAGATTTTAGATAGATATGGATACCTGAAAAACAATCCAGTATTCTTAGCAATATTTTTAAATGAAACATTTCTAATTATCTATAAAGAGTACTGAGATTGAGAGCAGTTTGATTACTGCTCAGACATGAGTGGATTGTCATCACCAATAATGGAAGCAATGATATAGTGCACCAATTTAATTTAATTTCTAGAGGGAAGTAGCAACATTCTAATACCCCAAGGAAACAATGAACAACCTCTGCCACAACCAAGTTACAACTTGCTAACTTATTTAGCATTCAGGAGTGAACCAACCTTCTTAAGGTAAGCTCGCTTTATCCAAAAATTTCTCTCCACATTATGGTGTCCTTAAATGTAATTAAACCTGAAAAATACTTTATTAAGCAGTAGTGAAGAACAGCAGTTAACACAGTTTAAATTTTAATCTTATCTTTACCTTAGTGGAATGGTGCTTCTTTGAGCAAGAACCTTCTGCAACTTGTTCTGCTTCTTAGGAGGCAGCATTTTGAGTGGTGAGAGATGAGGATTTGGAGACAGTGTAGTCTCTCGAAGAGTTCTCTCAAGGATAGCCAGAGCATCATCACTGTTCAAATGTAAAAAAATAAAGCATTGAATACTACGCTCTTTTATGGTAGGCCCCCCCCTCTCTTCCTGCCAGACAATTTGAACTTACCACTGATACAACAAAGCTTTAACCCTACATCCCCTGTTTAACAGAATATCTGAGATCAACCACAGAACTGGGTGAAACTAAACAGAAAGCAAAGGTGCAACAAAATAAGCTAATGCTTTAATAAAAATTAGACATCCCTAGGTAAAGAAGGTAAATTAATTTGCTGCTAGATAAATACCCTAGCATGGTGTCCTAACTCGGGCATTTTCCCATGGCTCAGTCAGGTGCCATAGGCACAATCAGAGAACACTGTATGAACATCAGAGGTCCACGGTTGTTACACGTCCTACCAGCGAGGATCAGAAATATTACAGGAACAACCGTGGACATCTTCAAGAGGAAACTAGATTGTTTCCTTCAAGGAGTGCCGGACCAACCGGGCTGTGGTGGGTATGTGGGCCTGCGGGCCACTCCAAGCAACAGCCTGGTGGACCAAACTCTCACAAGTCTGGCCTCGGGCCGGGCTTGGGGAGTAGAAGAACTCCCAGAACCCCATCAACCAGGTATCAACCAGGTATCTCTTACAGAGAATTGGTCCAGCGACGTACCTTGTTGGTCACCGTCTTTCTTGTTTTGGTTCATATGGTATTATCATTTACTTTGTAGTCATTTCTTTATTGGCATCTTATGCCTAATACTGTTGCCTCTTATCATGTCAACAAGAGATATTGTTGGCTTTTACCTTTGATTCTTCTTCAACACTTTTCTGTTGAAGAAACTCGAGACAACACGTTGTCTCGAGTTCTTTCTCACCCTAGCCATTCTGGTCCCCGGGCAGGGTCATTGATTTTCTATCTTCACTTTGGTTCATGTCTTCTTCGCTCTGGGTTTCCTTTTTTTTTTAAGGTGGCGTGTTGATGGCTCTTGCCTCTGGTTGTCAAGTTAATGGCCTTTATGCTCTTCTCCGAACATGGGAAGATTATGTTTTTCTGATTCCTGGTGGGCATTTTTTTCACTTGCAACCATCTCCTTTTCTGGCAAAGAATGAGTTGCCAGGCTTCTGGAAGGGTTCTTTGGTTATTGATGTTTGGGCAATTCAGCTGGGGGTGCATCATTTGTGTCCAGTGGGGACAATTTGTCGCCACCTGCTTGTCACTGCCTTTGGGTTGATCTGGCCTCCGTGGTCCACTGTTCTAAGGCTCCTATTTCTAAGGTAGTCCACAGTGTCATCAGGCTACCCAGCCTGCGGTCTATCACTAGGTCCATGATATTCACAAATATACAGCACACACAGCAGTCTTCTCTAAAATGTCTTGGGTGGATATTCGAGCTTGGGTATTTTGGCAGACTAACAGGGTTAGGACAGCCAGGTATCTAGTCAATCTGCCTGATCCTCTTCGGTCCTGTGTTGTCCCGGGTCGTGTTTCCCGGCTGTTGGTGTCTACTTTAGTAGAGTCCTGGTGGCTCCACCAAAAAAGAGACATTTTGGGATGATCTCCGATACCCAAGCTAAGTCTCATAAATCGAGCGAGATTCTGGTCCTGGCTTCAGTAGGCCTGGTGCGGTTGGTTAAGGCTAGGCAAACTCAGACCTAAACCTTGGAAAGCTATTGAGGGGCCCCTCAGAAAATGCTGCTAAAACCCTAAGGGGTTCATACTCTGAATATCTAAATGGTAATTATTTTTTACTTATTCTTCTGAATTATATAACACAAAAATACCAACTCTTAAGTTCATTAATACAGTGTATATAAGAAATACTTACTCTTCGTACTGCCGATGAGATGGTGCAAACCCAAACTTGAGAAAACTGAGTTGGAGGGTTTTTAGTCGGTCACAAAGAGCATCTACTTGCTTCTCACATACCATTCGTAGACTGTGGCACTTTCGTAGGGCTTGGTACAGCGTTTCCGATGCTGGTAATTCATGTTTTCTATACAAATATGAGGAAGATGTGATATAATTAAGTTTAAAGCAGTTTTAAGATCTACAAATATTAACTCGTCAAGCAAGTCTACTTAAATTTCCCTGAATCATGCATATCGAGTATATCCTTAGCATAATCATCAGAATCCCCTTCCCATTTCCTAATGTCACAATGAATAGGCTGATGTGATGTGACATGTGATGAAAAATGTGACACTCACATTTTTCCATCACATGTTAATTTTTGTGATTTACACACACACACAAATTATTTATATTTATATATAAATATAAATATATACCAGTTCACTTACTTTTTGTTTGTGGTATTTGTGAAGGCAGCCCAATCAAGATGAAGTCTAATGTCCACCTCGCCCAATTGACTCTGAAGATACTGATATAAAGAGCGTACTTCCTCCAGTTTCTTGCGACTACGTGGGTCAAGAGGTCGTGACTGAAGGGACAAGTAGTGCCTGCAAAGATATTGCACCAATAGGTCTATGAACTACCCCTTAAAAAACTCACTCTTCTTCTAGCTCTTTGAAGACTAACACCTTTTGTTCTACAAGATTAACATAAAAAAATCACATACAGAGCATTTTGCCAGGTAAGAAATAGTATCCAACATCTTACCTAAAGTGCTACATTCTTATTAACTGCTGGTGTAGACCTGACCAAATGTAAACTGTGTCAACAAAATTATTCACACACCGTCCGTCACTATGTGATGGAGTGCAAAAAGATATGTGAATTCAGAGACAATTCGATAACCAATGTTCCAAAGATGTGTAAATATTTCATTCAAAATGATCTGCTACCAGAAATTTTAGCCAAATATCCTGTTTGCTAACTGTAGGTAGTAACTAAGTGACTGTAACCTATCCACCGCTGCCCACTGGATGGGGGACGGTGTGCAGGACAAACATATCAATTGTGACACTATCTCTCCTCATATGTCAGCTGCTTAATTTAGAAACTGTACTTTTGGTCGATCTTGAACCCATTGATGATGTGACGACGTATATTGAATTTTGTAACTAGCTCATCAAGATTGAAACTTGCTTAGGTAAATGAATTGTGGGGTTCAGTCCCTGAACCCATTATGTGCCTGTGTAACCCTTTCCACTACCGCCCACAAGATGGGTATGGGGGTGTATAATAAATAAACTAAACATGATGACACAATCACCTGACACACGTCAGTGTAATCCCTATTTAATTTGTTTTCATTAATAAACTTAATTTCTTATATTTTACATGTTTACAATTAAATGATTGATATAGTTATAGCTGCTGGTTGATGGTAAATGAAGGAAATGGGCCAAGGCATTAGCCTTAGTTCTTCCATCACTACTTGCCCATACAACATTACAATTTTTACTTTAGTATTAACTATACATTTGCTTAAAAATTTTATTTATGACGTACTCACCTAGTTGTGATTGCGGGGGTTGAGCTTAGGATCTTTGGTCCCGCCTCTCAACTGTCAATCAACTGGTGTACAGATTCCCGAGCCTATGGTGTACAGATTCCTGAGCCTATGGTGTACAAATTCCTGAGCCTATGGTGTACAGATTCCTGAGCCTATGGTGTACAGATTCCTGAGCCTATGGTGTACAGATTTCTGAGCCTATGGTGTACAGATTCCCGAGCCTATGGTGTACAGATTCCTGAGCCTACTGGGCTCTTATCATATCTACATTTTAAACTATGTATGGAGTCAGCCTCCATCACATCACTTCCTAATGCATTCCATCTGTTAAGTACTCTGACACTGAAAAAGTTCTATCTAACATCCCTGTGGCCCATTTCAGTACTCGGTTTCCACCTGTCTCCCCCTTGTTCGCATACCACCCGTGTTAAACAGTTTATCTTTATCTACCCTGTCAATTCCTCTTGAGAATTTTATAAGTAGTGATCATGTCTCCCCTAACTCTTGCATTCAGTTCCAGCAATCTTTCCTCTTAGCTCATACCTCTCAGCTCGGGAACTAGCCTGGTGGCATACCTCCGAACCCTTTCTAACTTCGTTTTGTTTTTGACTAGATGTGGACTCCACACTGGAGCCTGGAGTTGTGTTGATGCAGTGGCGAGCAGCAGGCAGCCCTTTAGTCTATTTTCTATCCAGCAGGCAACATGACGCCCCTCTTATTTTGGCCACATGATCAAATGTTTGGCAACACATCAGCAATACTAATATTGTTAGCAAAATAATTCAATATTTCAATATTAACAGTTGAAAGGTATCTAAATCCTGTTAAATGAACAAACTGCCGCCATCACAACCAATACTGGCATGCTCTCATGGCATGCCCTGAACCAGAAAATAACATGATTGTTTGGCAGGAAAAAATAGTACAATACCATACTATGAAATACATGGGGATGCTAAACTGCATGTCTGACTGTGTATTACTTCCTTATCCAAACCAAGTTATTGTATTTTTGTCCTTATATTATTAAAGAAGAAAAATGACATGAATAATTTTAATTCTACAGCCTACCGTGGATTTTTACTTTTGCTGAGTTGTGCTTCGGCTTCCTCCAGCAGTGTGTAGCCCTCCAAGACATCTGAATGCAACTGGGATACCTCCCCTTTCAGCTCAGTTGTGGTAGATGACATCTGATTGATCCATTCCATTTCTTCAATTAGAGACCGCCGAATATTTCCCATCTCTTGCTTTGTGCCAATCTGTTTGGAATGTCATTGCCCAATGAAAATATATAAAACCTATACTTCAGGAGATGACTAATGATTACTTGATCAACAAAATTTTTTGTCATAGACAATGAAGTGTCCCTAGGTCATCGTATTTCAATACGTGAGAAGAGTGATGCAAACTTAAGTTGATGGAGCTAACTTAACAGTGACTATGGAAAAGTGAGGTTTTTAAGGTTTTTAATGCCCCACATACTAGCCTTGCTGTTCATAGTGCATTTTTTTAAATCCCTTCATTTGAATTCTGACATGTCTGCCCTTGAAATTTTGATTTGAATAACTTCCAATACCCTGTTTTAGTAAGTTATCCTAAATGACCACTTGTACAGTCCCCCTATATAGTGTTTCCTTATATTTCTTTTTGTTTGCATTTACACCTTCCACAATTAGAAGTTTCCACAAGAAACACATTACATAGTCAAAAACTAGTTAACACTTTTTTTGCACACCCATTAGCCACTTTGCATATTGAGGTTAAGGCTAATGTGGGTGCACAACTACTTCTACAAGAAAAATTCTACAGAACAAAACTAAAGTAAAAAATTAATTACTGAATCTAGGAGTTACAAGGAGTCCCCAACTTACGAATAGAATTTGTTCCAAAGAAGCATTTGCAAGTAGAAACCAGATTTTCCATAAGCAGTGGGAATATGTTCCCACATTAAAACTATTGTGTCAGTTTATTTGCTAACTCACCGATTGCAGTGAACAATATTTTTTGTAAAGCGGCCAGTAATAGGGCCTGTATAATTTCACACAAACTTTTTTTTACCATGTTGCCTGTTGTAAATCTGAAGTCAATAAACAAGGTTTCTCTAAAGATAATTCACAAAGACCAATGAAAAACCGAAACATATCCCCAACCAGGAATACCTGACCACAAAGAAATAGAATTACTGAATAATGAAGCAGAGAAAATGTTTCCAATGATCTTTTCACCATTAACTAGCATATAAGATGATGAATTAGGGCTATTAATATAAAGGCCATCCAATCACAAAAATTTACCTCATTGCTGGACTCTCTTTGGTTTACATGATCATGAAGTTCTTCCTCAAACTGAGCTGATGCAACTTCAATTGTTGATATGAGACATGAATCCATTTCCTTCCCTGCAAGTAATGCTTGGCCAGGTGCCGGACATGGGAATCTGCTGCTACTCTGTGTTTCGGCTTGCTTTGTAATGTCAGAGGTGACTGGAGATTTTTTAGCATTGATGGGAGTACAGCTGACTGGGGAAAGAGCTGGTTTACCCTGAATAATGCTCCCGGCTACAGTACTTGCTTGTGGCAGCTGAAAAGATGGAAACTTCAATCCTTGTCCAGCAGTATTTGCTGATGTTTGCTGACCACTGTTTCCAGCATGAGAAGTTTTGGCACCTTCAGCTTTTCTTTCAATACTAAATGGTGATGCAGATGAAATTTCAGCATTGGACATTGCAACACTTGATGTAGATGAAGGAGACATGAAGGAAGATAAAACTTTAGAAGGTGAAGATGGAGGTTTTGCAGTTCCAAAGAATGAACTTGTACTCCCAGAAGATCCTGTGACGGGGGTACTAGAGTCAAAAATTCCAGATGATGTCTTGGCAAATGAAAAGTTTGACTTTATATTATCAGATGTCTGCTGAGGAAATGATGTCAATTTTGGTCCCATTCCTGCCCCAGCATGCTGTTCTGGCGTGGAACTGCAATATGTACAAATTTATATCAATAATGGTTATATCCTGGAAATTATAAAAAATTTAAACACAGAACAGCAATTGAGCAATGGAAGTACTCTGTGTGTGCGTGTGTATTTTATATATATATATATATATATATATATATATATATATATATATATATATATATATATATATATATATATATATATATATATATATATATATATATATATATATATATATATATATATATATATATATATATATATATATATATATATATATATATATATATATATATATATATATATATATATATATATATATATATATATATATATATATATATATATATATATATATATATATATATATATGTCGTACCTAGTAGCCAGAACTCACTTCTCAGCCTACTATTCAAGGCCCGATTTGCCTAATAAGCCAAGTTTTCCTGAATTAATATATTTACTATAATTTTTTTCTTATGAAATGATAAAGCAACCCTTTTCTCTATGTATGAGGTCAATTTTTTTTTATTTGAGTTAAAATTAACGTAGATATATGACCGAACCTAACCAACCCTACCTAACCTAACCTAACCTATATTTATAGCTAAGGTTAGGTTAGGTAGCCAAAAAAAGCTAGGTTAGGTTAGGTTAGGTAGGTTAGGTAGACGAAAAAACATTAATTCATGAAAACTTGGCTTATTAGGCAAATCGGGCCTTGAATAGTAGGCTGAGAAGTGAGTTCTGGCTATTAGGTACGACATATATATATATATATATATATATATATATATATATATGTCGTACCTAGTAGCCAGAACGCACTTCTCAGCCTACTATGCAAGGCCCGATTTGCCTAATAAGCCAAGTTTTCCTGAATTAATATATTTTCTCTAATTTTTTTCTTATGAAATGATAAAGCTACCCATTTCATTATGTATGAGGTCAATTTTTTTTATTGGAGGTAAAATTAACGTAGATATATGACCAAACCTAACCAACCCTACCTAACCTACCTAACCTATCTTTATAGGTTAGGTAGCCGAAAAAGATAGGTTAGGTTAGGTTAGGTAGGTTAGGTAGTCGAAAAACAATTAATTCATGAAAACTTGGCTTATTAGGCAAATCGGGCCTTGCATAGTAGGCAGAGAAGTGCGTTCTGGCTATTAGGTACGACATATTATATATATATATATATATATATATATATATATATATATATATATATATGTCGTACCTAATAGCCAGAACGCACTTCTCAGCCTACTATGCAAGGCCCGATTTGCCTAATAAGCCAAGTTTTCATGAATTAATGTTTTTTCGTCTACCTAACCTACCTAACCTAACCTAACCTAGCTTTTTTTGGCTACCTAACCTAACCTTACCTATAAATATAGGTTAGGTTAGGTTAGGTAGGGTTGGTTTGGTTCGGTCATATATCTACGTTAATTTTAACTCCAATAAAAAAAAATTGACCTCATAAATAGAGAAAAGGGTTGCTTTATCATTTCATAAAAAAAAAATATAGTAAATATATTAATTCAGGAAAACTTGGCTTATTAGGCAAATCGGGCCTTGAATAGTAGGCTGAGAAGTGAGTTCTGGCTACTAGGTACGCATATATATATATATATATATATGCAATTGACGATCACAAAACACTGATCATTTTATGCGGAAAATCCACAGAGAAATATGAAATGAGGTGAACGTTTCGGCTTTGTTAAAGCCTTTGTCAACACCAGACTGACTCAAATCAGTCTGACTGACTCAGTCAGTCTGGTGTTGACAAAGGCTTTAACAAAGCCGAAACGTTCACCTCATTTCATATTTCTCTGTGGATTTTCCGCACACATATATATATATATATATATATATATATATATATATATGAAAACTACCCTTTGGTGTCCAGCCAGCACTGGACAACATAGGTGGTATTACAAGCACTGTACTGGGAAAGTAATGGGCACAGACTGGTGGAGTAATTGTGCCTGATTGTGGTTGTATGTGTGTTTGTGGTTATAATGCCTAGATATCAGTGACTACGAGAAAGAGGAGAACAAGGTGGGGTCAGGGAAGTACTTGTGAGCCCACCAGAAAAGTGTTTCATTACAGTCAATCTTTGACTTCTGAGAGCCCCCTCAATAGCTTCCCTAGCTTACTCAAAATAATGTCTAGAGAGAGAGGAGGCAGACAAAAATTTAAATAGGAAAAAACAGCAAAATAGAACAGATGGGCTGGGTTTATCCATGTGAGAACTGGAAAGGAGGGGCAGGGCAAAAGAATGTCAGTGACACTCCAAATACCAAAGAGCCAAACAGGTGCTGTGAGGCCAACACCCTTTTCTCCCACCCTCTCCTATAGCTAGGCCCTTCTCTACTTTTTCTGGGATTTGTTAATCTTATGCTCCTTTTCAGCAAATTAGTTTTCCTCTACTGTAGCACCAAAGGGTAAGCACCAGAGATACAAAGATGGCCTTCCCAGAAATCAAATGTTTAATCTATGTAACATACTTTTCTGGTAGATTCTTAGTAGCTCTCCATCCCTGCCCTGTCTTTTCCAACCTTCCCTTTGAGGATTTATCATGTTTCATATTGGCAACCAGTGAGTGTCGCAGGTGATGGGCTGGGACCACAGTGTCATGGATAAGGGTTGTTTACCTGCAGCAAAACACCATTTGCCTTGTTGACCAGACCACACACTAGAAGGTGAAGGGACGACGACATTTCGGTCCGTCCTGGACCATTCTCACAATCGACTTGAGAATGGTCCAGGACGGACCGAAACGTCGTCATCCCTTCATCTTCTAGTGTGTGGTCTGGTCAACATACTTTAGCCACGTTATTGTGACTCATCGCCTGCACCATTTGCCTTGTTTTCATACATTGTTATTTTTCTTTCTTTCAACCAGTATCATGTTTTGTTGCACCTAATCTTTCCAGTGGGTTTTCTCAGTTTTGGATAGATCTCTAATCACAGAACTCCTCCCACATTATAGAGTCAGATTCTGGTCCTAGCTCCTGGTGGGTCAGCAGTGGGTCTCAAGAGGCCTGATACAACTCTTACCTGGAGCATACCTGGAGAGGGTTTCGGGAGTTCTTCTATTCCCCGAGCTAGGCTCGACTTGTGATATCTTAGTCCAACAGGATGTTGCTTGGAGCGGCCTGCAGGCTCACACATCCACTACAGCCTGGTTGGTCTAGCCCTTCTTGCAAGAACCTGTCCAAGTGCCTCTTGAATACATCCACCTTCATTCTGGCAATATTTCTAATGTTTGCTGGGAGGGTGTTGAACAGCCTTGGACCCCTGATGTTCAGACAGTGTTCTCTGATTTTGCCTATAGCACCTCTACTCCTCACCGGTTCTATTCTGCATTTCCTTCTGTATCTTTTACTCCAGTATATTATTATTCTACTGTGCAAATTTGGGACCTGGCCCTCCAGTATCTTCCGGTAAAAAGCCTTATATATTTCTAAGGCTTCTGTGATTCTGTCATATTGGTAGAGTAACTGTGACAGATCTTCCCACTTTAAATCCATGTTGTCCTGGGTTGTGAAGTTCATTATTTTCCATAACTATTAATTTGATTCCTAATCACTCTTACTTGGAGCCTTGTTTTATTATGTGTGATGTTAGTGCAACTGGTCTATAATTTATTGCCAAAGCTTTACTACCTCCCTTGTGCAGAGAATCTATATCTGCTGATTTAAGTGCTGCTGGTATCACACCTGTATCTAGGCTCTTTCTCCATATTACACTGAGTGCTTGCGCTACTGGTACATTAAATTTCTTTATGAATATTGAATTCTATGAGTCTGGAGCAGAGGCTGAGTGAATGGACATGTCAATTTCTCTTTCAAAGTATCCTGAGTTAATAATTAATATGGGTAATAATTAATATCCAAGTTAATAATTATTATTAATATTAATTAATATATAATTAATATCGGTTATGTTATCTGGAGCTTGGATATCATTCATAAAGAAACTGTCCGGATCCTCAACTTTCATGTTGTTTATTGGGATGCTAAACATAGTTTCATACTGGCCTTGTAGAATTTCACTAATTTCTTTGTTGTTCTCTGTGTACAAACCTTTAGTTGTAAAAAAAAAATTCATTAGGACCCTAATTATGTCCAACAATAAAAATGTTAGTATTGTCGTCCAACAATAAAAATGTTAGTATTGTCTTACCTAGTAGTTTTCATAATAAATACTTTAAGTGTTAATTATACATTTAAAATATCTTATAGCCCTCACATTTTCATAACATCTTATGGATTCATTACTTGCAAGCCACCCAATACAGAATTTACCAACCTATCAAATAAACTTGATGTAACAGGAAATGCTCCTCCAGTTAATGCTCCATGTTCTATAGTCATTTTAGGTATATTAACTGTTAATCCTGGTATGTTTGAGGGTGTACTGATATCAACTTTTGGGATGTTCAAAACTGCAGGAGCAACGTAACTGGCAACTCCCCCATACTGCTGTGGAGAGCGATGCCCATTATTAGGGAGACTCTCCAAGGGGCAGGTTAGGGCTGGAGCATCTGGTCTGGCATTAACCACATGGAACATGTTAAGCTCTCCTCCAGTTGACAAGGTGAAGATTACAGGACAAGGACCAAAGGTGGTTTCATCTGGAATTAGAAACAATTATATTTACTTATCAATATTACAGTATTCCTACTTCATTTAATTTAGCACATAAAACCTAGCACAAATTGTTTATACAAATTGTGCTCAATTTAAATTTAGCTTTAATTCAGCCATGAAAAAAATTAACTCTTAAAATATGGTGTAGTCCAATTAAACAAGCTTTGATATTATAGACTATTTACTAAACAGTATTATTGGGCATGTGACAGCCATGGTGCAGATAATGACAATATGAAGGCTTTATCATTTGCTTTCTTGTTTGAAACTGGTGAGCCTTTTGGGCTCTTGTCATATCTACATTTAAAGCTACATATGGAGTCTGCCTACACCATTTCACTTTATTGTGCATTCCATTTATTCACTACTATAAACCCAAAAGAATGTCTATGCGACTCATTAAAATATTTAATTTGTGTTCTCAGATGCCAGATAATATTATGCCTGAACATTATTCAACAAGTGCATTTTAGCAGCAAAAGGGTTGATAATTAATGAAATGGAGTGTTTGTGTGTGGTTTTACTACTTTCTCATACAATACATTTAAAAACCAGCTTACCTTTATTAATAAAAATCTTCTGTGATGTGAAGTCCACTGCCAAGCCTAAAGGAAATGTTTCTTCAGTTACAGAGACAGAGTGAACTTCAGCTCTCCCACCTTCTTCAATTTCATATTCACACCAATTTTCACCACCACTTTCAGGGTGGCCCAAGACTCCTAACTGGTTGGCTCGTGATGACAACACACACATAAGGCTCCTGCAAATTAAGACATTGGGGTAAGTCAACTTCATTCACTGTAGGTAATTACAATACCTTTCAAAAACAGCAGTTAAGAATCAAATGAGAGATTGTGCAATATAATTAAGAAAACTAGATGTGTTTTGGTTGTAACCAATCATGGGAGTGAGACTTCTAGCTTCAGCCTAGCATTTTGTCCTGACGTGCTGAATTACTGTCTATAACCGACTCTGTGGATCAGTGAATATTTTATTAAAAAAAGAACAAAAAGTTTTTAAGCTGCAAGGAAGGGGGGGGGGGGGGGGGGGGGGGAAGGCCAGACATGAAAATACAAGATGCAGTATTGAAATCTCTTAACAAGGATGGGTTAAGTATTGAAAAAATGTAAAAGTAAATTAATGTTGCCATATAATAATTAAATCATATATAGCAATGGAAGGAACAGTTTGAATATAAAACATTCAAGGTTTTATATTCAAACTGTTTACCATAATGTAAAAAAATTAGGTGAAACTAATTGGGATTTGTTACACAAAATCTGATGGGCATAGTGCCAGAAGTTTACACAACACTATTTTTTTAGTACGTACAAGATTAAAGAATATAAGGACCAATGTACTTAACTTGAACATACCAAATAAGGTTAGTACAGGTAAGGTGGGACAGCTATAACTAACAGGATGAGATTTCCCAATAGAAAATTAATGAGGTTATCTTGAGGTTATCTTGAGATGATTTCGGGGCTTTAGTGTCCCCGTGGCCCGGTCTTCGACCAGGCCTCCACCCCTAGGAAGCAGCCCGTGACAGCTGACTAACACCCAGGTACCTATTTTACTGCTAGGTAACAGGGGGCATAGGGTGAAAGACACTCTGCCCACTGTTTCTCGCCGGCGCCCGGGATCGAACCCGGGACCACAGGATCACAAGTCCAGTGTGTTGGACTTGTGATCTTGTGGAGAGTAGACAAGTTTCATATAAGGTAAAGGACATGTAAACCAAATATTTTACGTAGGCAACAGAAAAGAAGAAAACACAAATATATGTTCTTAACTCTACAAACATCAACACATTACTGTATACAGTACATGTAATTAAATTACATAAAACAAGTAATTATTACCATTCTGCGAAGAAATTTGAATAAAACATAGCTGGTCGTGGACCTTGGTTGTAGTTGCACAAGTATTCATAAATAACAAATCTTGACTCTTTTGCTTTAGGGGCGTTTACGTACATCATAACTGAAATGAAGTTAATGACCCGCATATAAACAAATATTTATTGACGCATTTAATATATAAAAATAACTTAATACAAATACATTAACATAGCTTTGGTTTAATGACATAGAACTATATCATTAAACCAAACTTTGAATAACCTACCTGTGCCTTTTTTTTTTTTTTTTTTTACAAAATAATACAAACTCGCTATAGCTCTGCAAATCACAAATGTTGGGTTTGTAATACTGTACAGTAATTGTTTTATCACCTTTCATCAGGTGGATAATTTCCTTTGAAGCCAACAAATCTACAGAAATATATTAACATTTCTATAACTTAATAAATACCTACAGTATATTTTTAGCTAGTCATATTATTTATGATAAATTTTAATTTTATGACATTAATTTAGCAATTCTACCCTGTCAATTCTTCATCTCTGCAAGCTACTTTATGAACAGCCTGTTGAGATGAGGAACCCAACAGTGGTTAACCTAACACAAACATGGAACATGTTAAACATGCGATGCTGAAACCTACCATGAGCCCATAAACAAGAATTCAAGAAATAAAGGATAGCTGATGGGGTTCATGAGCTCCAAACAGCATTTTAAAATGCTGGACCATACATTCTTTTGCCAAACAGTACAGTATAGTGCTGTGGTCATAATGGTCAACACTGGAAATTCAAAAACCAAACATAGAAAAGCAAAACTGGAACAGGTCACCAGGTCCACGATCCCTAACCAAAGGAACAAGGATGAAGCCTGACTAACAAGGTAAATGGGACAGCTCTACCAATAACCTAGGTGGGTAGAGATGGTTTGTTGTTGAAGAGATTCATTAAAGGGAGGTTCAGATTTAGGAGGACTCACAGTACTGTACACTGGCTGATCTGAATTGATTTCTTCAGTTATCTTGCATTATCCAATTTCTAAGGCTCTTGGTCACACATCTCCTGGCATACTGATGGCTTTCAAGCACACTGGCATTCTTTTTAATTTTCATTAAGTGTTATTTTCTGTACATGTTTTGGTTTCAAATTATTTTATTTTATGCTGCGAGTACATTGAGCTATTCAAGTCACTAGACCTCTATTATTCTGCAATATATGACTGCTTCACAGAGTAGCTCCTATATATGACTATGATGTCATCGAAAGCTTCAAAGGAATGACCTATGTTTATACTTATGACAAAAATTGTAGAGAAGATAGCATAGCTCCATTTATGTAACTACACTTTGAAGTAGGCTACATTTTTCAATAGATGATTCTGGTTGACAAACACACAGGCCTAGATTATTAAAGGGTTTGCTTCAGTTTCTCAAAAGTTAACAGTTTTTTTTTTTTTTTTTGCATTTTTGTCTAATTTTGTTTGAATTTTATTTCCAACTGCTTTTTCAATGCCATATTACTGAGGTAGTCTTCATCCTTTAATTATTTTATTCCATACTCAATCCAGAATGCAGAACTTTTCAAAACATATTGAGAGTATTCCTTTGTTGGAATAAAGCAGCAAAGAACAAAAACAGGCAAATAAATATTTAGTTTAAAAGATTATCCTCATAGTAAATACTGTACTTGATCCATTCACCACATTTTCCTTTATCAGCCACTTTAGATCAGTACAGTACCTACAAACTAATCAAGTACAAAGGCATCCAACATTCAATTAATATTGAATTAGAGATATGTATGCATACCATGTGCACCCTCCTCGGACACTATCCTATAGCTGATGAAGAATTCGGTGTTGGTAAACCAAGTTACACTTAGCACTGAGCCAACATCGTCCATAGGAGGCCTCGATACATTTCGCACAGCTGTCAAATCCGGTTTAAATAATGCCAAGGTTCCATCAGCTAAACCAACTGTTAACTGCTTTCCCTTTGGAGACCATCCTACAGCTCTGTAAAAATATAACAGTTTTTGTAATGTGACCTGACTGGCTGAAATGATGACTGGTCACATTAGTGGTTGTGACAGGTATAATTATGGCTATAAAGGTGGTGGTAATTTTAGCAATACAGTAATAGTGGTTGTAATGGAAGTTGTGATGATGATTGCAGTAGCAATGATTTTCATTATGTTTTAATTTAGACCTAAGGATAGTTGTGGTTTCAGATTTAGAATGTATAGCAGTTAACAGTACCAGATTCATTAAATGCTGTATTTAAAAACATGGAGCAAAGTGCCAATTTACCATACCTGAAAATTTTTTCTTTTCAACTGACACACGAATGTAGTTATTAAGCAAGTATATGGCTCGTGGAGAAGACCAAGCAACAAATGAACATAGTATAAAGTATCAGAGAATGGAAGTGACAATACTTATAAGATGTATTGATTGAAATACATCCTTAGCTAGAATACTAACTGAATAATAAAATGTGTCTGGCTTAAATAAAGTTAAAAAACGTGAAGATGGTTTTGTGCCAACTACTTTGGATAATCATGACTTCACTGTACTTGTTGACCAGACCACACACTAGAAATTGAAGGGACAACGACGTTTCGGTCCGTCCTGGACCATTCTCAAGTCGATTGTGATGAGGAGGTAGGGACAGGCAATAAATAGGCAAGAGAGAGCTTTCACTGTACTTGTTTTTAAGGGTGCCCTTTTTATTGGAAACTTATACACTGTAACTAATAAACTGCATAGCAAAGGCTGTGTATCATTAATGCCACAATCCCTCGCTCAGTTATCCTAACTAAAGTATGCCGACACACAAAATGTGTTGTTCCCATACAAAATTACAGTTTTGTATACTAATATCCCAGCATGTGACTGCTCTAGTACTAATCTCAATCTCTGTATGAGTATGTGAAAACATTTGTCACCTAAAGGATGCTTTCATTATCACTTACCGTGCTTGAATTTCTTTTGAGTGAATGCTTACTTCACTTTCTTTAAGTGTGATGATTGAGAGTGAGCTTGGAGATGCTGCTAAAGCAATACTTGAAGGGTCAACAGGGTTCCACGCAAGTCCTTGCACCCGGGCTCCACTGACTGAACTCAGTGTTGTACTGACGAAAGGCATTTGATCTCCACACTGTAAATTTCAAATTTAGTGTAATACCAATAGAAATCTGATAATAGTACATATATACACTATTTTCAACCTATTTCCATAAATGTGACCTGTTAATTAGGGTTCTTAATGTTAATAACTATGTTTCTTACTTGTTTAAAGGATGAAATAACTTAAGATGATTTAAGAATATTGGTTAATGTTCAGTAGGACTTCATTCAAATAAACTTGGGGAATGTAATATCTTCTCAATAACCCACATAGTCCACCTCAAACACAATCAGGTAAATACAAACCCAACACCACTATCTTCAGAGATGAAGTTCCGATTAAGTTACAAAAAATTTACAGTACAGGAGGTCTCTGTTTTACAAACATTCATTATTCACTACTGTTCTGTCTATAAATAACAGCTGATATGAATGACCTCTCAAGTCCTTGTTATTACATCTGAATCCATTGTATTTATGTGAATCAATCAAAAAGTCCACATGGTTTACTAGTGTTAAGTTGCGATCACCATTGCTCCAGTCAGTAGTACAAGTGAACCTCACCAATTCTTCCATTTAGATAACTAACAAACTATATTTCCTACAGTTTGTGCCAAAAATACTGTTTTAAGAGACAATTTTTTGGTAGTCCAGGAACACAGCTCCCATTTACAGTCTTGCACCCATGGGAACTTTAGCTCTGCATTCCAAGCAATCGCTTTACAAACACCTTTTCAGAACCCAATACATTTGTAAATTGGAGTTGTTTGTATTACACAATCTTTATTTTTGTAGTAGTGCATAAGGAATCATCGGTGAACATTTCAGTACAAAAACTATATATTTAAGGTGCTTCTAAATCTTAAGTCTTCAACTATTTAAGGTCTTTCTTTTCTACCAAAAACATAAAATGATAATGAAAATTTAATATCCACAATGCCCTTCAGTAATGTTTCAGGCAATACTAACTAAGCAATGTGATCAATCATGTAGAGTACTGTACTGTCTTAACTAACTTATCCGAACTGCATGGGAAGGATCTTATGTAATAGTTTTTATGTAAGTTTAGATTTAGGAAAGACTTGGGTAAATACTGGTTCAGTAACAGGGTTGTTGATTTGTGGAACCAATTGCCGTGTAACATTGTGGAGGTGGGGTCCCTCGATTGTTTCAAGCACGGGTTGGACATGTATATGAGTGGGATTGGGTGGTTATAAATAGGAGCTGCCTCGTATGGGCCAATAGGCCTTCTGCAGTTGCCTTTGTTCTTATGTTCTTATGATCCCTCACAGGATAAACCAGACGTCCAGATAAGCAGAATTTTTACCGGGCAAGTCCAATAATTACCATTTTCACAATTTTATGTACCACAACCAACATAATTTGAATTTCCACACACACACACTATAATTGAAAAAGTATAATTTAAAACAGAAATGTCATCTAACCTTATTGAAGTCCATCTTTTAGTTTGATACTGTAGAGCTTGAAATGCGTAGTTATTGAAAATTTACGGAACGTAATCTCTGGTTAACTGGATTTCTGTCCAGATAGAGCGAAGTTTTGCCAGAAAATTATCTGGACACAATTTTGCCCAGATAACCCAAATATTGTATTCAGTTCAGTGGGCTTTGGGTAACCGAGCTCATCACTACAAGCAGAGTGAACCAAATTTAATATGAAAAAATAGAGGTACAGTACTCTATATTTGAGACCGCCTAAACTAAAAAATTTCCATTCTTCTCAATAAAGCACCCAGCTCAACATGATTGAATTACTGTACTATGCTCCCATCACTTTCTAGCCATAAATACTGTACATAATGAAGTGCAGAATTTTTGGAAAGGGTCATAAGTTCCCAAAGTTACTCTATTTTGGGTAACTGAAAAGGTGTGAGAATGGCATTTTGGCATTACACAGTTAAATTTTTCTGGTTTAAATAAAAATAGTACATGTTGATTTCTGTATTACCTGAACTAGCACAGTATGAAAGCTTGCTGAAGAGCTTATCTTTCCTCTTTAAGATTGAAAGCACTTAAATTAAACCGCAATAGGAAAAATTTATTCGAACTCCAAATGCTTGATAGCAACTCTGAAGGAAACCCAGCTTAATATTTCTGCCACGATTTGAAGAACAAAATTAGTAGCCAAGTTCTCCTGGATCATACAACTTACAACTACATGAAAAATATCACATCTGGTTATGAATGTTTATTAATAATAATAATAATTCATTGTGTCGGGGGACAGGAAGCCAAGTTATACATACAGTACATGTTAGGCTTATACCAAGGTCCCCCCCCCTTCCCCACCCAGGGTTGAATTACTGAACCCCACCCAGGATGCAACCCCACAACAAGCTGACTAACTCCTGGGTACCTATTTACTGCTAGGTGGATAGGGGCATGAGGCAAAAGGAAACGTACCCAACCATTTCTGTGGCACCTGGGATTTAAACCTGGAATTCTTGACTTGGGTTAGTGATGTCAAGAACGAACCCGACTGTATTACCGTGACCCTGCTTATGTCAACAACAGAGTACACAACATTACAGTATGTACTTACACCTGGCACAAAGTTGCGGATCTCATAAAAGAGGGCATGCGGAACATTATTGTGAAGGATGACAACCATGAGTGTGAGGCCATCACAGCTACAAGTAACATGGGTGACAGCAGCACCAATGTTTATGGTGGCCAAAGGATTCTTCTCTTTATCCTCAACCACTGTTCTGGATTCAAATACTGAAAAAAAAGGTTAATCTACTTTATTTTAATATATTAGACTTAATTAAATACCACTAAAGTTATCAGTATCTGTCTCTATCCAGGGTGTAGACCAACTAGGTATAATGTAATTATAATGACATCACTCTCCACACATTACCATACTTCCCCATTTGTTTACATGGTTGAAGAAACACTTTCCAATTGATTAATTAAATTTAAGACATCTCCTTCCTTATAACCATACTTATTTTTTATAAGTTTTAAGTTTACCCTATTAAGCACTTCTTTCCTATTTAAAATAATAAACAAGTAAGTACAGGTGAACTTCATTTAACATTGCCCCAGATAACATTAGTTTTTATATTATTAGAAAATTAAATATATAAATTTAACATCAGACAAGCAAATGGTTCTATTTTTGTTAAGTTTCACCAAGTAGGATAGACAAGAATTATGTGGAAGGGAAGGGAACTATCAGGGAGAAAGCACCAAGCCATTGCAACTATATAGCACTGGGAAGGGGTCAGGATAAGGATTTGGGATGGGACAGGGGGAAGGAATGGTGCCCAATCACTTTTCCATCCCCCTGTCCCATCCCAAATCCTTATCAGCCTATGGTACTTACAAAAATAAAATACAGCACATACAGTATATGAGCTAACTTAAATATTGACGATGAACACTGTTTATAATGTATTTAAAACAAAACTTTTGTTTACTGAAAATAACAGCAGAAAATACAGTACTGTACATATAATTATACAATACTGTATTGTATAATATAATACAACCACATGGCCATGATAACAAAATTATCAAGTGAATTTAACTGCTGCTGAAACAAATTTATCTAACCAGCTCATCAGACATTAATCAAAGCATAAGTGTTCCAAGCTAGATATTATTAGTAATAAATTTCCTTGGACAAGAAGGCAGGACAGGTAAATGGCCTAAACAGAAAGTAATCCTAATTGAAAGTCAAATAAAAACAATACTGTACCAGTATTGTTAGAAACTAAGCTAAAAGTACTACTGTAAAAGGGTATAACAAGGGCAAGAGAAAAATGTAACAATCATTGTCTTTCAAAGTACCCTAGGAATGTAAGCAAGGTAATTAATTATCAGGAGAAAGACTAAGCCATTATGACCATACAGTCCCTAGGAATGTAAAATTTACTTATAACACTAGAATTATGAGAATTTTTACTTCAGTGAAGTCACGGTTTTCAGGAACCTAACCACGATGTTAAATGGGGTTCACCTATAAAATAATTATCAAGATGGCACCAAATGGGAAATAGTTAATAGCCAACACTTTTCATACAGGTATGATCTTGTGTATTCTATATGCAGTATGAAATCTATATTCTTTGTTGCATGAATTATAATTAAAATCAATTATAATTTATTTTTTAATATAATTTCCCCTATTGTTTTTAACATTCAAATATACATGGGTAAATAGTCATAGAACATACTGTACAGTATTGTGTTATAAAGCTTAATAGCTTCTATAGTATTAATTTTTTGCAAGAAATATTCTGAATTAACATATTGAGTATCTAAAAATAATAATAATAAACCTGCATATTTTCTACATACACATACTAATTGCAAAAAAAAAAGGCGAGAGGCTATCACCCACCTTTAAAAACTGTTCCACAACCAACAAAAATCAACCCATATTTAGCAGCAACCACCACCAGACTGCACTGGTCATCTGGTAAGATCACGTCATCTTTAGAAAATACTGCACCATAGTTTGAGACAAATCTTATAGTCTGAAAAAAAAATTAACATCATTAGATTTACCTACAATATACATCTTGAAAAGTTGTATGCATAAATTTTGAAAAATTATAAACATAACCTAGTATCATGTCTGAGTATTTGCCATGTGAGAAAAAAATGTACAGAATGTTCAACTGCATGTGTGCTGTTCTAACAAAATGTGTGACCTTTACATTTTTCCCAATCAATTGATTTCACTTAAATCACATGAACAACGTTAAATTGACTTCAATCATAACCTTCAAACTGCTATGTTTGTCTGCTAACAATAAATCAGTATTGTGTTTCAGTTATCTGCAGACCATCTTAAACAGGACAAGTTGTGTGTAAATCAAGGCAGGTCACCTGTTCCATTCCTAGATAGCCATGGCAATTTTTCACCGTAATGGAAAAGTATTTTCAGGTACTCTAGTTTCCTTCAGGAGCATTAGAAGATGTCCACTGTGTGTGTGTGGTGCACCCCCTTCAAGCTCAGCGTGTGCACAGTGTTACTATATTAGGAATCATTGATGCAATGCAAAATTTGAGACTTCACATGATTTGTAAGATCTTAGTGAGGTAGTAATAAACTTTCAGACATGGTGGTGTTTTATTGATAATACTTTATTCGCATTATCAATAAAACACCACCATGTCTGCTCTTTCAATTCATACCATAACTTTCATAAACTAAATGAATTGGAAAAATTCCTATGTCTTGTAGTAAAGTTACATTTTATGAAATCTAAACCTATTTTCATTATTTATGAGCCTAGATATATATATGAAATTAACTTGGGCCAAGTTAATTTAGCTACAGAACAGTCGGAATTCGGCTGCCACATGAACACAGCAGCAGGTCATATTGTACATAAGCATTTCCTGTTTTATAATTTTCAAACTATACATAGTGTTATGTTAGGCTAGATTAGGTTGTGTTTTTCAATCATATGGCAAACTGACTCATGTACTCGGTGACCCATACCAGTGGTACCTTACACCTAGCTGCTGTATTATACCTTGCCACCGTCCAGCACCCCAGCTGACTACCAGGTAAGTGTAACTCTCAGGCTGCTGTATTATACCTTGCCACCGTCCAGCACTCCAGCTGACTACCAGGAAAGTGTAACTCTCAGGCTGCTGTATTATACCTTGCCACCGTCCAGCACCCCAGCTGACTACCAGGTAAGTGTCAGGTTAACAGTAGTACACAAGTGTCAGCCCGCAGCCACAAGCTATGCCACCAGTACACAGCCCGTCCGCTACCAATAAACTGCTCAAACTTACTGCTATATTACATAGACTTGAATCACTCACCGTGCTGGGCTCGCTCTCAGGACCGTCTTCCATCTTCCAAGACTCATACACTAAATGGAGTTCAGTTAATTCATTAGTTTTGTGAGACAAATTTCAAACTGCTCATGAGGAATCAGACGGAGGGATGACTGTGGTTACCCTCAACGTTCTCCAAACACTGGCTGATGAATCCGTATTAGTCTACAGTGGCTGGATTCTTTTCTTTTAGCTTAATTCTGCATTATACATTTAATGATATAAATACATTTTACTGCACCTAATTTCGGTTAAATATAAAGAAACATTAAACGAAGTTGACGATAAATCTATGTGCATTATGGGGCTTAATTCACTAGAATGTGTTTTTCATAATATATTTAATTCATATATGCATGGATCTTGTAGCACAGTAGACTGCGTCCTTGACATACAACTGGGTTAGAAAGCCGGGGTCCTGGAGCTAATAGCCTGATTTTGCAGGATCAAATAGTAAATATAATATAGACCAATGGTTTGGTCAACATTGACCAATCAAGGATCCCTGGCTGGGTTCAATCCCCATACGTACGTAGTCTTTCGAGTTAGTAGGCGAGTTAACCTATAATATAACCTATATATAAATATATATAAATTAATAATAAATTAAGAAAAACAATCTACAAAATTAAAGATCATATGGTTTTCCAATATGCTACCGATTAGGGCAACACTTTCCTGAATTTTCTGTTACAAAAAGATCCAAAAGATCTGCTATGTTTCGTCATGCTTATTCTTTAAACGAACCTATTCTAACCTAACGTAATCTAGGTAACCCTAACCTGGTCTACCATATCTTAATCTCACCTAACCTAAATTATAAAAAAATAAAAGAACTTTTTTACATATGATATATAGACTTTTTAATATGTGTGACGTCACTATGACGTTTTTAACGTGATTGGTGGGAAGGTTTTGGACTGTGGTGAGTATTGGAGAGACTCAGTGTGGGAGGCACAGCTGCGCCATCTGTGTGTACTGGTCAGTCAGCTGCTCCGGCTCCCTCGTCTCTGCCACAGCCGGTCCACGGGAAAATGGCTGCTCGTAGAATTGCAGCTTCCTCTATTGACTGGGCGGCGTTTGCTGCTCGGGTTCCCGAGGGACAGAAGGCCATGTTCAACGCCTTTAAAGGGAAGTCCGATACCTACCTTAGAAGGTAAGGTTGTGAAGGTTAGGCCGGCAAATTTGTTAAGCGGATCCTTCCCTCTACCACAAATGTACTATAGCAGTTAGTAATGTACACCGGTCTAAAACACTTTCTACAAGTTTAAGTGAGTGCTGATTGTTTATATGAACGGTAGTGCTATTGTACAAGTGAAAGCAAATACAATTATAATGGATTAAGGTGTGATTTAATTATTTTTGAGGCACTGTGCCGGTGGCGGCCTATACATCAGTAACACTTGTATGCAACAGTTGTATACAAGTGTTTAGTGAAGTATACCCCAGCCCATGGTATGGTCATGACACCCGGGTACTGGGTGTTTGTCTGGCAGGTTTACACACGGGTCCTACGCTACTCCCTGCCCATCTCTTGCCGTCTTGGGATGAACGACTCCAGCTTGCTGGTGGAGCCCACAAGGAGGAGCCATAGAACACTTGCTATATTGCCCATACTTTCACTCCACCAGAACCCAACTATGCAGCTACCTGCTTTACCTTAATCCCCACAGTCTGTGGCTCGGTGGTAAGACACTTGCCCCGCGCTTCGCGAGCGCTTTGACCTGCTTTAGTATCCTGGCCGGGGAGGACTGACTGGGTGCCAATCCTCAACTGTAGCCTCTGTTCACCAAGCAGTGAACGGGTACCTGGTTGTTAAATGATTTGGCAGGTCGTATTCTGGGGAAAATTAGAATTAAGGACCTGCCCAAAATGCTATGCGTGCTAGTCGTTTTACAGGAATGCAAGATGTAAAATCCTCACGTCGCTTCTGTGCTCCTTGATAAAGACGTTATCCTGACTACAACACACACTTGGCTCCATAACTACAGGACTACATCGTCGCATATGAGCTGTGCCTAGGCCGGTTACTGTCTGTCAGGTTCTGGACTAATTTGCTTATCCCTTATCTACAGATTACAATGATACTTCTGAGCTGTGACTCGTCATCCTGCTGACTGCTATATTCTATCATAAAAGGATTATACTCTCGCCATCTCCAAAATTTGGACTGTCAGGATGCATATGGCTTAGTGCTGAATTTGGATTGGAAGGAAATAGTCCCATTGCTGCCCTAAATAACAATAATAATATACAGTACTGCATAATAGAACAAACACTAGAAAATTTTGTAAATAGCATTTCCATGTACTACAGTATCATCCAACTGGGATAAAGCATGGAAAACTGTGCAGGCCACACAAGTGTGGAAAAAAAAGTAACAGCAAGTTGTTGATGAGGACTTTGACAACGTTTTTTTATAAATTTTAGAGAAGTAACAATGTAGAGAAACATACTGAGTGGTTACTGGGTAATATGAATTATATTTATAATAATAATAATTTTATTTAGGAACAATACATAGATACAGTAGTTGCAGTGTTACAGTACAAACATTGTTAGATTTAAAGATAGAGGTAGTACATACAATACCTAAAGTCACTAGTACGCATAGCGTTTCGGGCAAATCATGAAAGGATGAAATGGCAGAGAATTTGGAGTCAGATCTGGTAGGTGAATTTGATTCATTGTTTAGAGGAATGTTATTTATATTTTTATATATAAGCATTTTTATATTCCTATAAAGCCACTAGCATGCATAGTTTTGGGCAGGTCCTTGTTCCAAATTTTCCCTGGAATACAACCCACCAAATTGTTTTCACTCATATTGGAAGGGGTGGATCCCAGAAAAGACCCAAACGCACCCAAAATAACATCGCCCCCAAACTCCAAATCCCTCGGCCATTTCAGATTTTGAAGCAAATGGAAATAACAAAGTACCCTTTCACTGCTGAGTGAACAGAGGCATACAGTTAAGGATTGGCGCCAGTCAATCCTTCCCGGCTAGGATATGAACCCGGGCCAAATCAGTCTCAAAGTGCGGGGCAAGTGTCTTGCCACTGTGCCACGAAGACTGCTAAATTTGTATAAATTTGACTGCTATTACAGTATTTGTATAAATATACAAAAGTATGTGTGTATGGTTTAATTTGTAGTACTGTATAAATAAACCATGGAATTTGTCAAATTGCCCTAATTTGCCCTCCACAATGCAGTCGTATGCTTTCCTGATTTGTATTATACATATTTATATTATTTTGTAGTTTACATTTATTTTTATTTTTTCCAGAGTTTTATCACTGCCAGAGACCATACCAAAGATACAGTTTGCTGCTTATCAGGCACGTATTGATGTTCCTGGTATGGTTGATAATTTTAAAAAACAATATGAAGCATTAGAGGTCCCTTATCCAGCTGACACTGTATCTGGACAGATTACAGAAATTGAAAAGCAAGCTGTAAGTAATATTTAATATCTAAGGAATGTATTTTAATTATATTAATAAGAATTGGACCATTCATGCAGTATTTTTATATTTTTCAAGTTTCTAATTAATAATAAAGATGCACAATATGGGAGAACAGGTGGGATTTGCCATATAGGCAAGTTTGCCAACCCTGGGTTGGCAAACTTTACATCCTGGGCAAGTACCAATTGAACAGGTTCAGGATGCATAAGAGAAATAATATTGTCACAAGTTTTCAGTGTGGAGTTTATGGATTTGGAATATTCTAATACAAATAGCAGAATAAGTTTTGGTGATTTCTGGGAGTTTTGTATAGTGGTTCACTTAGCATTTATTAGTGCAGTTTATGTGAATAAGATGGTTGGCCAAAATAGGTCAAGTGTCATAAACCCAAGTCTTGTAAAATGTCAGTTGTATGACTTGCCAACCTTGGTAAACAGAAAGGGCAAGTTTTTCAGGTTTCATTCTGCTAAAATAAAATTCCTTAGTGTGAGTGCTTATTTCTTGCATTTGATATTCAATGACTTGGAAAATCTACAGCTTAGTTTTAGGTTACTTGGTCCATGTCTTCTGCTGGAAAATTCACTCAAAAAAAAAAATTTGTTTAGTTATATATTTTATTGATTATGCAAAGTTTAATGTCTTGGTATATTTAAAGAAAGCTAGTTTATTTTTGCTAAATCTTTATTAATTTTTTTAATTTATATGAAACTGGGAGGATTACCATAACAAGTAGGCAGCAGCAGGATTAATACATAACTTAATATATTTTGAATTATTAATGAGTGGTGAATCTTAGAATTGATGTGGGAACATTCTTCAACCCAAGGGGTAATTATTTTCTTTACATGCTGATTGAAATCTGAAATATTGCTTTCTAATAAAGTAAATTGGTTAGTTATAACAGAGCTACAAAATGGAATGTGGGCCAGTCTGATACAACCAAAACTGGGACTTGGGTGCTGAACCATACACATGTTCACCTACTATAATAAGGGTATTCAGATTTAATTATTTGGCTTAACTTGAATTCTCCAGCAGACACATGGATAAAGTTAATGAATGTGACGATTACCTGCTGAAATCTTGTTTGGTATTATTTGATCAATAATATGTTAGACTTGCAAATATCTGTAAATCAAAGAATGAGTAACATTATTTAGGGTTGGCAAAGTAATCTTTGCTCTAAATGTAGTATTCTTATTTGTAGGCGGTGGTTGCAAATATTTGTAGGATAAAGTAGCATAGTAAACACTGCCAGTTGGTAAGGTTGTCGAGATTTCTTGAATTTGGCAGCTGCTTTTTTCTCCAGGCAGCTGAAACCGAGGTCTTTGTTAAACAAAGTGAAGCTCGTATTGTGAAGTTGAAGGAAGAACTGGTGAAATGGGAAAATATGGTTCCATTCGAACAGATGACCATGGAAGAATATGCAGAGCAGTTCCCTGATGAGGTATGTTTTTCTTCCTCGTATTTGTGTTTTTAATGAGAAGTGTATGCAGTAGAATGAAGTATCAAACTCTTAAGGGGCCAGAGCCATGTTTTTTCAATATTTGGTAATTTATTTTTTAATTTCAGATGAAAGCCTAGATTTTTTAGCTTCATTTTAAGCTATATTTGAAAGAAATCTGGCAACTCTTAATTGCATTGATTTTCTGGAGGGTACTGAACTGTGGCGCCCTATAGCTAGCTGCACTGAGATAGCTCCATACTTATAACTCCTGGCGAGTTCTTAAAACCAATCGAAGAGCAAAACCAAAACGTGTCCCACTGAGGCATGGATAGCAGGGGATTAATGATCACCCTTGGTGAAGAATAAAACCCCCAGAAAGGAAGTGATGCAAAAGACAACTGGAAGGTTCACATAAAGTAAACAATCTAGTGCAGCAAATAATGCTGCAAACAATCCACCTAGTAGTTGGGTCATACACTCCCTAGTAACAAGCTAATCACCACCCAGGTGACAGTACCATGGGAGCTGCCAACTTTGTCAATAACTGTATCTTTCACCTGACAACACTCGATTCTTGACAGTGTATTGAGTTTCCAGCTCTTCAGATCCTGCATTTTTCTAGTGTCATTCTTCAGACTCCTATCCCGGAGGGAGGGGGGCATTTGTTTGTGTATCGTTTCATTCTTTAGTGTTTACTTCCCATATGTGTCTACAAGTCTCATTTATTGTGTAGACTTTGGAAATTAGCCTAGAGCTACATGTACTTAGGGCAGCCCTTCCCTAGGCATTTGCTCGTGTTACCTGTCCTGACAGGGTTTCTTCACTGGTGCATTTGGGTGTTTATCGCATAAAAGTTGGCCTCCTGAAAGGGGGTGCCTCAACGTGACCAGTGCAAGGGTATTTGACTCTCTCTGAGGTTGGGTGGGGGCATTCTAGTGTTTGTTAATGAGGTGCACTTGGGTTCACATGTTTGTACATATGGCATGCTAGTGATGCTATTTGAGCCATGTATTTTCTTGGTGCTGCATTTTGTGTTGGTTCCTAATCGGTGAGTGTTCCCTAGTGCCTGGATTACCTGCTTGGTCTTTACCTTCAGGCCCTAGTAAGCCCCGCAGGTCTTTGATGTGACATTCCATTGGTTTTGCTGTGTGCTGATAATCATTTGTACTGTTCCCTCTGTTGGCTATTGTATGGGCATTACCTTCCACATAAAGGCCCACAATTTGTTTTGTGGGTCTCTGTTTTAACCGAGTTTTCATCTATTAATTTTTCTTCATTTTTTATTTTTGTAGTGATGGGGCTTAACAGGTAGCAGACACATTTGGGTTTATTTTTTTTTTTTTTTTTTTTTTTTTTTTTTTTGTATTTGTTTTTGGGGCTTGATGTTTTAGTTACCCTAGAGTCTGCCCCTTCTGATGTTTAGGGATTTTAGAATTGGAGCTGCTGGTGGATTACACCTGTCCTAAGTTTAGATGTCCTCTAGGACATCTGAGAGCTTTAAAGTTCAGGGTGGGTGTAGCTCGGCCTTCTCTGGGGATCACCCCTTTAGCAGAGGCAGTTTAGCCATTGCTTCCTGTTGATGTGGAGTCTTCGGTTTTGGGGGAGGGGGTGAATTTGGCTCTCTCATTTGTCATTTGTATGGCGCACAGGTGGCTGAGCTGTTGGTCTCCCACCTACATTTTTTTGTTTCAGCAGGAGTAAGTTTTCTGGCTCTTTTATGTCCCTTCATTGTTTGTCTTCCATTTTGGTGGTCCTATTCCTTTTGCCTTTGTTTGATGACTGGCATCTTCTGTCGGATACTGTTGTCTCTTGTCTTTGTGGCTTTTGACATCAATAATACTGTGGCACTGTTGTTTTGTCAGTTGTATTATAAGATTTTTACCTGAACTGTCTTGGTTTTTAGCGGGATTTTTTTTTTTTGGGGGGGGGTTCTATTGTCTCCTCAGTTCTTGGTTGCCCCTTCAGTCAGCATATTATTTGTTTTAAGGCTTCACTTTTGTTGTCCATCATTTCCAGTTGTAGAGTTAGGGAATGTCATGCTGCATTTTGCACGAGTCTTGTTCTTCAGTCATGATGGCTTATTTTGTATTATGTGGACTTATGGCACAATGAGAATTGGCTTCCAGGGGGGTGTTATAACTATTGATTCCTGGTATGTCTGGGTCAGAGTGCATCATTTGTTGTCTGATGCTGTTGCTTCAGGAAGAGTTTGTTGTTCTGGCTTCTTTGTTCCTTTGTTCAAAGATTCATTAAACTCTGGTAATCTGCAGTCGTACATTCAAGCCAGCCCACGATATACCCTCGCACACATGATTAGAAGTTTGTGGCACTAGTTGCTGTATTGTCTTGAACTGATATCTGGTAAGCGTCCTAATGGGGTCCTGGCAGCTCATCATTGGGTCAGTGTTTCTGGTCTTCATCAAACTTGTTGTCCTGGGTCTGGTTTCCCATCCTGGTCTCTTCCCTGTACCAGTTTGATCTTTGCTCTACTTTCATGGTTTGTTCTATTCTCCATTTTGTGGCTAGCAAGCCACAGAAGCCCCACGAGAAAACCAGCAGTAAAATGAGACATGCCTCTTTCTGGGGAAAGGGGTGGTCTTGGTGGCTCCCTGGATCCTCTCCTCCCTACAAGGCACATTGATTGGTATTTCTTTGGCTCTGGACTGAGGGTTAACAGGGGAGGCCGGCAGCTCATGTGGTATTGTCACCTGGTTGCGGCAGCTGTAACTAGGGTAGATAAGACCCAACTACCGAGTTGGTTGATTGAAGTCATTTGCTACATAGTTTCTCAACTTTTTCTGAACTTTGCAGTTGTTTCACTTCCCATCCTTTCTGGGTGCTTGATTCTTTGATGAGGGTGATTATGAATCCCCTGGTCCATGTTCCTCTGTAAAAAGACAGCCAAATTTTGGCCTCTGGTTTCTGGTAGGTTTTTAATGACTCAAAATGTGATATGGCTTACATGTGTAGAGAGAGCTATCTTGGTGCAGTTCACTACAGGGAGCCACTGAGGGAAAGGCCATTTCCCACCTTTCCCAGAGAGGAATTTCATTGCATTCAGAATTTTTTTAAGTTGTCATTGACTATATACAAAAATACAAAGCCACTATACCGGCTAGCTACCAATAAGAATTTTTTTTTAGATTTTCCACATTGTACATTTCCCTCCATAGTCGCTATGGGAACTAATGTTTAGAGGATAGGATGCAATTGTAGTTATGCTATGTAAACAACTATTATATATAGTATTAGAGCTTATTTAGATCACAAATAAATGTGATTATAGTATGTAATGGTAATTTATGTAAAATGCACATGAAAGTTTCATTAATATTTTATAATTTATTCCTTATCAGGCAATCAACTTGGATAAGCCAACCTTGTGGCCCCACACTCCTGAGGAGCAGATTGGATATGTGCCTAAGGATGGTACCGAGACTTAGTTTTAAGATATTTGTTCAGTTCCTGTGCTTATTTAGGCAAAAGAATGAAAAAATTGTAAGAATATTGACCAATTTTGTCAAAAGAAATCAAAGCATTATGTAAATACAGTAAATGGAATTTTAAGGAGTTTGTACCGGATCAGGATAACTGTATAATAAATTACAATCTAGACATATTTTTTTTTCTTACCCTGAATGTTCTGGCACTTTTCAGTATGGTAGTATAGTATTTGTTGTACAACATTGATCTTGCTAAAATAATTGTAGGATTGTCATGTGTGTCTTCATTGTACAGTTGGATTTGTACTTGACTCAATCGGGAATTCTGGGGTTCAAATCCCAGGTGGGACCAAATGGTTGGGTAAGTTTCTGATCACCTAGCTGTAGATTCCTAGGAGCTAGTCAGCTTGTTGCAGGGTACCTCAATATATTATGCATATACTGGCTGCCTGTCCCCCAACAAAATTAATATTATTTTTTAAATTATCTTGAATTTCAACTTTTCTAAGGTTCTCAATATTATATATCAATAAAAATAATCTTGACAGTACAGTATTTTTCTTTACACATATTTTTTAAATTTTCATAAACTACAGTACACATTTTACTCCTAGCCCTGAGTACATTATTTGTATTACTTTCTTTAAATTTAAATACACTTCCTTTGTTCACCCTGTCTATTTCCCTCAATCTTTTATGTAGTGATCATATCTCCTCTTAGGTTTTGAGGGCGAGTTCCCTCAATTTTTCCTTATAGCCGAGCCCTCTTAATTCTCGTAATAATCTAGTTGTAAACCTCTGAACTTTCTCCTTTTTAAGTTTTTTTCTCCCCTTTTTCTTCCCCACAAGGTGTGGGTGTTCTAAGCTGGTGCTGAATACTGAAGTAATGGTTTCCATGCAGTTTGTATGGATTTGAAAGCATTCTGGTTTAGATTCTTAAATGTTCTTATGTTTGCTAACTTCCTTTATGCTGATGTTAACCTGTTCACATGAGCTGGTATTATATTATGATGTATACTCCCAGGTCTTACTGTTTTTTGTAATTGCCTACCCCTTATGGTGTAGTTAAATACTGGACATCTTCCATCTCTTGCCCATTTTCAGTACTTTACACTTACTTGGATTGAATTCCAGCAGCCATTTATCTGTCTACATCTAAAATTTGTGAAGAGTCTTCTTGCAGCACCTCTCAAGAGAGGGAAGTCAAGCACCAGCCAGGTTGAGGATCCTTGGGTGGTGGGCATTTTCACTTGCACACTGCTTCAGGTGGCAGGAGGGGGGATAGAAGCTAAAAGTACCGCTCCAGGATAGCACACTAGCCCCCTCGCCACATGAAGGCAAAAAATTCCTCTTATCACTCATGTCACCTTTGGTAAATTCTTTATTATTTCATTGTAATGTGGATATTCATTATTTAGAAATGTTTTGATTATAATACCTTCAAATTGGTACACAAATGCATATGGAAGACAGTATGCTTGGAGGCTCTTAAAAATTCCTAAATTTTATTTTCATGGAGAAAGGGTGCTTGATTGATTTTGATTTGCAAGGCATACTGTGCTAGGTAATGCTCTTCAGGTGGTAGTTTAACATTTTTATTTACATTAACCCTTGGACTGTGCAATACATGTGTAAATTATTTTTTGTCAAATCATACAAGTTTTTAAAACTTGCACAAACACTTTCCAATTTTTTTCATAATCAACTAGGCAAATGCTCCAACTTTGTCTAAATGATCACAGTGCAACTTGAAAAATGAATCAAAGTTAATTTTAAAAATGTATATTGTGAACTTCAGATATTCAATTCAGAATAAAAAATATGAACTATCATTAATTGTTCATTTAATGTTAGAATGCTATTCTGATAAAATAATATCAGAATAGCATATGATCTTCATTTTCATCAAATTAGATTATAGGTTCTCAGTATAGTTTACTGTAAAATCAATAGGACATTTGAAATACTGTATGCGGAAAATTTAGACCAAAAAAAATAAATCTATATAAAGTTTATGAAAAATCCATTCTGATGGGATTGTAGAACAGACAGCTGAGCAGTCAAAATAGTGAGAATCGGTTAATAACTGGAATTTTAGAAGCCACTCATGAAACTCTGGTTTCAGAGATAATTGAAGGTGAAGTTATTAACAATGAATAAAGGTAGTTTTAATTCGTTAATTTAATTGTATGTTTTAATAAACATTGTTTGGCATTCGTACTCGAATATGTGAAAGTTGTAGGTCAATATGTGTTGAAGTCAAGAAAAAATAACCCCAAAAAAACACAAAATATAGGGATAATTATAATGATTTAGGGGATATATTTAGGGTATATTTTATATAAGTGAGAAAGCCCTAATATGGTCCCTAATCATCAAAACAACCTAAAGAGGCAAAGATAAGATAATTTGAAATCGGAGAAAAAATCGGGCAAAACAAAAAATTGTCCCAAATTTTGCGAGTTGGGACTGATGAATTTGTTTACCAATTCCATCCTATCTTCACATAGGTTTGGAAACATATATTCTCCAGGATGTAAAGATTACAACAAAATCAGATAATAAACAAAGGAGAAAAAAAAACAAATCTTTAAAAAAAAAAAAAAAAAAAATTTGGGACATTGATGAAAGTAACATATAAATACATTGTCCAATGCTAATATATGATATATAAGAAAATAGATCATATAAAGTTACTCATTATTATTTGTGTTATGTATTACTCGGCAATGATATAAAGGCACCAACTGCATATCCACTTTGTGGACACTTCTTACTACTATTGTTCTTCTTTGAGCATAGGACAGGTGCTTGTATTTCTTTATTACTGCATAATTCTTCGGTTCCAGTTATTAGGAGCTGTTTTCCTTATCAATAAAACGTTCTTATTTTTCAAAAATTCATCTAAAATCAATTTTGAAGATATTTTGATGAAAGTTTCATGACACTGAAGCCAATAAGTTGAAGATTTGTTTAACATTTTAGTTATTTTTACATAATTCAAATATTTTTCGCTACTATACCCTATATTCGCAGAAATATACGCGGTTTAAGGGTTAATGAATATTGGTTTGCTTTTCTTTTAACAAATTATCACTTCTTAAGAGAGAAATTGCTTACCAATGTTTAGCACTGTTGAGGTAGACATTGATACTTTTAAAATATTTACTATACCTCTTGTTAAAATGTATAGTACATTCATTTTATATACAGTACTGTATCTTCTGCTAACTGCTGTAAAGTTTCCAATAGCTTACATATTAGCGCATTTATAGGAAATATTTTTCATAATTTTAACATTCCTTCCACTCGGTACTTTTCTGTGAAGGATTACTTCTCATCTATTATCTACAAGTGATATACTGTATAAATCTTATTAATCAGTGAATACAGTATTGATACTAAATTTTAGTTATTCTTTATAAATAACCTTGCTGATCTTTGTACTAGGATAAAAATATGCTAATTTTTATATACATGATCTCACCCTTTTAGTTATGTTCTAATAAACAGTACATAAGAAATAAAAAATCAGTAATATATTTCATTTGCAATGGGGAATAGAGTGCAAGACTTTTTTTAAATATTGGCATATATATACAATTTGATATCAACTGATTTATGTAATTTTAAGCCATTACTCTTAGGTTTAATATTTACCACATTTCAGTGTCGAGTAATTTTACTTAGCCATTCACATTGTACACCTTACAATCAAGTGCTAATGAAATGAGCCTAAGTCACAAATTTGATACAAAATAGATATTTAAATTATTATTTTTGTATAAATGTTACCTGCAGGTTGCCACTTTGTCTAGGTAAACAAAATATTATATGAAGAGATATGTGCCTTCTTTAAGCATGTTGAAATGTTATATTATTTAAGAACAATGAGATAATGTACATTCTGTACAGTATATATAAAACTATGAAAAGTTTAGGGCAGGATTAATGTAGGATTTATTACAAAATGTACAGTTTCCCACTTTCTCAATTCACTAAATATCAAATTATTTAAGTTTACAGTAGAAGTGGAAGCCTTCAATTATACACAAACGAGGCCCTACATCAGATGCCAGTACAAGGCTCGTATCAAGACAACAAGCATGAGAACACAAATGTAATTATTCATAGTAGCTACACTAGCAAGATCTAAGTGAGCAATGAAAGGCTATTAGCAACCAGGTAAGATCTTTTAACATATTCTACCTGATGCTAAAATTCTAGTGAATTTTGGTCTGAAAGAAATATCTGCAATAAAACCTGCTAAGAACCTGATTTACATAGGACTATTTAACATTTTTACTCTGTATTACTGAAGGAGGCTTGAGACACCAAAAACAAAAGCATACATATTCTGTATTAGTGCAGTGACTTTCCATTTTCCTCATACCGAGCATGCATGCATGCATGCATCTGTGCTTGGCTGTATGATGTAAGGCATCAAGATGGCAAAGTATTACAAGTGCAGCCAGTGAAAACTTGGGACTATCCCTACCTAAATTTAACAAACATGAGTTGCTAATAATTTAAGTGTTTGTCTATCTACACCCCAGGTGGTATGAGCAAATTAAAAGCTTTGATGCACTTTAGGGATAATTTATAATTAATAATTCATTGTGTTGGGGGACAGACAGCTAGAATATATTTAAACACATTAGGCTTATATTAAGGCCTTCTCCCATCCATGGCCGAATTACTGACCCCACCCAGGATGCAACCCCTATACAAGCTGACTAACTCATGGGTACCTACTTGCTCCTAGGTGAACAGATGTATTAGGTGATATGAAATGCACCCAACCATTTGTCTCACCCGGGATTTGAACCCTGAATTCTCGATTGTGAGTTGAGAACAAATGCGACTACTGTACTACCGGGACCCCTTGAATACCGTTATGAACCTATGCTAGAATGCATCTGCAACAGTACACGCATCCTTCTGAGGTATTGCAATCAGTGTAATGTACCTGGAAAAATGGTCCACTAATACCAACACATAATGATTGCCTGAATGGCTATGATAAGAGATCTAATAAGTACCGGTAAATATGAGAAATCCAAAATAAATGGGTGTCAAAAACAACACCTAATAGTTTCACATTATTTATATAGACAATTGGACTTCAATAAAGTGATAATTGAGAATGAGATGCACATCTTCTGGTGAATG